AATGATATCAGCTGTGTTCGTATTTTAACTAACACTCAAAATAACCAGCCTCCAGGTTATAGAAATTACTATATAAGTTTATCTCAAAAGCTTTAAAGCAACGCGTACTAGCTAATTTAATTACCTGCTGTGTTCGTACGTTTACTTACGCCGAATCAAGGTATGGCTAGCTATGTTTACATGGCAAAAGCCCCGTTTACACTACACTCAATTTATCGGCACGGCACGTCTAAAATTGGTACCCGTGCCCAATTTCATTAGTGTTCAGGATACCAAAACAAAGGCCGAGGAAATATGAAATGGTGCGGGTACCCATTTTAGCCGTGCCGTGCCAATAAATACAGTGTAGTGTAAACGGGGCTAAAATCTTCACGCAATCTTCAGTCTTGCCAAACAAAGCAGAAAGATTTTGCAGAATCAACGGTTAAATGATATAACTGCAGAACTGCTGCTTGAAATGACGATTATACGGCAATTATAGTTCACTACGTACCTGGTAAATGTTAAGTCGCATTCACTGACTTGTAAACGTTGTAAGCTGTATAGCACAAAATATCTAACGCTCAATTAACTGCGAGAGCACTTAAACAAATACAGGGTGCGTCAAAAAAAAGTGACACCTTTGAAATTCAAATTAGCTGCGAACTTATGACTGGAATATGACAATTCCCATGTACAATCAACAAAAACGATTTGATAAAACTATTCTTTTGTATTTACAGAGCTTAGAATGCATTTTAACTCCCAATGGGAACAAACTTTATGTTTTAGGTTAATTAATATGATATGCTTCGTATACCCATGAAATATTTTAGGCAACTTCTGTCACATTACAGCCGCTATGCGGCTAATTTGAATTTCAAAGGTGTCACTTTTTTTTACTCACCCTGTACAGCTATTTGCAGTTGAGCTGGCATTTCAAACGCGTTGTTCTATGGCTATCTTTAAAACCAGGAACGGGGAATCAAGGAACGGGGAACGAGGAACGGGGAACGGGGAATGAGAATCTCCGGAATCTTTAAAACCCGGAACGAGAATCTCCGGAATCTTTAAAAGCCGGAACGAGAATCTCCGGAATCTTTAAAACCCGGAACGAGAATCTCCGGAATCTTTAAAACCCGGACGAGAATCTCCGGAATCTTTAAAAGCCGGAATGAGAATCTCCGGAATCTTTAAAAGCCGGAACGAGAATCTCCGGAATCTTTAAAAGCCGGAACGAGAATCTCCGGAATCTTTAAAAGCCGGAATGAGAATCTCCGGAATCTTTAAAACCCGGAACGAGAATCTCCGGAATCTTTAAGAGCCGGAATGAGAATCTCCGGAATCTTTAAAACCCGGAACGAGAAACATGTAAACAGAAGGAGCAATAAAATAAATCCCGTTCTAAACAAGTTGTGTCATTCGATATCAACTTTTTTGACATAAAAACAGTCAATGTGTGATAAAATGAGCCTGCCTCTTGATTTCTGTCGTTGGAATTTTCCAGATTCGGTCTAAAACGTGAAATAATGTTATTTGAATAGCCATGCTACAGTGCTACTACGCGCGCAATTTGTTAAATCAATGTCAAATATAAATATCGTGAAAATCAAGCGTTATCGGAGTGCTTCTTATCCAGGCGAAATATTGGACCATCACCGAAGCCCTATTTTCTCTAAAAATGCGTTTTTCTTCGCCTCGTCGTGGTCCTGGTCCTCGCTGTCTATTAACCAATATATGAAATGGACATTGGAAATTGGAATACACTGGACAAGTGGCAGAAGGCATTCAATACGATCGAATTATGAAATGAGTACATGTCCACATCCGTGGAAAAACGTTACAAAGTGAACTATCTTTTATGTAATCGGGTGCATCATATCTTCTGTGATTAAAGCTGTTAAAAAGTAAGTTTTATCAAACCTAATATTACTATTAATATAATAATATTGAGAGTAGTTTGGAAAAGCTAGCACTCAGTTCTAGCTTATATATATTAAACTGAAAAACACTGAAACGGTGAAACTCCCCCCCTCTCCTGTCCTATCATTTCAACGCCTAATGGTTGTTACAGGTTTGACGGGTACACCCAGTGTATCTATAAACATTTTTGGTACATTTTTATATATTTTATATCCCTGTCCTTTTCATTTCGATCACTCTCCTGCGCGTCGGCGTGGTTTAATTTGGTACGTATTGGTCTGCCCGTCATGGTTTCATAATTATGGTGTAACTGCTGTGGCAGGGTGTGGCGTGTCTCTGTAAGCGATTAGCATGTTTTGTAGCGCAAGTTCTCTTTCTGATTTGTTCTTTCCTTGTAGATGGGCGATCTGTTCTGTCTTGTTGAGGATCTGCATGAATCTTTCTGCCTCCCCATTGGCCCTTGGGTGCTCGGGTGTGATTCGATGGCGCGTGTCGGAATCCACGCGTTTTGGGACACTGTGATTGGCAAACATTCGTTTTAATCTCACTTGTGTTTGTGGAAATGATGTTGACGGCGTGACCGCAACTTCCGGGTAGCGAGTTCTCTTGTCGACTGTTACTAGGTTGTAATGGCCGTCGGGGTATGGCCCAGCAAAGTCGATGACGATTTCTTCCCACGGCTTCTTTGGGATTACAGTCGGTTTGATGAGTTCTTCTGTATGCTGTTTGGTGACGACCTGACATTCGAAACACTGTCCAATTAGTTGGTCAATCATTCCGTTCATCGTTGACCACCAGTACTTTGCCCGAAGCATTTGCTTAGTTTAGTTTTCCCAAGATGTCTCATCTCGTGAGCGATCTTAATTATCTTCTTTTGTAGTTTAGCAGGTAGGATAATCTGATTCATCCAGTAAAGGAGACCGTTCGCTGTATAAAGCTTGTTTTTGATAGCAACGAAGGGAGAAATATCAGGGTCCTTCTTATGCGCCCACCAATCACCGTCCCTTATGACGCTACGGAGTTTTTGGAAAGCGTTGTCTCGCATCGTTTCTGCCTTTATTTTGTCAAGGATGATAGCTGGCTCAGCCTCGGTGACACTCTTGATGATTTCTTCCGTTTAAATTTCATTGTCTCTTGTCTGGGGTAGGGGGTGCCATGAGAGGATGTCCAAAGGATCAGCCTCAAATTTTCCAGGCTCATATCGCATTTCATAGTCCACATCCTGCATGTCCACGACCCACTTCTCGATGCGTGGCGGTAGTTTTGCAGTGGCTTTGTTGAACAGGGGGAGAAAGGGTTTATGCGCTGTGACAATGGTGAACCGTGGTGCACCCAGTAAGTAAATGCTGAATCGATCCTCCACCCACTTTACGCACAACGCATCTTTTTCGGTCTCACTGTATCTTATCATCTCACACTATCTATCAGCCGCTCGACGTCGGTAAGTGTGCGACTGATAAAGTGGACTGGCTGCCACCCCTTCGCGGTGCGTTGAAACAGATCAGCCGAGAGACCTTCATTGTAGCTTGCTTCTGTGCGAACCATGGTAGGTAGTTGAGGGTCGAAGAATGCTATGGTATTGTCGTTGGAGATACTGGATTTTAGCTTCTCGAAGGCAGCTTGTTGTGCATGACTCCAGTGGAATTTATTCTCGTTGTGGGTTAATTCTCTTAAGGTTGCGTCAAAGAGGCGTATCCGGGGATGAATTTCGCCAAGTATCCGGTCATACCGAGGAAGCTTCGTACTTTTGATTTCGATTTCGGTGGAGTACACTCTTGGATGAATCTCACTTTGTCTGGTGTTGGGTTGAGCCCTTGTTGGCTAAATCTTTAGCCATAGAATTCCAATTCCCGCTGACCAAACTCGCACTTCGTCCGGTTGAATGTGATGCCGTAATCGGCTGCTCTCTGTAGGACAGCTTCGAGCGTCGTTTATATAACTTTATATCAACATATAATATATATATAAATATATATAAAGCTAAAAAAATATTGTAGCTAATGCAAAACTCAAAATATAGCTTTATTTATATTTATCTATTATAACTAAATAAAACTTTCCAACCCGAAATCCCACTAAACAAAACGAGTTTTCTTCGGTGAAATTTTTTTAAATTTTGTACGTATCAAGACATTAATTTCGTTAACCTAAATACAGATTTTCACACTATTGTATAGAGGGATTTTTTAACATCAATTTTGAACCTTTTTGTACATTACCTGAAAATATATCGATGCCGTTTATTTACTGAAATTATGCATGTCAGGAGAACGATCAAAACACTACTCATTGATTTGCAAGACTTGGAGAAAATTTACCGAAGGGAATCTTAAAAATGGCAACATAAAAAAGCGCTTTATTGAAGGCGCGCTGTTGCCATGATAACTGAAGAGTTTTCAAATAATATCGCGTCTGTTTGGCGAAAATTTCAACCTCCTACCGCCCGATATAATAGTTTGGTAGTCATTCTTATGCCCTAGAGCAGTTTAGGAGAAAAACTGTAAAGGGACACCTTAAAACATAACATATAAATTATTAATTATATGAATGTAAAAACGTCTTTGCCGGATTGCTAAGTTTACAAAACACTGATATGGATATAGACTAGATAACGCATCTCCATACAAATGCCGATACAAAAAGTGAAGCCGGAATTTAGCTAACTTTCTTACGGCATTATACAGGGAGGGGGGGGGGTTGTTCCCACTTTATCAGTAGATTTGTATTAAAAAATCACAGTTTTTTTCGATTTTTTCGCTTTACACAATCTCGATCGGGCTAAAGTCTCTATCAGTAGACGGACATGCAGGAAGACAATAATAAAGAATTTTGACCACGAAAGTGCTGTTGTTGTAGCTTTCTAACGTTTGAATAATGGGTTTTCAAGTTCGGTGGAGTGGTGTTCTAATTGTTGGTGATCTAAATAATGAGATCTGCATTGAAACAAATGTAGAATATTTCAATGAACTCTCAATGTACTCCAAATGAAAATATATTGTCAACATTTACAATGATCGCTAAATTTTCTATAGTATATATATTAAGGGATTATAAGATGGCTTCTTCAACCCACCGAACTCGTAATTCCATTTTTAATTATTAACTCAATACAGAGTGAATTAACTCATATGCAGAGTGAATTAGTTACGATGTTCAAAATAAGAGCTCGTAAACATTGGAGCATTCGTGACTTTTGACTCGTTCACATCTATCAAAAGAAGAAAATCGCAGCAAATTTGCTGCTGTAAACAGGCCTAAAATTCTTTCTTCTTTGCAAATTACACGTAGATCAAAATAAAAGGATTTCTGACACATTGTTTACATCAAATAGGTATCGCTGGATTCTTTGGATTGTACCTCCACAACTCCCAAGCAGTTGTGCTTCCCCACCAGTCCGTAATAGTTTCTTTACATTGAAGATCATTGATATCTGATCTAAGATGTATTTCACCATCTTTGACTTGAAACAGCGGCGTATTATTTTTTTCTTTTTCATCCAAAAAAGGTAAGAAGTCAGTGACTGCACATGGATGTAGTTTTATATCGGGAACATCGTAAGCCATGATTACCTGGTCCACTGATGTCTGGGCAGCTTCCACCACAAGGTTGAAATTATCCTTTCAGATAATAAAACCAATAAAAAAGAGTTATTCTCTAGGAAAGCATTCCTCGGCCATATTTTATTGTTTATCAACATTATATACCTTATAGGAGTGATATTTTCAAAAACCACTAGTTTAGCAGAAACTCTGGGTGTACGAAAATATATAAAATAAGACAAAATTTTTAATGCACTCCTTAGAAATGCTAACATAATTGAGCGACATGATAACCAAATCGCTTCCCTTCTCTTCATACTGAGAGCGAGAAGGCCAAATATGCATGCGTGATGTAAGAATGAATTCATCGAAAATATATGCATTCTTGTATTCTTATCTTTCAAAAACAACTTATCGGAAATTAAATGCAGTTACCAAACAATTATATCAACTAAGTTTACCCAATTACGGTCAGTTACCTTGTCCTTATTTTTCATCAGCATTCCATCCCCATAAGCAATCCATTTATCTCCACGTACGTTGGTAACACGAAGACCAAACTTGTTGTCCTCATCATGCATGAATTTGGACAGAAGATCTCCTGTTAAACTTGGTGTGACGTTAGAATGAAGTTCTGCTCTCGGTGTTCTGAAATTTCAATTGGAATATCGCTTGGTATGTGTAGTCAGAGCGATTACATTTTTTTATGTTTCTGATGCGTCATTTTTTACTAGAATTGGTGCTGTTGTTGTTGTTGTTGTCGTTGTTGTTGTTGTTGTTGTCGTTGTTGTTGTTGTTGTTGTTGTTGTTGTTGTTGTTGTTGTTGTTGTTGTTGTTGTTGTTGTTGTTGTTGTCCTTGTGCTTGTTGTTGTTGTTGTACTTCTTGATATGTTGTTAATCGTCATTGTTGTTGTTTTTCCTTCTGCCCGGAAAGCACATGTTGTAGTTATTCTCGCTGTCGATTATGCAAAAACAAATATCAGGCATGGCGGGTAAATAGACTATATTATCATACCTAATATGTCCACTTGCAAATGCATCAGTAAAAAAATGAAGGGCAAATGCCTCAATTGAATAGGCCATATCGCGCAGCTTTTCTCCAATATCTTTTCCTTTTGAGCGACCTAATCAAGATATGATTCAATTGATCGTGAGATATATGTCTTCTGCGCATGTTCGGTATACAGGCAAAATGAAATAAAAGCACTGAGAAAAAAGTAAGAAAAAACTCAAAAACATCGATGGAAATTCACGCAACGAAATTTTGCCCTTTATTTTCATGGTTGCATTGTAAAGAACGCTTATAAAATCACTGAATAACTTCTTTTGTACAATTATGTTAACTTTCTGCTTTCTCAAAATATTGAACATTGTAAGATATCTAAATATATCTTTAGACAACAACCCAGGGGGGGAAGTATCTTATTTTTATATAACCGATATTTTTAGACAGCAAACAGGGGGGTATTTATTACCTGCTTGCCGAGCTATCTCAATAGCATATCCATGTCCTGTTTCATAAGCCCTTTTAGCACGGGATCCAAAGTGATCAAAATTTTTCTCTGCAAGTCTCAGCATATTGCCACGCCATGGCCATACGGGATATTCACCAATCCACCATCCGCCGGTAGCTTCGTCCCATTCTCTGTCAGTGTGATGACATAATCGCTTCCGTCCGTCCGTGTCCTCTCTGATCATTTTGACCAATTTATCTAATTGTTCCTAAAAACAATATTTTTGAATGAAATATTTTTTTGTAACTTCGCAAGTCACAACTAGTTAATCTAGAAAGCGTAGAATTTAATAAGATTTATCGCTCGCCAACAAATATAGTGGGCCCAAGCACTTCTTAAACCATTTTTATTTACACATGACCCCGTTCGAAAGAATATATTTTATTAACTTTAGATTTTCTCTCACGTTAGAATACTTAGGATTGGGGAAACCGTTTTTCACTTCCTTGTGTCTACCAGAGAGATCTCTGGCTCTCCATCAGGGCGATCGTTGCCCCTTGACATCATATTCCAGGGTATAGTCATGAGCGAGGAAAAGGCAAAATAACATCAATGACGAGACTGCGATTCATGGATTATTGAATGGATTATTTTCACAGGTTTAATTTTCTTTGTGCGAAAATCGTTCAAAGTAGCTCAGTAATAACATTTAGTAGCGCATGACAGTATAATCACATTAAGTGTCTGTTTTATTCCTTTATTTTCTTCATTTTTCAAAATATATATCAATATAGTAATATTATATAATATATCTCAAACCTTATACTCTCCTTTGTATGGGGTGTTTGCCAAAGTTGAGTAAGCATTGATGAATCTGTGTAATCTATCAGAATGGCTAGGGTTCAAGGGATTTACAATCGGTTCATCAGGTATGCCATAAAAGTCTCCAGCAAGAGCAATGATATATGCAAACTGAAGACGAACTCCATTTGGAAGAGTAATTTTTTCCTTTCCTATATATGATGAAAGAAAATCTTTTGAACGAAGTAGCGAACTCAGAAGATCACAATAATGTTTTTTTCTGCTCTAGGCATTTCTCCGCTCAAGATTAGGGCATGCCGGTATACCTTAAGCCATGTTGCTATACGCATGAAAACTGATATTATCTGTAAAAAAGTCTTACCAATTGTCAATTTCTCCCCTATTTTCTCATGTTCGTCTGTTTGAAATTTTATTGATGGAATAAACTTGTATCCCTGAAAAAGAAAATATTGAATAAGACAATTACTGTTTTCCAGATTTCTTCACGCAATAATCAAACAACTGCCATCAATAAATCAATCAATCAAACAATGAATCAATCAATTAAACAATCAATCAAAGAATCAATCAACCTATCAATAAATCAATCAATAAAACATAGAATAATTAACAATTATTCACCAGGTTGAATTCGAGGTGAATATTCCCCGATACTCACAACGAGTCTAAGGCGGATAATTGTTTTATTATTTTTGCACAAGTGAATTGACACAAGAACTGTATTTGTTCATTTACCTCTTTCATAAGAAACGTCCACCAAACGGCTGATATAACAGCATAGTATTTTTGCACAAGTGAATACAACAAATCCTACCGATTCCTGATCGGTCAAATTTGACGTATTATGCTGTTATATTTACCTTCAGGAGAATAATTACAACAAAACCGAAATTGCAAAATGGCGACGAGCCATTTTGTGGACATTTCTTACAAAGAGCTCGAGATAAGTGAACAATCAGAACAAATGCAACTCTTGTGTCAATTCACTTGTGCAAAAATACTAAAACAATTATTCGCGGTTCGCCTTAGGCTCGGTGATTATCGGAGAATATTGACCTCGACTTCGGCGAATAACTATTAAATAATACGTCAAATCTGACCAATCAATATATAGGATTCGTTATATTCACTTGTGCAAAAATACTAAGAATACATATTTTATGTTACAATATTTTGAGAAGCCTTCATTTGTCTTGATTTTTCAATATCTCAGGTATGTTGACCTCTTTGCGATATGCACTTTCGTGTCTTACATCTCTCTAAGAAGCACTCAATTATAGCCAGTTCAGCATCCGTTGCTCCGTATGCGGAAAGCCCGTACAAAATATTTCACATAACTATCGAATTAAACATATAATCAATCTCAAACTGATTGAGATCGTCTCCTCAAAGTGTTCTAAGCACATTTAGTGACTTATTGGCCTTTATTGACTTATATTTTGCATGCATATATGTTATAGTTATATTTAGCATTAATATAGTTCTAGTTTATCAATTGTGATATATCAGGTATTGCCTCTAATAGGGGATAACAGCCAAAAAATTAAATTTACAGCCTCACAGTTTTGCGTTTTCGTGGTACCTTTCTTTCCGCGGCAGCGACAATTATTGTTTTCGTCAGCCAAATTTGCTTCATAAGCCGGATAATACGCATCAACACTCTTATAAATACATTTAATACTCGATGAAATCGGCCTCTCTAGATCTCTTATCGTCTTCCTTACACGAAGTCTAAAATTTATCTTACCACTAATGATATTATTATAGACATATGATATGCCATGTCATTGTACTACAAGTCTATTTGTCTTTCCTACTTATATACTTTAATAAGAATCAAAGGGTATTTATATACTGTATAATTGCAGCAAACATGGCTAAGTGTATGAGAGAAATTTAGAGCATAATGAAGCGTATTTCAATAAATAATAATAACGATATAAAAAACCTACCTTTAGGGTTATGATATTTATAAGAACAAACCTACCTTTAGCGTTCGTCTATCAGCTGTCTCTGGCATTTTGGAGAGAACGAGTTGACGATTCTGACGACTGTATCATGCAAACGTGAACTAAAAATTTCAAGTAACGAGGGCAGGTTTACATGGAAGTGATCAAGACTTGCCGCGTTCTTAGAAACTGGTTAGCTGTGGTCTGGAATTTACATCCTGTCTTCAAAGAAAGGTGTTAATATGAAACGCGGATACGGACAGACGAATTCTATGGATTTGGGTGAGTTCTGTGAAAACACGTGTTTTTTTCAGTCACAAGCACAAAATAACGACTTTATGAAGTCGTTATTCTCTGATGAAGCCTGGTTCACACTTTTCCTATGAATCTGGAATTAACTTTGTCTGAGGTTATTGGTGTGCAAATATTTTTGTCTTCTGATAATTTGCTCACAGCTCTAATATTGTATTTATACAGGGTGAACATCGATTCTTATGAAAGAAAGATCCATCATCGCTAATAGCAAAGATAATGACGTTATATTTCCCAGAAAAAGAGGATATTCTAAATTTTCAGGATGAGATTTTAATTTTGAACAAAGGATGCTCAAAATTTCCTCGATTCCTCGAAAGGCCATTCACAAGATCGAATTAATTATACGTATACGTGTGGCGAATGACGCAAATAGCAGACAAATAAATAAAATTATATAAGAACCTAAATATAGATTTCACACGGGATGAATTATTATAGCCCACACGGCCATCAGGAATCAAGTTTAGATCACCACATAAGATGAAATAAAGCTACCGGGGAATAGACGTACCTCGGGGAAACCCCCTTCTAACTTTTACGACAAAGAGCTAAGTTCCCTCTCACCTTAGAAACTTGATAAATTAAAAAAACACCATTACGTTACTATCAAACTAATCTTGGAAGTAAACAAACAAAAAACGCCTAATCAAATACCTATTGTCTAATATTGTTATGCTGTAGAAAGTGTGCTCGTTATTGCTTTGAAAGTTATTGATAAGTTATTGATAAGTCCTGCGGTCGATAAAAATTTTGAGCTCAAACGTCAAACACCTCTGAACAATGTGGGCAGCACAACATTGTTCCATCCTGTTCATATCATATCAATATTGCATCCAACTGATCGTATTTAGGCGTGTAGAACGACTAACTTGCTGTAATTAACACAATATAGTGGCCTCGATTTCGAGCTGTTACCCGTGCAACTGTAAACTTTAACGTCGTGTTATTCGGGTAAAATTTGGGGAGTTGTATAATATGACATGCAATAATATTGTGGATTTTTGAAACCCAAAAGGACAGGAAGACCATTTTCACAGGAATAAACGTAATGAGTCATCATATAAATAATCTTCACCATATGGCGCAGGCGTACGAATTTTCCTTCCTTTGGAATCAAATGGTTTCTTGGACTTTTGTCATATCTATACTCGATCATAGCATGGTTAAAACTTAGCTACTATAGAGTTAGATAAGTTATGATTCATATTCAAAAGTTCACCTTGCCAACTTTTCTACCAGGAATATGTGAAATTTCTTTCTAGTCAGAGGTCGATGTACCCCAACAGAATTTCCAGTGAATAATGGCATTGTAAAAGTGACAAAGAGAATGAGCTGTCATTATAAGTTGAATATGATTTTAATTACAAAAATAGCTCTATTTTATTCATTTCAATTTTACAATATGTCTATCTAAATTGTGATAAAACCTTTTGGATCTGGTAATGTTTCTTAAGTTGCAATTCTTCAGGTACGACGCCATTAAGCAATAAGTTTTCATCATGCTCATAGTGACGTTGCTTTTCTTGATATTTCTCCATTTGCTCCAAAATTGACTTTAAAATGCTAGATGTAAAAAACAATCCTATTTTTTAAGGCAATTTCGACACCCTGATCCTAAAGTTCTTAGGCTAAAGTGCATGACCGAAACATGCATTAATTTTCTTCACAAACTCTGGGATGTAAAAATAATTTTTAGTGCATATGTTTAAAATGTAAGATAACAGAAAGAAAACTCTATTAAGAGAAGGGTAAATTTGTTTCGCTATTGTGAAATATATGTATGTATTGTATGAGTTTCACAACAGACGTATCGACCGTTAACATGCAGGAAATGGTAGAACAACTGTCGTTAAAAATTTAGGTAATACAGAGAACTGGAGGAATATGCATATTCATCTCACGAGACGGTATTTGAACGTGCAAAGAACGTACGGTACAACATCCAAAAAAGAACTTACTCATGTTGTTGCTCCAAAGCTTTCTGTAGTTTTCGTTCACACAACACAGCGTGTAATCTTTTTCGTGCATTTCGAAAATCAGGTTGTATTGCCAAAGCTTCTTTAAAACATATTTCTGCCGAGGAATATCTCCCCAGACTCTGAAATAAAGAGAAGAGAGGATTGTGAGTTACACAAATAGAGAACAAATATTGAGAAAAAGAAATGCAACAATTGGTACAGTCTTAAACCAGAACCAACCATGCAACAGCTTATATATTATACTTTGATTTTATTGCAAAATTAGCATCACAATCTTGCACTATACCACATGCAGAAAACCGCTTTTACCTAAGACATGAGGTAATACCGCCCATGTTTGTGTGGAAATTATATAGCTACAAGGTTTTCTATTATATCCAGACTGTGCATCTGTTTTTTATAGATCAGTAGATAAGTAGGCATTATTTTATACAAAACGTTGCCGATTTGAAATAAATGTACGCTAAACTCGCTCGCTATTCCTATTAAGAGATTGTTCACATGATTCCACTTGGGCAAAGTCAAACGAATCGTGAAAAGATTTTAAGGTGGATATTCAAAATGTTATTATAAATTTCAATGAAACAAGCACAGGCTATCGTCGGGATAACTTCACCACTGCTAGGATTTTGAATGTAATTTTGATACATACAGAATGATTTCACGTTTGTAAATCAGGAAATTTGTAAATCACGTTTCCTTTTTTCTTCAGCCTTGTAAATCAGGACTGTGTAAAGATATACCCTAAATGTACATACTTACAGCAAAGATATTTCCAAGAGTGAAAAAGCTTATTCTTTTATCATTCATAATATGAAGTGAAGCTTCAACTGCCACGCTTGCATCTTTTGAATATCCAGTGTGGTGCAAAATATTTGCTAAACTAACCAGCGCCATTCCTCTTCCTTGACTAAAAATACATTTTGAAAGAGTAATTTAATTGTGTGAATACCAAAAGAATCACGCTTCCCAGTAAATAAAGGTCAAGTTACTGTTATGTTTGATTTCGCGGAATCCCATAGTAAAGAGCTTTAATTAAACCGCGCTAGCGAACTTTGTGTTTAAATTACTGTACACTGTAGCTTATACTGTATATACAAAACAGAAACGTTCACCATAAAACACGTTTTGCAGTGATCGAAAAAAGCGAAGCTGCAGGCATACACTCATAGCTGTTGAGTTCAGGCACTGAATTCATGAACACTGAACACTGCAGATAAGCAAGGATTCCCTGTGTGGCTAAATACATCAGCAATCCTCCAAGCTTCGATTCTTACATAACTGTTGAACATAGTTACAATAGTGTGGCTAAAACACAAAGTTCGTTAGCGGTTTAAACTTACATAAGCTCTTTATGCGTTAAAGATGATGTCTAGTTGATGTTCTTGTTAAAATATGACAGCAATCTTTACAGCTCATATCGAAAAAATCGCAAACAAAAGAGTTTTATAAGTGGATCTGGGTCCGGTTGTATAAAACTTTTAACTAGATTTTCGGTAGTTAAATCGTAGTTACCTCAAAAAAATTTGAGGTAAATTCTAATTGGCCAATCTCACCACTAAATATAGTTAAAAGTTAACTGCATTTCTATACAACCAGCCCCCGAGACTCAACTGGACACTGATCGTATTTGAAAGCATTATTGTACTGTAGTCATGCATAACTCATAAGAACTGTAGCTCTGACATGAATTTTCAACCCAAATAAAGCATATTTCAAGGGTTAGTCAATATCGACTTGTCTCAACGGAGAAATGCATATCTACTTAAAACTAGTCTCAGTCCTTTCCGACATTAAGGTCACGTGGTTGTTATAGTGGCAAAAATACCTGTAGGAATAGTACAACGCTCTTCGTAGACATTCAATTGCCTCGAAAGAATTGCCCTGGATCCTCCAATATAATGCAGCAAGATTGAGCAAGATCCACGAGGTCTCATTCTGAATAGAAAAATGTGTAAAGGTTATGTCTGCCGTCATTATGAGAAAGGTCTATTAGCACACTTGGAAGAATGCTATGGGTTATTAATAACCCATTCGAAAATCGGCGAAGAAAATAATAAAATATAGAGAAAAGTGATTTTGACGAACCCAAAGTTTCGCCAGTCATTTTGAACAGAGATATCTCGGCAGCCCCGATAGGGGTAGGGGACGGGGGCGACAACAGTCTCGCAAGATCCTGAAACTTACCTTATCTAAAGACAATTTTATTCTATGTCCAATGTTTTCTAACTTATATTCCGCAAAAATATGTCTGTTTAAATCTTTTTCGGGATAATTTTTCAATTGATCTCTTTTCACAAGTCCTTCAAGGTGCTCCATTGTTATCATACTGAATGGGAGATCAGCTGCACAGAATGGCAGGACCGACTGTTGAGGAAGTTCACTTTTGAAGTTTATATAATCCTGGTACCTAGAAATACATACAAGTGGATGAAATCAATTTCAAAAGTAGAGGAATAAAAATGTTCTCGTTTGAACTTGCCCAGTGAGGGATAGTGGGGTTAATCCCAGAAATGGCACACCTCATTGAGGAGTAAAATTATAGAATATAGTCTATAATTATATATATATATATATATTATTATTATTATTATTATTATTATTATAAGTGGGTTTATAAAAAACGTTCAATAGCTTAAGCTAAATTACAACGTTCAACAATAAAATTTAAGCTATACTATGTACATCTAAAATTACCTATTTAAAAATGAATTATACAAGTCTATAGCATGGACTATTGGACGTTCTGTCGTTCTACAATAAAAATTTAAGCTATACTATGTACATCTAAAATTACCTATCTAAAAATGAGTTATATAAGTCTATAGCATGGACTATTGGACTATCGCCTGTATTCAAAAAGCTCACTCACACTTACACTCATTGAGTGTGGCATATAAATTTTGTTAATGCTGGTCAATGAGAAAGTTTTCTTTCAATAGATGGAAAGATATAAGGTAAACCACTGAAAATCAAGCCCCTTTTCGGCTGGAAATACCGCCATTGAATCGTAATGAGAAGATTAAGATCTCCCACTCAATGAGTTTGAGTGTGAGTGAGCTTTTAGAATACAGGTGTATGTCTGCAACGTTCTGTCCTACAGAAGTAATTATATAATTTATCTTTGTTAAATCTCGTTTCTTTTTCACTAACGTTTTTCACCTGTTTTGGCAACAATTCGTGAAGCCGATGATTCGGGTCAATCAAATCTTTAATCAACAATACACATGCTTTATTTCTACGTTCTTCCAGTGTTTCCAATTTACTCACAGTTAATTTGCTGCTATAATCCTTATAACCAGTATGCTCCGGATAAATAATGTTAAGAGCCCTTCTTTGAACTCTCTCTATATTATCCCTTTGCATCTTTGTAAGTCCACTACTCCATATCTGCATACCGTACTCTAGAACAGATCGAATAACTGTACAGTAGAACATCAAAAGATCCTCAATAGGTGCTCCATACCTTCTCAAAATTTTTAAAAAATGTAATCGCTTGGTTGCCTTTTTTACAATATAAAATTATTCTGTGTTGGTCCTCCATTTCAGATCATCATCAATCCATACTCCAAGCAATTTATAGGAGAGTACTTGAGCTACTTGACAACCGCCAATATTAATCGCCGGTATATCTGTTTTATTCTTTCTAAAATCAATAATCATTTCCTTACACTTTCCTCCGTTCAACTCCATCTTCTCGTCTCTGGTAAATTGGATTACTTTATCCACCCATTCCTGTGAGATTCCAATTGGACTTCCCGATGTATGGGATGATACATCAATCACTTCATACGAGGTGGTGTCATCCATAAACATTGTTACATCTTGTTCCTCAGATGTGATGGGTTTGGATTTCATCGGGAGGTCATTAATTTTCAGGATAAAGGATATTGGCCCTAATTTGGTTCCCTGTGGCACTCCACCGTTGATTCGCTTTAAACTTGATCGTTCCCCCTGAAACGTTGTTATTTGGGATCTTCCTTGTAGATAAGATGCAAGCCAAGCAACTAGTTCAGGTCTAACACCATTATTGAGAAATGACTCGAGCAGTTTATTGTGGTCAATCAAATCAAAAGCCTTGCGAAAGTCAAGGAAGATGATGCGAATAACTTTTTTAGTATTATCCATAGCCATATGCCATTTGTGTATCAATAACAACAATGCATAAATTGTTGATGACCCAGGGAGCCCACCATACTGGCATCGACTTATCTTTTCTCCAACATCCTCGATGATCCAACTGTTAACGTAAGATTCTTGAATTTTGGATAAAACACTCGTTAAGGCAACTGGTCTCAATTCATCAGCAGAACAACAAGGTTTGGTTTTAGGAATAGCACATACGTTTGATATTTTCCAAATATCAGGAAAAACACGTTCCACTTTGGAATTTAATAGTCTTTAGACTTCAACTCAATCATGCAATGATCGGAATTTCCAAATGGGGCTAAAACAGTTGGCTTCTCATAAGATTGATGTATGTTGGTAAATACAAGGTCTAGTGTTGCATTCCTTCGTGTAGGATCTTTAACTAGTTGTTTTAATTGGCATTGCTTCTTGATTATTCTTTCTTGAAAGCCATTTCCTGTTGGGTTAAAGTCCCCAGAGACGATTATCGCTATATTTGGACTTTCCGAAGTTAGGGTGTCATAGCAATGACAAAAATAGTCATAGAATTTGTCAATTTCATCGGAGTTTAACGATGGAGGAAGATATACACATGCTAATGCTATCTTTGACATTGTTCGTGGTAGCCATTTAGGGCGAATTACGATCCATAAACATTCATGATCCACGCTAGAAAGATCATATCGAACTTTTGTTGGGATAGAGTCTTTAATAAAAAAGGCTACGCCGCCACCTCTACCATATTCTTTATCATTCCTAAGTACATTGAATTGTGGTAATCCAGGAAGGTGCACAGCTTCATCTGGTACGTCATTGGATAACCACGTTTCTGAAATCATCACAATGTCAGTTTTTCTATTGTCGATAACATGCGAAAGTTCATCAGTTTTCTTCAAAATTGATCGAGCATTTAGACTCAAAATATTACCCTGGTAGAAATCCTGAGTAAGATCCTATAAGATCTTATAGGATCTGATAGGATCCTCTAGGATCCTTTTAAGATCCTATATTTATCAGGATCTTAACAATTTCCTGTACAAGATCCTAAAAGATCTTAAATGGCTTAAGATATTGAGTGATCCTAAACAGAAAATCCTAATTTTTCCAGGATCCTAATTAAGATCTTAAAATTCTTACAGGACAAGAAACTCAACTGTTTTCATATCACACTATAAAAATTATATATTAAAAGATTTCTCCGAGATCTTATTCTTATAGGATTTCTTTAGGATCAAAATTTCTTCAATACTTTATTATTTATATATTGTATAGGATTTTTTAGATATTTATACTCTTATAAAGATTTTCTTAAGAACGTATTTTCTTACAGGACGTATTAAGATATAACTATTATATTCTTACAGGATTCTTCAAAATCTTATGAAATTCTTCCAGGATCTTTTTAAGATCTTAATTGTATTCTTACAGGATCTCGTTAAGATCTTACCATAATTCTTAAAAGATTTTTTAAAAATCCTATTGTATTCTTACAGGATTTTTTAAAGATCTTGTTATATTCTTACAGGATTCTTCAAGATCTTATGAAATTCTTACAGGATCTCTTTAAGATCTTACCATATTCTTAAAAGATTTATTAAAAATCTTGTGGCATTCTTACAGGATTTTTTAAAGATCTTATTACATTCTTACAGGATTCTTCAAGATCTTATGAAATTCTTACAGGATCTCTTTAAGATCTTACCATATTCTTAAAAGATTTATTAAAAATCTTGTGGCATTCTTACAGGATTTTTAAAGATCTTATTACATTCTTACAGGATTCTTCAAGATCTTATGAAATTCTTACAGGATCTCTTTAAGATCTTACCATATTCTTACAAAATTTTTTAAAGGTTCATAATTTTAAAGATTTTTAAAATTGCCAACAGTTTCAATTAGTCATGCTGATAACACTTGAGAACTGGGGAAACAAAACCAAAGGAACTATCGTTTTGTCTTTCCACCAAAATTATCTTACCAATAAAGGATGAGCAATTTACAAACTTCACCAGGTTTGTCTTCTCGACAGCAATGAAGTGAGAACCAAGATGACCTGAATGCAAAAACTCTCTCAGGACTGGATCTGTTGGCTGGGGTAAACCTTCTTGACACACGTTGTAATTTAAACTATGATAAACCCTAATTACTGCGAAACCAGTGTTCTCCTTCTTGACGAAAAATTTTACTTCTCCAAAATACTCGTCAGCTTCTTTAATTTTAACAAGAAAACTTACTGATTTCTTCTTTCGAACATAACTGGTGCTGTGATACACTTCTCCATTCTTTTTCATTCTTTGCGCTACAAACATGTTTTCCGTATTGTGTGGAAACTTTTCGATGTTTTCTTGAGTTAATTCCAACGGTTTAAAAGGCTTAAAGAAATGAACGTTATTCAAAAGTTCTATTGTGTCATTTAATAGGTCAGGTCTCAATAGTTTGTCTGCAAACTCTCTAGCATGAGCGTTGCCTTTAAGGGAATTGGTAACTTTGTGCTCCACGTGCTGTGCCACAGCCAGCTTTTTACATATCTGATCTGGAACTCCCCGTGTACCATGAAACAGCCTTTTAAGATGCGCAAGCATTGATTCAAACACAAAAGCAGAATGAAGGATTAAAGGCCCATGATCTCTAACTTGTTCGGCAAGGTGAGTTAGGGAATGCGAGTTGAAAGTAGCTTCTGAAATATCATACAGTTTCGGAAGCAACCTTGTGTAACTGTCGAGCATAGCCCCAGCAACTGAGATCATGTCCTCAGTAATGTTATATTCACATAACATCCGAACGCCAGTGACCAACAGCGAGAAATGGAAAAAGACCTCCGATGGCAGAATATCTTTCAAAATTGGAAGGCTAGCGTGGAGGAAAAAGGCCTGCTTTTCACTAGCTTTCCATCTTCTAAATTCTTCAAATGATCTAAACTTTCGCTTAAAATCATGGGGTAAGTTAATACTTTGAAGGCGTTCACTCAAAGCTGCGATGGTACGTTTGAGGTTGACACGACTTGGACACGATCCGGATAGCCACTTTGTCATGCGTCGTGTGAATTCTCCTTCAAGGACCTGATGCATGTAATCAAAAGTTAACATATCTGGAATCTTGAGAATTGAATGCACATTCGACCGCCCTTTTACTCCAAAAACTGTTTCTCCTGTCTCCTCAGCTATTTGTGCGTAAGCTACTGTATCTTCGTGTGTGCGGCGTGGAAATGGCGTGCTCGTATAAGGATAAACACGTTTATTACCAGGGCCAACCATTTTTTGCCCTGGATGGAGACAAGAACAGCAGCCAAACTTTCCATTGAACTGGATAAAATTAACAGAGGGGGCTTTTGCGACTAAATCAGCAACTTGCCCATTTACGACTAGTTTAAACTTTGATTCAAGATCACCAATAGAAATTGTCAGGCCAGAGCCTAAATGAATCATTTCTTCAACGAATTTCTGTTGAAAGACCTCCATATTCGGTTTTCGTTTTCCATACCAAATACCGGACATTATAATGTTCTTGAAAGAATATCGCAATGGTGGTGGAAGCTCGACAACAAAGCTCTGAATAGGCCAGATAGAGGCGCTGTTCGATCTAAACGCGGGTGCTCCATCAACATGCCAATAAAGAGTGATTGGGAAATGACCATCTCTTCGTACTTCAGTACTCTGCGATTGATATAATTTACCATCTAATATATCTTTGTAAATATCATGAGTATGATGGTAGGCCTCAGTAAATCTCTTAATAATATCCCATTTGCCTATAAGAATTAGGAAGCACATATTACATGGCTGTTTTGAAAGCGAAACTAATATATATGCCTGGTCATGCAGCTATTAACTAGCCACCTTACAGTGTGGTATAAGTTTACCTGATATTAATCTTTTTAGCTCTGGAAGAATGTCTATAACATAAAAGATGCTCGAATTTTCTCCTTTTGCAGGCATTCTATGTAACGAGCACTTTTCGTTCCTGCACAGGTCATCAACCAAGGGGCTTTGGCAATTCATGCATGTCACATATCTTGTGGAACTATACGCGAGCTCTCTTTCATTCCTCTTTTCAAAGATGTAGCTTGATGTAGGGAGGTTGGTGCTATCTGGTAGACACAGTCGAAGCATTTTCAAAATGCTGTCCAATGCGAGATTCGAAAAGTTGTGTCTCTGCTTCAAAGCTAGTAGAACCGCATTAAATTCTTCCACGGATAAAGGAGACCCCTGGAACAGTTCTAAGTATTGGGAGGTTATTATTTCATCGTCTGAATCATTTGTCTGTTCATTATCACCAGAAGAAGGTTCCATAGTGTCATCACTTGATAGGGAAGAATCGCTATCTGTGTGAATGTCGAGGTCGCTGATTTCGTTGTCTTCGATATCGCTGAAGCCAGCAATTGCTGATGCATTGCATTCTGGATCTACTAAAATAAGAAACATGCAGCTATGAAGCAATTTTTTGTACATTATTAAAGTACTTCGATACCTAATTATTGAACATTTTCCTACATTTCGGCGCATGGCAGTAAAGGACTTTGCTAAAGTGCCATTGACTTCTTTATAGAGAACAAACAAGAGAACTGTTTTCAGAACCTTTGTTGTTCCTATTCATTAAAGCTTAGCACCACCTTCATCAATCGTCAGGCTAAACTTTTTTATTCTATATGATCAAAATTTTTTGCCCTGCTCTATCATGCACACATACATGCACAGATAAAAGTTCGTAACATAAAACTCAAATAGTTTGTATAGTGCACGTTTGCTTATATATAATTTGTTCAAATAAACACATTGCTAAATTCTAACTTACCGCTCAAAGGTAGAATTTCATGAGTGGGATTTCCGCTATAAGTTCTGTGGTCTAAATTGTTCACGCTTGTGTCACAATTGCTCGTGTTTGCCAAATGGTCTGAATTGCTCGTTCGCGCACTATTATCATGATCATTGCACTCAACATCACCACTATAACCTTCTTCTATGACGCCACATTCTACATAATTATATATATATTGAATTTATTGAAAAGCATTTATTTATTACTCGAACACAAACAAATTATAAACATCAAATATTCGGTTTTTGTATCAACCTATAGGTATATGCAAATTTTATGAAACGAAATCCACTGCAACTTTCAGCAAAAAAACACTGGGGGTAAATAGTACTTCCTAAAGCTACATAATAGTACTTCCTAACTGCCAAATATTAGTGCATAAATATTGGGTCAGCATCATTTCCAGTGAGAGAACCTACCGACAGATTCAGCAGAACTGTCAGTCTCCTTATTAGAATCGGTATCATCATTAGAATCAGTATCAGTCTCCAGAGGCAAAGGCGTATGTTGCTTATTACAGGTTGGCGTTTTCAGTTGGTACTCGGCCAGATCTTCATCGCTATTAGTTGAATCTGATTTTCCTTCTTTATACGAACCGGAATCTTCATTTTCCGAAGACTCTTCTGTTTCTTCATTAAATACCTCAGCGAACAATCTTAACTTTTTCTTTGCTGGGTAACTCATCTTTGATAAAAATATTTTTAGCAATGGAATTTATAGTCATATGTCTGTGAAGGAAATGATGCCCAAGTGCAACGGAAAAAGTATTTCTAAACGCTGCCAGCTGCCGCGCGAACCCATTGTGAGTTTTTCCTGTCAGTTGAAATGTGATCTAAAAAGTCAAAATTTTTCCCTATTGGGTTTAGAGATTTGATTGGTTGCTTTCAATGCTCTACATTACGGGTCTGCTCGCGCGCGCAAATTCACACTCATCCAAGGTTCACTTCTTTAACGAACATCACTTGATTTTCACAATTTTGTTGGTGCATTTTTCGTGGCATTTGTTATCATGGCTGTTAGTGAACGATTACAAAAGAAACGTCTCGCTGACAAATTCCCAGGTATGTTATATTGAAAGCATTTTTACACTGTTGTATTTCAAAGGAATTTTATGACCGAATATGTGCGCATTTGCGCTATATGCATGCTATTTCGTGTGCGTCTCATTTTGAAAGGACTGTCATATATGAATTGTGTCTATGCTAGTATATTTGAACCATAGAAAATCGTATTTTAGGCCAATTCCTAAAGACACAATGTCAATGAAAAGGGCATAAACATATAGACTATATAGGGTTAATTCAGTATCTTTGAAAATTAGGATAAACTTAGTGGAATATAATTAGTCTACATGGTACTTAATGAGGTGGTCTCGCGAAGATAATATAATTTCTTAATACTCATGTTAATTGCGAAATATTAATTGTAGGCTATATAGCAAGTTAAAATAAGGAAAAATGTACAAGTTTGTCGTACATTGAATAGACAAATACTTTAATTTCCGTGGCGTCCTTTAGCGGCTTGTGCAAAGCTAATGGTATTTCACAGCTATAAGGGTAAAAGGATATGTGATTTAAAATATCTGGTATTGTGACCAAAGCATAAAACATTTTAGTTGTACCACACTGAGATAATTCACAATGTTATTTGCATTGAAATATAGACTATAACCCCGAAGCAGACTACTTCTTAATCTGGTTTCAAGGGGAGGACAAATATTCGATTGTGGAAAGAAAAATGATCGTTGAGAAGGACATAAAAGTTCACGAGGTCGCTACAGTTAAGGGAGCTACTGGACGATGGACTGGTCATGTTTCACTTATAGGTTAGCTATGTCATTATACTAGTAATTTTCCAACTCATCAAACAAACAATTGTATTACTGACTTTAGGAACAAAGATTGAATGTGAGACGAGACTCAAGTCTTACGAAACGATGTTAGGTGGAAATTCTGCAGGCAGCAGTGTTGGGCAGGAGGAACCTGATTTACAACCAAGGCCTGAGAAAAAGAGAACCGAAGGTATAAACATTCCCATTTATAAGCAAGTAAGATTTTCTACTAAACCGCAAGTGAAACGGAAATTATACCACAATTAGAATAAAATTACAACAAATTACTGACAAAATCTTTTCAATTTAGACTGTCGCAAAAGAAACAGAAGCAGAATCATGACATCGGATTCAGAGCCTGATGAGGAAGAACACTATAATAATCCAATGGGTATAAAATTCATCTATCATCATTACCATGCAAATGTCATGACTCTAGACGACATTCGTCTATTTCGCCAAGCATGTTGCTTCAAAATAAATATATCACATACAAATAGACTGTAACAGGTTCAGCATATTTTTTTAGAAAATGATATGGTGAACGAAACTAAGAAGGTCCGGGATTTATTGAAAAAATGCAAAGCCAAAGAGGTATCTTTTCTGCCCCGATTGCATGGCCACGAATGATTTATTAAACGTTTTCAAATTTGCCTTAATGCGGGTCAATCAATTCGTAGTATTTATTAATCATATAGTTGGTGATAAAGAAAGCTAGGTTAAGCAAATAATTAAGTTTCATGTTTTAATATGCATATAGAGTCAGCCAAGCCATGCACCAGACATGCATGATTTCATGGTGGAAATTGTCGGCAAACTTGATGCGATTTCCAATAAGTTAGACAAAGTTTTGGAAACGTCGTCACACGCGGAAAGGAGGCAGGTTGATGTAACGCCCAAAAGAAGGAAACTGGAGGAAATAGACCTGTCTCCAATCAGTTCGCATAGTCCCCTGAATCAGGTAAATATGCGCATTTTAAAAATAAAGTATTTGCAGTGACCCTGAACTTGGACCCGAAATTATTAGTTTTTTTAGATACTCGCACTCCTGATTTGAAGCCTTTCATTGTTTAAATTTTAGGGCCATCTCAATGTTAGTAAGTCATCGCCAGTTCAAGTAATGGAAGGAGAAAATATTTCACTAACTGACGACTCTGAATTCGTAAGATAACAATAATTTCCTTTGACAAAATAACAATCATTTCATTTGACAAAATAACAATCATTTCATTTGAGAGTAACTATCCATAATTAGTGTATTAGACAAATTGGTGTATTAAACAATCATGCGTTTATTCTTTTTCTAAAACTCTATACATTTTAGATTTTCAAAGGGACAAATTTACTGGTGGACGTTACCGCAAAGTCCAAAAAGCCGTCGCTATATGCCACGCAGCTACTTTCCCATCTCTTCACAGATGAAGAAATGCGGGAGGGTTGCGTGGAGCCCAAAGACAATAAGAGCAAAAAACCTGTCTTGGAACAAGACAAAATAAATCTAATAAAAAGTATGTTAATTAAAAATTTTCGAAAGTATTAATTTTCAGGGTATCAGCACAGGAGATTTTCATTAGTAGCGAAATCACTTTGAAGACAAGTGCTTTTTCTGCATACATTTTGTCGTATAATTGCTTCCACACACTATAGTGCTTATCCTGTTTTCTCTTTTTATTATGTCAAATAGAGTGCGTGGTGGTGAAATATGGGGATAAAGCCCTCAAAGGATGGCCTGAAATTCGGCAGAGCCTAAATCAAAAGTGCCTGGACAAAAGAAAACGGCACAAAAAGACTAAAAAGATGAACGTTAATTTGAACTCTAAAACTCAGTAATCTTTATTTGATAATTGGATCAAGTAATATTTTATGTAATATACCAAAATAAACATTAATTATATATATATGTTTGTGTTGTGTTATTTCTGTCATCAATTAAGAGATTCTGTTTAAGATCAAGCTTTGATCCTGCATGCATGCTTAGGATCCTAAAAAGATCTTTAGGAACCTATAAGATCCTGCCTAAGATCCTAAAGGAATATTTAGGAATTTATTAGATCCTGCCTAGGATCCTAAAAGAATATTTAGGAATTTATAAGATCCTCTTCAGGATCCTAAAAAAATATTTAGGAATTTATAAGATCCTGTCCAGAATCCTAAAGGAATATTTAGGAATTTATAAGATCCTGTCCAGGATCCTAAAGGAATATTTAGGAATTTATAAGATCCTCTTCAGGATCCTAAAAAAATATTTAGGAATTTATAAGATCTTGTCCAGGATCCTAAAGGAATTTTTAGGAATTAATAAGATCCTGCCTAGGATCCTAAAAAAATACTTAAGAATCTTGTCTAGGATCTTAGGAATCTTTAAGATCCTGTGTAAGATCCTTTAAGATCTTATAGGATCTTATAGGATCCTATAGGATCTTAAAGTAAGATCCTATAAGATCTTATAAGATCCTATAGGATTATATTGTAAGATCTTATGCAAGATCTTATGCAGGATCTTAATAAGATCTTACATAAGATCCTAACTAGGATTTCTACCAGGGTAGGTAAATTACGATTGGGTTTAAAGTTCTCGATCGTGCGTATTTTAACCAAATTTGAAGTATTTCTTGAATTGTCGGCATTCGAAGTATTTCTTGTATTACATCGGGTAGTAATTCGGACAGGAATCTTGCTAATAATTTTATCATGACAATCAGATGCGTTCTGGGAGTTTAGACAAGAGTTCCCATTGGTGGTTGTAGGGAGAGATCGTATCTCGGTTGGTGCGGCCATAAACGTGTTAAATTTTGTTTCCATGGTTTCCGAGCTCTCTTTTGGGGTCGGTCGTCGGGTAAAAAATGACCATCATGTATTTGATTGGTGTTCTTCTTCGTGTAGAATCCTCTTTTTGGTGAAAAGGGCATATCGTGTTTACGTGTTTGAACTTTTTTAGGGTGCTTGAAATCACAACGATTACCTTTTAGACACCGACTATACTATATATATATATATATATATATATATATATATATATATATATATATATATATATACTTTTATAGTCTAAAATTGATTGAGTCAGGAAGATGTGTCCAACTAACTTACCCAGAGTTGTATATTTGAACGAACATCAATGTTTTTATATTAATATTTTAAAAAAATTATACCGACCAGACTTCATGAATTTATCTTTGTCAACCAAAGTACGTACCATATGTAGGTAACCCCTATAGACCCGTTGACACTTGCGATTTTTGCTGCGATTTTATGTACGATTTTCTTCTTTTGATAGATGTGAACGAGTAATTAGTTACGAATGCTCTGATGTATAAGAACCCATATTTGAACATCAGTAACTAATTCATTCGTTTACATCAATCAAAAGAAGAAAATCGCACATAAAATCGCGGCAAAGGTTGCAAGTGTAAACATAGGCGGCCCAGAACTGCTGATCTCGCTGACCTCGCGCGACGCTCGTGTTGTCTGAACAGTCTTATATTATGACTGTCATAATATAAGACTGTTCAGACAACATAAGCGTCGCGCGAGGTCAGCGAGATTAGCGAGATGAGTTCTGGGCCGCCTATGGTGTAAACGGGCCTAATCACTACCCTAATTTGTACCATTTTTCTTAATTGTCACATAAGAATGGTCCTAAGATCTATGTTTGTATGACTGGATGCGTCTCTTTTTGTACTGGTATTGCAGAACTGGCTGCAGAAACTGTACTTCATTCAGTCTCCTAGCTGTCATTGGATGATATGGGGTCAGGGTCTTACCTAGTTCGCAGTCCAGGCATCCTTTTCCAGTCAGTTTTTAGAAGCTCATTTAGAAATGATGGCATTTAGACAGGTATTTTATATTTGGATACAATTTTTTTATTTGGGTAAAGTCTAAGGGTTACAGCTACAATTTGTTTATCGTTAGTTTTGTAACTCTCAAATGAATTTCTCAGGCATTTGGACCTTTTGTTCAGTCATTTCGTTGTTAACAAACAAGCTAGAGCTCATAATAAAAAGCAAGAATGTACTTTCTTGTACATACGTATAGTACATGCCCCACTGTTTATGTATTTAATGATACCAAATCTGGGAAAAAACTGGTCATGTCATAATTCCTTTCACAGTCTGTTATAAAATATATATTAACTGTGTCATATATTGTAATGTGCCACTCTTTCTGTATTTACAATTAATACATACAATAGAAATACTTTCATCTTTTACCTGCTTTGCTGGTTATGGTAATGTAACATTAAGAACAAATTAAAGATAGGATAATTTCTGTGCCTGTCACACAGATATTTAACTGCCCCTATCAGTAATGGTACAGCTACAGTACAGGGCAGGCCATAGCCCGGAGTTAGCTTGTCCATTAATTCATACATTACGAGACATAACAGATTTCTTTAAGTGATTGTGCCAAAAAATCCAGATATAAGTATAGTTCTGGATGAATTTATATAAATACAAATCCATCCTAATGTAGTCTAGTTATATATGGACCTGCAGCCATTGTTTCTATTAAAAAATAAATTATTTGCAAGATTTCACAAACCTTATTCCCAAGGTATCAAAAGGGATCATTGTGCTAATTTGCAAATTAAACTTTTTCAATGGTTTTCCTGCCAGCAAACAATCTTCATCTTCACTATGATACTTCATGACAAGATCCACCTTTTCTTCATCTCGTTCAACTTCCAGTAATTTCTTTTCATTTGATAATTCATCTTTTACACATTTTAATCTCTTCAGTTCATCATCAGTCCTTATGAAGATGATTAGACTGTCTGGTCTTTTTAAGTGTAATTCTGAATAAATCTAGAAAAAGAAGTATGGGATTTAGACAAACATAAACCCTTGTGGCACCAGCAGACAGTGGCGTAGCCAGCCTGACGATATGTCCTGCTATACTAATATTTTGGTGTTCATTGACTGTGAAAACAATACATTGCTAAAGAAATGAATAAATATAATAACTCAAAATTTACACAGCGGTTAAATTCGTCAGGTTGACTACGCCGTAGCCTGTGTGCAGACATATAATTTCTCTATATGTCAGCTGCACTGTAGCTAAGCCAGTGATAGACAATTAATAGGCACCCTCATAATCAGGGCATTTTCCTTGATTTTGGGTTGGGGTAAAAAGGCCCTGGGATCAGCCAGCCACTTCTGACTTCTGATGTTTAGTCTGACCATTTAGTCTGTTAATCTAGATGTTTCTTGAGTACTGAACTACCATGGTAAATGTAGCAAGTGGAAATATTGCAACAAAGTTCTGTGGTACTACTGGGAGCTCCTTTCTCCAAGAAGGTTAACTTATATTTCAGAGAGAAATTAAGGAAAGTGTCAGGAAGTTTTTTATTTCCACAGCTCTTTACAGAAAGGAACCAACCAAAGATACTGTAAAAACAATTTGCTCGATCAGCATGTCAGACAACTAATTATTCAAATTTATAGTGTCAAATACACAATTACTTTCTTCTTCTAGAGGAGTAAATGCTCAGATAGGATCTTAAAAGGAGAAAGCTTTGTCGTTCAATAGACATTTCATTAATCATATATCTAATAAAAATGCAATTAGTCACGTAGTCCACAAACTTTCTTCCTGCAATTAAATTGCTAAACTTCCGTAGTGAACACGCACTCGGGATTGTATTCTATTAAATATATGAAAAAATCTGGATCCTGGACGACAGAGGTACACCGTATATACACAATATAATATGTTTCTGAATATACCAATGCGGCAGGCTGATTGTATAAACAAATTTCAAACGTAAACAAACGAGCATTGTTCAGTTATATATTCACTAACCTTTGCTCTAATTCGGCCATGATCAGTTATAACCCAGTGTGTATATGTGAGAACCACATTTACGATTGTCAACAAAATAAAAGCAACGTTATGTGAATTACGATACACGGACATTATGTATCTCAGGTCATGTTTGAATAAGTTTATAAAAAGCTACAAATGAAAACCTTCCATCGTTTCTTTCCATGTGTTGTTATGGCGTTGTTATGAGTCTTTAATAGAAACCATCGCTCAAAAGTTGAACTACCATTTGGGCTCTGGGATAAAATGATTCTGATTGGTCGTTCACACCCAGTGTTCACACCGTTTAAATTTTGAAATACAAAAAAAAACCCTTCTGGCTTCCGGTTTGGATTATCCCAAAGCCCGAGATTGGTTTGAACGATTGTATTGAACAATCATCAATTATCTCCGTTTTTCGCGTACTTTTTTGAATTTGATCTCATCAGGCAGTTATCAGCCAGCTGGGACAGAACCAAGGTTTAACTCTTCCTTCTTTTAGTAATTCACAGAATATCCCTGGCAACATTTTTATATATCTAGCACTTCGCCTCAGTTGCAGAGAAAAAAATTGCTTAATTCCTTCACGGAATGCTGACTGCATGAATAAAATTATTGGGTTAAAATGACAGCTCTAATTTGTGCTCTAAAACATGTAGATGTTAGATAACTAGATTTTTGGCAAGTTAACCTATTATATCTGTACGTGTGGTGTAAATCGACCCAAATCAAATGCCTGAATATTGTAGTAACCGTGATCTAATGGATCGATCTCTGAAATAGATATTAAATTACAGACATGAATATTTTGGCACCCTGTGGCTGTGGTGAATTCATGCAACGTCGTCGCTAGTTTATTGTAGTTGGTTTAAATTTGTGATTTCATGGCGACTCGGTTCATGAACCGACTAAATATGAGCAAGCTGCTTGTTTTAAGAGCTAGAGTTGTATTTAAATACAAATATTCATCTTCTCCAAGAAGCGCAAGATGTCTCCATATGGGCGAATATTTCACTCGTGGACGCTTGAGTGATATCGAGCTACAGACACCAGTGCCCTTGGCTGGAAGGAAATATTTAGCAAGTTCAACATCACCCGGCTTTCCAAAATATCTTTCAGGACCAAAAGATGACTTTCCAATGTTGGTTAAAGCGAAGAAAGGTGAGCAGACAAGTATGAAACACTGGGCATTGAGATCAAGAGAGATTATTGATCAGGCATATCAAAGGTATGTAAACACAGTTTAAACATAAATTAAAATTGAAAGCAGCTTTGTAGTATCACTGGTAGTATATTAGTACCAATGTGAAGTACGCACCACATTCAACACGACATTCAACACGACATTCAACACCACATTCAACACGACATTCAACACGATAATCAACACGATATTCAAAAACACCATATGACTCATTTCCATCATTCAAACGTTCGAAATTTAAATATTGTTTACAACCCTTTCCAATCATTTAAAAAAATTGAAGCAGTAATTCGATCAATTCAAACATAAACTTTACATGTTTTAACGAAATTAACCTAACATATGCCCAAAAAAAGAGATTTTGTACCAACCTATTCATCGGTAATTTTGTATTTCGCGTTGCCAAGAACAATATCCTAATCTTCGCAGCCCCGATTCCATAGAATTCCTTTAAACTTTTGTATTTGATAGAGAATAATGCACGCTTTCAAACGGTATGCATACATAAAAGTGGTGCGTGCCTAGAAATATATAAAATGCCGTCTTAAAGTCAAACATATTAGCACGTTAAATGCGCACAGTAAATGACTATTAAATTCTTAACGAATTAATTTCGGTATGCTCTTTTTAGCTGTGGTGATTTATTTCTTCTTGTTATCTAGATCATAAGCTGGTCTATTATGCCAAAGTCCATTGGATCCGACAAAGTTGGATCGTGTGAACGGTCCTTTAGTTTTTTTCTATTCAAATTAATTCTGTTATTAACACGGATATTTACATATTAGCTTCCCGGTCACTTACCGATTTTACGCGGCCACTGCGTCATATCCTTTGCATTTCTGGAAGTCTCCGTGAAAAAATATATTTTTCGTTTCTCGAAGGTACGAGAAGGATGGTACAGCAGTCGCTTTATTGTTCCGTGGTCTTCCAAACTCGGGTGGAAAGGATTTCTCAGAATGGGTTAACAATTTGGGTTTTGAACCATTTTCCTATGTCGGAGGAACAACCGCCAGAAATGAGATTGAACTAAACGTTGACCAGGGAGCTTTGGATGAAAATGTTATAACTATTGAAACTCATAATGAGATGGCTTACTCCAACAGATTTCCTAAGGTATTAAATGCGTATTATGACGCTTTATAGGTTAAAGCAGCGCTGTAGAAGAGAAGGGCACTTGAAGGCGGATGCCCCCCCCCCTTAAAGGGAGCCCTTCCCTTCTACTTTAGGAAACTAATAGTTTATTAAGAAAACTATTGAAGAAAACTTGGCTTCTTTTTAATTAAGTGGAATCAAAATGGTATCCATAATAGATTTGGATATCTTTTATGCTCCTATGTTCATCTCAGCTAGGTTCACATTAAGTACTTCCAATGTGAGTCTTGTGGAGCTGCTTTGATTAGCGCAGGCGCAGCCAACTCATATTTTATATTAAAGGACTTAAAATGAGTTCTGATCTATCTTATATGAGTTATCCCAGTGACGAGTTCTGAATATCTATGACGTCGTCACACAATGACGTCACCTCAGTTATTTTTTACTCCACGCAGATAACAGAAGAATTGAACACTTTCCTGGCACTCTATCGTTTCGTCGCGACAGACCAATTTTACATTGTTTCACCGTTTTTTTTTTACATTTAGATCTTCACAATAAGTTGTTTCAACAAAGCTCACTGGGGTGGAGAGACTGCAATTTGTGACAATAGAGATTTCTCCGCGAAATTGGATCCAAACTTTGTTGAAAAATGCAAAGATAGAAAAATCCGTTACTGGAGTTGTCTTCACAGCGAAGATAGCGACAAAAATCTTTACCAAAGTTGGCAAATGCGTTTTAGAACCAAGGACAAAGGCGAAGTTGACGAGTTCATGAAATATCGTCAGTATAATTTCTTCTGGGAAGGAAACACGTTGTTTTACTGGGATAATGTATCACCGACTCTGAAGCACGTGAAAAGTGGCGAAGAATTGTGGTTCACCCAGATTGGAACGAGCCATTGTACTTATTTTATAAACACTCCACAATACGAGGGCCTGCCGGAAATGCCGAACAAGGAGTACCCGACTCACACCACGTACGGTGATGGAGAGGAATTTACATCGTACGAAATTGACAATTACAGACGTTGTAAGTGGGAAAATGCTGTTGCATTTGACTGGCAAAACGGTGATATTCTTTTTCTTGATCAGATGATTGTTCAACATTCCAGATTAAGTTTTGAGGGGGAAAGAAAAGTCGGTGTTAGTCTTTTGGATTACTAGCAGTGGATGATCTGTTTGGATTAGTCTGTGCTAATATGTTTAGGATTTATAGTCGCTCTATTAATAATAGCCAGAATTCGCGGACATTTGAGTATGACACACCAAATCATCAACAGAATCCAACCTTATGCATCTCTTCAATCGTTATGATTTCATAAGTATCAGTTATTACTATTTTAAATTTTTCGTACGTATACATACGTGCAAAAAACGCGACAGTGGAAGGAAACCTAACTTTTGCTGGTATATGTTTCTGTAGATTTTCCATTTTTAATTCATTGTTTACAAATATTTTGTAACGTATAACATATTCAGAGACCAACGTTATAAACGGCTAAAACTTTAGCTTTCAAAAGCAGGAAGAATAAGAATAGAAATTTTTACAAATCTACCTGAAAATATTTTGAGTAACTTAATTGTTCTGCAACTTGCAATCGAGGAAAAAGCTTCTTTTTCAAAGGCATTCGAGAAATTCCCTTTTAGCCCGAATCGGACTAGCGATCATCTGACAAACACCGCATTCTAAATTACTAACTGAATAATATGCGAAAGATGGTCAATGGCCAGCAGCAATTTGAAAACTAACAAGAACGAATAGCGTAGCCAGCCAGTTGATTTGCCCCACTATGCTAATATTTTAGTGTTCTCTGACTAAGAAAACAATAGATTTCTAAAGACATGAATAATTATAATAACTCGAAATTTACATAGCGGGACAAAATCGTCAGGATGGCTACGCCACTGAATACCCAAACTACAAACTGTCAGTTTCAGCGTGACATGTAAGTGTTTGGTACATATACAGGCCGCCTTTAATGAACTTGATTTATTTCTGTGCAAATGTGATCTTGACAATAAAGAACTTAAGATTGTAGTAGATATGAACTGCGACTTTTCTTAAGCAGTTCCAGGCTCTCATACGCGGAGACTCCCACTGTCATGCTCTTTATATTCAATTAGACCAAATCAAGGAACGCAGAATCGGCAACATTTGCATGTCGACCTTTTCTTGACAAATCAAACTGAGAATATAACGAACTCAGACGTGATACATCTTGCATAAAGATTTTGATGAAAACGATATCATTCATACATCGCAACTTCTTTGGGATATTGTGCACCAATTTGACAATACTGCTTTATCTGGCATGTTTGCAGATCCCTTTTTCTGGCGATACTTGATTGGCATGCGCCTATTCGGTGTAAGCGAATAAGAGGCAGCTCGGTGCCTTGGATAACATCTGATGCATCTGCAATAATATAAAACACGCATCTACGGCACATTGAAATAAATATAAATTAGAACAAAACAAGGTCAATGCTGCAATGAGAAGCGCTAAAAAAGCTTATTTAAATTTATCTTCGCTCTCAAGGCTAGCCACTGTAGCTGATTCGTCTATGACGCGCTAGGCGTGTGGAAATGCATACTTTGTTTCTCACTGAGACGTAACGGTTAGGTGCACATACATCATGGTCTCTATGGGGGCCGTAGTGCATCTCCCCCTTAGACGGCCGTTAAGATGTGAGTTATGGGGGGAGTTGTTCCTATAGCAACTGTCCTTGCACCTTTCGTAGTTGTAACTATGTTGCATGGAATATTGCAGCTGGTTGTATCCGTGCACCAGTTAGATTGTGGCATAGGCTCGATTATCTCTTTTTACATTCTTTCCAATTTTTTTTTTCGGCGTTCTTTCTAAATTTTTGTTTTAATACAAAAAAATACTGGTATTAAACACATATGGAACGGATACGGTTCAAAAAAAAAATTATATCGACTAAAAACCACCTTAATTAACCTCTGAATACTCTCCCCAGTCTTTGCATGGCTGAGTCTCTGAAATAAACAATAGCAGAGATCATTCATAAACATCAAACATTTATTATCAGCATATTCCTCAACCTTACAGCAGTAAAACAGCAAAAAAGACATTGAGACAATCAACTTTGCATTCTCGTTAGTGCCTTCAGCCCGAGAACTGTCGCGTTAACAGTCTGTTATACAAGTTTTCCGGCGGACTCGACCATGGTTGAACATGCCGTTTTCCGGCGAATTGACCATGGTCGAATACGCCGTTTTCCGGCGCACTCGACCATGGTCGAATACGCCGTTTTTCGGCGGACTCGACCGTGGTTGAATACGCCGTTTTCCGGCGGACTCGACCATGGTCGAGTACGCCATTTTCCGGCTATTCCCATAGCTATATTATTGATGTGAAATACTTAAAATCCATCTAGGGTTGTATCAAAACAGCAAAAAATCAGAACACGGTAAATTTAACGGGAACACGGTAAATGGTAAAACGTTTAAATTCAGTAGTCGCATTGCATGATTACTATTTTCTCGCTAAAAACACTTAAAAAACGTTTAGGCATTTAAATCTTGTAATTTCCAAGCGTGTGCCTTATTAGTCATTTTCTGTGCATATACTTGTTAGGGACCGCCTCCCGAGATCAGGGGAGGCTTAAATACGTTAAATTTATCTTCCCTCTCAAGGCTCGCCACTGTAGCTGATTCGTCTATGACGCGCTAGGCTTGTGGCACATGCAGCAGTAAAACAGCATCAAAGACATTCAGACAATCAACTCTGCATCCACGTTAGTGCCTTTAGCCGAGAACTGTTGCGTTTACATTCCGTTATACAAGTTTTCCGGTGGATTCGACCATGGTTGAACACGCCGTTTTCCGGCGATTTGACCATGGTCGAATACGGCCATTTTCCGGTACACTCGACCATAGTCGAATACGCCATTTTCTGGCGAACTCGACCATGGTGGAATACGTCATTTTCTGGTGGACTCGACGGCAAGATGTCTCTATATGAGCGAATATTTCACTCGTGGAAGTTTGAGTGAGATGGAGCTACAGACACCATGCCGTGCCCTTGACTAGAAGAAAATATTTAGCAAGTTCAACATCACCCGGCTTTCTGAAATATCTTTCAGGACCAAAAGATGACTTTCCAATGTTGGTTAAGGCGAAGAAAGGTCAGTCGTCATTCGACTAAACGGTGTATAATATTCAATTTCCGTCTATCATACTGTAAAGATTTTGCCCTAAATACATGAAATTGCGAAACCAAAATTGCAAAGTTGTAATTGATATTTTAGCCGGGACTAAGGGGCTGATTAGTAACATGGAGTGTTTTCATGTTTTCAGCCTGGGATTGTTATAAAATCCTAACAAAATCACGCGCAGTCCGATTGGGCTAGAAAAGAACATCTCGGCTGCTTTTGAAAAAGAAGTTTTTTCCACGATTGGTATAGTTGCAAAACAATTATGTTACTCCAAATATTCCGAGGTAGATTCTTTTAGCCGTTTATACGATACAAAATATTTGTAGAAATGAATTACAAATAGAAAATCTACATAAACATATACTAGCAAAAGTTGGGCGTTCCTTCCACTGTCGCGTTTTTTGCACGTATGTATATACGTACGTAAAGGTTTAATTAAAATAGTAATAACTGATGAAATCATAGCGATTGAAGAGATGCATAAGGTTGGATTCTGTTGATGATTTGGTGTGTCATACTCAATTGTCCGCGAATTCTGGCTATGATTAATAAAGCGACTCAAATCCTAAACATATTAGCACATGCAGACGAATCCAAGCAGATCATCAACTGCTAGTAATCCAAAAGACTAACACCAACTTTTCTTTCCCCCTCAAAACTTAATCTGGAATGTTGAACAATCATCTGATCAAGAAAAAGAATATCACCGTTTAGCCAGTCAAATGCAACAGCATTTTCCCACTTACAACGTCTGTAATTGTCAATTTCGTACGATGTAAATTCCTCTCCATCACCGTACGTGGTGTGAGTCGGGTACTCCTTGTTCGGCATTTCCGGCAGTCCCTCGTATTGTGGAGAGTTTGTAAAATAAGTGCAATGGCACCCGGCAATCTGGTTGAACCACAATTCTTCGCCACTTTTCACGTGTTTCACAGTCGGTGATACATTGTCCCAGTAAAACAACGTGTTTCCTTCCCAGAAAAAATTGTATTTCTGATATTTTAAAAACTGCTCAACTTTGTCTTTTTCCTTGGTTCTAAAACGCATCTGCCAACTTTGGTAAAGATTTTTGTCGCTATCTTCGCTGTGAAGACAACTCCAGTAACGGATTTTTCTATCTTTGCATTTTTCAACAAAGTTTGGATCCAACTTCGCGGAGAAATCTCTATTGTCACAAATTGCAGTCTCTCCACCCCACTGAGCTTTGTTGAAACAACTTATTGTGAATATCTAAATTTTAAAAAATTAATTAAAGAAGAGTTTTTGTTTCTCGCGATGCAAATCTACTTTTATGAGATGTAGATTAGTGATGAGTTAAGATGTAGTGTAAGAAATCAGTGTAAAAACGACCACCTAGTGTAATAAACACAAAAGTTTCATTTTTTAAAAAGAGAGATGTATTACTGATGTTAAGTAGTTTAGAAAATTTATATTATGCCCGACTTTTCCAAATTTTTATATTATGGATAAATATCTCTTGACTTCTTGACCTTTATGTTACCATTTAGGCTTTAATCAACAGGAACCGAAAAAATTAAGAAATTCGTCGGGCATACAGAACAGATTGTATAACCCCCTCTGATTATCGCGCTAGTGTTGGCTCTGTCCCCAGTAAGGCCGACACACACAGGATGCGATTTTTCAGTTTTCACAGTATGCTAATCTTGACGAAAATGTTGTGATTAGCTACTGAATTACAAGGTATTTCGGCTGGTTTGTTACCCATTTCTCTCAAAATTTTCTTTCAGAATTGAATTTATTTGCTTTTGAAAATGAAAAAGTCGCGTTTGCGAATCGCGTCCGTTCTTTGTCAACCTTAAACCGATAAAGCGTTTTATTATATGACTAGTGTTTGTTTTTGTAAATCCTGCAATTTGATTGGCTGCTGACGAGGCGGGATTTTCCCATATTGCCCACGGGCAATACGCTCAATTTTTATTGCCCTCGGGAAAAACAACAGCAATTCAAAATTTATTATTATTTGTGTTTATGGTTTTCCCAAATTAAGTCATATAATAAATAACTTACTGACTTCGATTGTTCAGTCTGTACGGTAAAATATCAAACCTCGGTCGTGCCGTATTGACCTCGCTATCGCTCGGTCAATACGGCACGACCTCGGTTTGATATTTTACCGTACAGACCTCACTCTTAGTCAGTAAGTTCTTATTCTTATATGGCAAGCGCTTGTTTTGGTTAATTCTGCAATTTGATTGGCTGCTGACAGGTCCGGATTTCCCCGTATTGCCCACGGGCAATACGCAATTCTTATTGCCCTGTGAAAACAAGGCAAAACTCACGGCAAAAACTAACTAAATTTAAACTGAAAAACAGATTAAATTCTTAAATAAAAAATTTATACGCAAGTTATAAATTTGCGGTTAATGGAGTAATATGTTCTAGAAGGTCCTATTTCACCCTACATATGGACCATCTCTGGCCTAGCTGTCATAGTTATCGCATGCACTAATTTTAGCCCGGGCAAGGTCAAGGCCTCAATAGAACAAGGCAGTCTTTACCAGGCATGTTAATAGTTATAAAGTCCAAAATCTGAACGAACTCTGGCATCTTAGCATGTGAACAACGTATGCAAACTTGTGTTACGGCCAATCGAATCTCCCCTGACGGTCTTTCCCTTCACGTGGACTTGAACAATGGCCCCCTTTTTTCTGCAAGGATTTTGCCTGCTCCCCATGCATGCATTGGTCATTCGCAAGACCTCAGCCAATGCGTCCACAACGCCGGTCAAATATTTAAAGGTCTCTATCGAAAGGCAGTAATACATATATCTGCGTTTCAAAAGTAACTATAACCAACCCCACCAAATAAACCCCACCCACCTCCCCACAGCGAAGGACTGGCCGCTGTGGCATCCGCATGTAAATATACTGATACGTTAAGTTCGTTCATATGTTATCTCTAGATAGTCTATCGATATTCTTCTTGTAACTTGTAATGAATTGCAGTGATTAAACAATGGCAGGAAGTGCTGTCCTTCTGGACAACACCTCACCACGTGAAGTGCATTTGTACAGGTCATTTTGGTCGAAAACGCGACCTGATGACCTGACCTAGAGACTCGATGGGTCAGTCAGACAATATTTGAGTCGAGCTGACTGACCTGAACAGGGGTCCGCCTGTTCCCCTGTTATCTAGAGGTCCGCCTGTTCCTCTAGAAAAACCTATAGTTTTTGCATGCTCTGTCGGGTTTTGAGTGCCCTTACTGTCTCAGTATAACTAATGGTGGTCCCTAGATCATCAGGTCTCAACTCACTGAACAACATGCACAGAGCTGGCTCACACCCTCTGCAACTTAGAGGTCCTCCTGTTCCTCTAGGAAAAACTTAGGTTAATTAGAGCCTCTAGACCTTTTTTCGAGCACTTCCTGCCCAAATTATATGCCACAAAAATGTCTCATTGTGTTGTTCCTTTGCTAAGTTGCCAGACGTTCAAAATCCTTATAAAGAATCTCAACATATAAACTACATTAAACGGAAAATAATGAATTTGAAATAAAAATAATAAATTTATATTTTACAAAATAGAGCGGTTTTTTTCACTTTAGGGCGATGTTTTGGTGTCGTGTGCCCGGATGAGATTGATCATTAAAATTACTCATAAAGAATTAATCATTACAATGTCTGCATGAAATATGCCAAATAATAAAAAACTTACTAACTTCGACTGTTCGGTCTGTACGGTAAAATATCAAACCTCGGTCTTGGTGTATTGACCTCGCTATCGCTCGGTCAATACGGCACGACCTAGGTTTGATATTTTACCGTACAGACCTCACTCTCAGTCAGTAAGTTCTTAATAAAGCACAGCAGTAAATACGTATTATACCTTTGGAAATCTGTTGGAGTAAGCCATCTCATTATGAGTTTCAATACTATAAACTTTTTCATCCAAAGCTCCCTGGTCAACGTTTAGTTCAATTTCATTTCTGGCGGTTACTCCCCCAACATACGGAAATGGTTTGAAACCCAAATTGTTAACCCATTCTGAGAAATCCTTTTCACTCGAGTTTGGAAGACCACGGAACAATAAAGCCACTGCTGTACCATCCTTCACGTACCTTTGAGAAACGAAAAACATATTTTATATATATATATTTATATATATTTATATATATATATATATATATATATATATATATATATATATAATTATATATAAATATATATATTATATATATATATATATATATATATACAGTCGTTATCATTAAGGTTGTCACCTGGAAATATATATAAATACCTAAATATCGATCACGTGATTGTACTGCATACGTTAATTTTATGGGAAATCGTTAGAAATCTATGTTGATAATTTCTTAAATGTCATAGTAAGGTGGACAATATTGATAATAATAAAGAAACAAGAGGTAAGTGAACAAAATAAGCCATGTTTAATGGTCACGTGATTGATATTTATATATTTGTGTATATATTGGCATGGACAACCTTAATGATAACGACTGTATATATATATATATATATATATATATATATTATATATATTATATATATATATATATATATATATATATATATGACGATCAATTAGGATGAAACCTTAGAAAAAAGTTATGCAAAAGTACAATTGCCGCATTACTACCATAGAATCTATTTGTAATTTGAATACTGCATGTACGCGTATATATATAGCGTAATGATATTATGTTCTGGGGTCACGGAAGGCAAGTCGCGCAATCAAAATTATAAGGAAATTTGTTATTTACTGACGTTTACGATCAAGTCTTCGTTGTAGTTTCGATGCCATGATCGTTGCACGATTGCTCCATTTCTTGATAGCTTTTCAGCTTATCACCGGCATCTGGTTCGTTAATGTATGGTCCGAAGTGTTCTTACTGCCTGACAAGAATGACATTGACCCGCGTTCATGGTCTTAATTTTTGTTCTTTCTTGATATTGCATTGGCAGGAAAACAATTCTAATCGGGTGTCATTCTTTTGGTAACTGCTCAATAGCTAAACTTGATGAAGACATATTTCTGCCACGTTTAATAACCGAATTTAGCTGGCATAAAATCGTTTTTCTTGTACTACATATTATTTTTTATTTAAAGGCGAACACAAACGCGCAATTTCAAATGTGATTACTATATTCGTAATCTACCTTTCACGGCGATTCTAATGATATAAATTCCAATTTTATGATATAGGAACTCTGCGCATATATATTCTGCGCATAATAATGTTTGTTTACGTTTGTTATATAATCTTTACATGACGTATATGTCATTTTAATTTTCTTATTTTCTTCTCGTTCTCACTCGACCGGCTGTGATGAATATGCTTATTTATAATATATTTTGAAGAAAATATTACTATATTTGAGGAAGATATAAAGCGAAGCTTGTAAATAAACCGTTATTTAAAACTTCATATATTTGTTATTATTTGTGGGACAAGCGAGAAGTAGCGTCTGTAGTGATGACAAATAGCCTCGCCATCTCGTGTCCTCATTCAACAAATAAATTCTTGAAGCATTCCTCTCAGCATAATATTGCTTTTTTATAGCAGCCTTATCTTCGTCACTCGCAGTTAGAGCCACTTCGCCTTGCGACAGAAAAAAAAAACTGTACCCGGCGCCCCCGAACTGTCGGTTTGTAATACAACGCGCTAATATCGCATATCCCCACTATTAATGGAATGTGTTGCTGCGCAGAATACATCATCTTTAAGATGCCTGACACAAAAATCCTAGTTGTACTGTTGTTATAAGTTATTCCTGGCTAAAAATTCAATTACAACTTTGCAATTTTCGTTTCGCAGTTTCGCACATATTTAGAGCAAAACCTTAACAGTATTATAGACGGAAATTGAATATTATACACCGTTTAGTCAAATGCAAATTTGCTACTTCATTGTTTACATACTTTTGATATGCCTGATCAATAATCTCTCTTGATCTCAATGCCCAGTGTTTCATACTAGTCTCCTGACCTTTCTTCGCTTTAACCAACTTTGGAAAGTCATCTTTTGGTCCTGAAAGATATTTCGGAAAGCCGGGTGATGTTGAACTTGCCAAATATTTTCTTCCAGCCAAGGGCACTGACGCCTGTAGCTCGATCTCACTCAAGCGTCCACGAGTGAAATATTCGCCCATATGGAGACATCTTGTGCTCCTTGGAGAAGATGAACATTTGAATACATCTCTCAGAACGAGCAGTTTGCCTATATTTAGTCGTTTCATGAACCAAGTCGCCATAAAATCACAAATATAAACCAGCTACAATAAACCTGTAGGCTGTAGCACTTGATTTCGTGACCTTGCAATTCACAAGAGACCAGCTGAGTCAGTGATTAAGTGTAAACAGATGTGCATGACGCTCAATAAGAGAGAGCTGATTTTTGAAGCAAAGGTTAAAGTTATTGTCGGTGATTATTGATGAGGGAAATATTTTGTCTTTCTGAAATAATTTTCTTCTTGGATGATTACAGACAATGAGTCGGTGACAGGTCGGCGCGTCATATGGAAACCACGCTATAAAGTTATTGACAAAAGATGATAGCTTCTGTGCGCGTCGAATTTAGGAATGATTTTTGTCATCCAGGCTGCCATTTTGTCGATATAGCAAATCGATAAATACGTGATTTTTTTTTTCGAAAACAAGTAGCGACCAGTGAAAGACATGATAAAGTAAGAAACAGGTTTGTATCTGGTCTAAAAGTTTATTAAAAGGTTAAAAGACTGAATTTTCGCTCCTTCGTCAGAGACTATTTACAAGTTTATTACAACAGTTTTTGTTATCATGCATTAACGCCAGACCATCAAACCGAACACGAAGCCAAGGCGGGCTACACTTGTATACCATGCATTAAAGGAACATCGGAAAGGGTGAAACGTATACTAGCAAGTAAGAACATAAGGACAGCAGCGTACAAGCTAATGATAACCCTTGGTGATGTCTTTCGCAAACCAAAAGACAGACCTTTTTACATATGCATGTAAAAGGAATTGTTTACAAATTCAAATGTCGGTCATGCAATTTTACCTACATTGGGGAGAGCAAACGATCTTGGAACTCACGATGGCAGAACATAAACCAGGTACCAGGAAGAAGATCGAATCAGCCATAAAAATGCATGCAGAATCAACGGGACATGACGTGATCTCAGAGGATGTTGAACTTTTGGAGAAAGAAATAATGAATTATCAGAGACGTACATATTTCTTGAGGCATTTCATTCTGTGGGCACCAAAGAATCTGTTAATGAGCATAGGGAATTCCCAAAAGCACACCTTCCTTTTGTTTGCAAATAATTAATAGCCTTAGTATGCGACAGTGGACACGTGGTCTTTAATGCATGATAACAAAAGCCGTTGTAATATGTACAGGGTGTCCCAAAAAAAACGAAAACTTTTGAAATCACCCATAACTATGCAATTGTTAGAGTTTGAATGCCTAAACAGTCTGTTGGGACCCACAAGTGTATAAATGTTTACCATACGCATTTTTATGCATGCATATGATGCAGTAAAATTTGCTTGTACGCAAAAATGATATTTATTAACAATATTTACAATTGACAAATATGGATAACAATATTTAAATGTGCATCTCAAGGACCATGACCTTCGACATATTCCCCTTTCTCTAGCAACACAAAGCATTTAATATTTTATAAGTTGCATTAAATCCCCATGAGTTGAAATTCGTGAACACGGCATTCAAGTTTTAACAATGAGTGATTTCAATAGTTTTCGTTTTTTTTGGGACACCCTGTAGATAACTTTCACCGTAGCACGAGAACAAACGAATAGCTTCCACCATTAATATCATTAATATCATTAACGCGACGAAAGAATTGTGAAATCCTCATTCCCCAGAGGTTGGCTTTTGTTATGTGATCAAATCAAAATAAGCTTTTTCTTACAAGCAACAATTTTGCCCTTTTACAATGTTTGTATCTAAGAAAGGCAACCCTTTTTTTATGAACACCACTTTGTCTTTGCTTAATAACACAAATATAGGGAATATGGAATATATGAGGTTTTTAATCGTATCCTAACAGCACAATTGTCCACAGGGTCATTGTTATTGAATAAATAAAGTATAGGGTTCGCAAACAATAGGGATTTTATTTATGTATATTTAGATTCTAGCTACCAACAGGATTTTTTTGTGCGCTTTTTTAGGGTATTAGAAACAAACAACTTTGGTAAAATACTAAAGATGGCAAATGAAAAGCAAGTTCTGAATATAGCCCTAATACATTTGAATAATGTTGTTATGTGTTTAACATCAGTATATTTGCGGTAATTTGCCGACTCTTCAAGCAGCAGCGCAAGAGGAATACGACGTGATTAGGAATAACGAGTCAATCCAATCACTTCTTCGTTCTTTCACTCATCTTTCTGGGTCGCTTAACGATTTACTGGCACTGGCAGCTACATGTGGGCATATACATATACCCCGCGAGTGGAACATACACTGCACCCCAACTTTGTCAGTTCTAATTTCCGTGGGAGAAACTTTTTCGAAGAGTTGGAAACTTGCGAGCATTTATTTTGGAGCTTGACTGGAGAAAGCATCGAATCCTTTCGACGAATAGTTAATGATGTGACACCACATTTACAAATGTTCACCCGTCGTCGGAGACTAAGGATTCGTGACTACCGCTTTTCACTTGATATTCGAAATCGGATACAGTCATGTTTGTCATCTGGCTTCGAATGTGTCCTGAACTTGTCATGCTTAGCGGATTGTTCATGGTTAGTCCAGTGACGGTTGAAAGAGAGATAAGATTTTTACTTCCTGTTTTGTGGAGTTACCTTAAAAGTTTTGTAAAATGGCGTACGGAAGAAAAATGGTTGGCCATAGCAAATGAGTGGGACATGTTTCCAGGTGCTGTAGCAGTCATTGATGGAGCTCGTCATCAAATACAAAGACCACAAACTGAGCCTCAGCAGGATTTTTACAGTGGACACTCTAGATACCATAACTTTTCCACTCAAATTATCATGGACAACAAAGCCAATATTGTCTTTATTCAGTCGGGGCTCTTGGGTAATAACAACGACAGTGGCCAACTTAACATGATGCCTTCCATAGGAACTGGTCAAAATCTTCATTTGCCTGCTAGTGTTTACATTTTAGCTGACAAAGGATATCCCTGCATTTATATCCTTTTCTCACGCCCTATAGACAGGTTGGTGGTGATTTGAGGAAACAATTGTTCAACAGAGAGTTTTCAAAATGTGGAATACGCATCGAACATTGCATCAGAAGAGTTAAAGAATACGGAGCCGTACACCATATTTGGCGTCATGAGCGTTGGATGTTTCCAATTGTCAATGAACTTTCGGTTTTTTTGGCCCAACTGAGACATATTGAACTCTCGCAAAACTTTTAATACCGTTACTGCAATACATTAGTTTACAGAATAGGTCACAACTGAATTAACGTTAAATAATTTCCTGATTGACAAATCAAGTTGTCATTATTGTCATCAACATTTTGCATGTTAAAATGCAATTATATGTTTGAGTAGTTTATGCAGCACTTTTGAACTGTACTTTTGCTTCAGTTAGTATTAAGGTAACGTAACTATGCTTCACTCAAAATTTATAACCTGGGGCCGATTGCATCCGGCCCGTTTAGCTTAAATAGTTAATTATTGAAAATAGAAGAGTCTATCGTTTTATTCAACAAGCAAACTAAATGTTTTTAACCTTAACACAAGGATATTGTTTACAACTACATATAAGGAGCTGAAACACGTAAACACGTATAATTTGTCATGAATTAAACACTTTTGAAAGGTTTTACGAATAATTTCGACAGCAAAGAATTATTTAAGTCGTACTTCGTTCGGTTTCAGCTGATGTATTGATTTATTTATCTTCGCTTCAATGCAATACACGATAAATGAATACAACCGTACAAATTGAAACATCGTAATCGAAATAATTGTTTCGGATTTTGATTGGCAGCAAGTGGTAAGGCTACGTTTGTTTCTGAATTTTGAATAAGTCAAATAATGCCTGAAATTTTAATTGTTTATAATTTGCTTAATTTTATTTCACATTGACATTGTTTATCATACAAAATGGTCTTTCATTTCGAATCTTTCCAAAATTCCATGCACGGAAATTGCTGTTCAAAACAACGTCCCTGCGACCCTGCCCTCACGGCATATAATCTTTCGACTGACAATATATCCTCGTCGGGTAAAGTTTTCACGCTCGTTTATTAATAATAATTTATTAGCTTATATTGCGCATTTATCAACCATACAATTTTCAAATGCGCATTACAAAAGTTAAGAAATTTACAAATAAAAATATATTAAACTAAGAAACGTTCCGCGCTAATCAAAAGCTTGGCGAAATAGAAACGTCTTGACTAATTGTTTAAAATTATTTACAGAAGTACAATTTCTAATAGAGTACGGTAGACTGTTCGTTGGATGTGTTGGACTGTTAGATGGTGTGCTGCTGGTGCTTGACGTGGGGCTCGACCCGCGGCTTGCTGTTGCTGACCATGGTGTGCTGCAGGTGCTTGACGTGGGGCTTGACCCGCGGCTTGCTGTTGCTGACCATGGTGTGCTGCTGGTGCTTGACGTTGGGCTTGACCCGCGGCTTGCTGTTGCTGACCATGGTGTGCTGCTGGTGCTTGACGTGGGGCTCGACCTGCGGCTTGCTGTTGCTGACCATGGTGTGCTGCTGGTGCTTGACGTGGGGCTCGACCCGCGGCTTGCTGTTGCTGACCATAATGTGCTGCTGGTGCTTGACGTGGGGCTTGACCCGCGGCTTGCTGTTGCTGACCATAATGTGCTGCTGGTGCTTGACGTGGGGCTTGACCTGCGGCTTGCTGTTGCTGACCATAATGTGCTGCTGGTGCTTGACGTTGGCCTTGATCTGCGGCTTGCTGTTGCTGACCATGGTGTGCTGCTGGTGCTTGACGTTGGCCTTGATCTGCAGCTTGCTGTTGGTTACCATGGTGTGCTGCTGGTGCTTGACGTTGGCCTTGATCTGCAGCTTGCTGTTGGTTACCATGGTGTGCTGCTGGTGCTTGACGTCGGGCTCGACCCGCGGCTTGCTGTTGCTGACCATGGTGTACTGCTGGTACTTGACGTTGGCCTTGACCTGCGGCTTGCTGTTGCTGACCATGGTGTACTGCTGGTACTTGACGTTGGCCTTGACCTGCGGCTTGCTGTTGCTGACCATGGTGTGCTGCTGGTACTTGACGTGGGGCTTGATCTGCAGCTTGCTGTTGGTTACCATGGTGTGCTGCTGGTGCTTGACGTCGGGCTCGACCCGCGGCTTGCTGTTGCTGACCATGGTGTACTGCTGGTACTTGACGTTGGCCTTGACCTGCGGCTTGCTGTTGCTGACCATGGTGTGCTGCTGGTACTTGACGTGGGGCCTGACCCGGCGACTTGCTGTTGCTGACCATGGTGTACTGCTGGTACTTGACGTTGGCCTTGACCAGGAGCTTGCTGACCATGGTGTGCTGCTGGTACTTGACGTTGGCCTTGACCTGGAACTTGCTGACCATGGTGTACTGCTGGTACTTGACGTTGGCCTTGACCTGGAGCTTGCTGACCATGGTGTGCTACTGGTACTTCTCCTTGGGCATGTGCTTCACGTGGAGCTGGCTGAATTGGATACTACAATTTTTAGCGAAATTTCAATTACTTTTTAAACAAATTCAGCTTTAAAAATAAATACTTTCCAAATCAAAATCATTTCAACGAAATTGACGAATAAATTCAAAGAGGTGTCATACATTTGTTGATAAATCCACATATTAAACATACAAAATACTTGTATGCTTTAAAATACAAAATCTACCCATTTACCTGATCAAAAACCCTTTAAAAATGCTTCAAAATCGTAGATTTTTTACCATCCATTTGAATGAAAATTTCTCTATCCAAAGCCATCTTTTTCATTATATTTTAATCAATTTTACGAGTCAATTTTTCGTATATTTTTAAGACCATCCAAATGAAAAATATTATTTAAAAAAGTTTTATAATTCAATATATCAGTTATGCTGACGTGAACCCAATTTTTAATTTAGCCAGTCGCACGTTTGTAAACGTTTGCTAGTTACCAGTTTTAACTCGTCTTATACTCACGCATGTGCGTAACTTACAAAAACGCCCAACGTCCATGACATAATGGCGGACAACTTTCATTTCGCATTTGCATTTCCAGGCGTAATTAAAATCTCCGAGCGGAATTAGTACCCTCGCTCGGTGCTTCGCACCGGCTCGGGGATGAATAAGTAATGAATTCATAAGAGTTCAGGTGCTCATATTTAGTTTGTTAAAAAGGAAAGATGTAACGATGAACATGATTTGGCTAAGATTAGACCAATCAGAGAGAACATAAAGAAAACGAGGCACATGTATTCAGGGATTATATTATAACAAGAGCGGACATGTTGATTCGTGAGGGCAATAACTTAGAAAGTAAATACTTGTATAAATAGTCATTATAATATAAGTATGATATAACGAGCAATTTGATTGGCTACCGCGCGTGCATTGTGAGGCCATAATGCACGCTTCTGGCTTTTGAAGTTTTTGTTGCTAAGCAACATCTTAAATAACATGTAAGGAGAATTTCATTATTGATCAAATAAATAAATTTTGTTGTTGCCCTATAATTTCTTCTTATATTATAAAAGAATTAAAAAAGCTCGTCGCGTGCCTTTATGGTGTAATAATGCACTCGGGGAAATGTTGGAAGAATACTCGAGAAGCTTGTAAAACACTCGGCTACGCCTCGTGTTTTACAAGCTTCTCTCGTATTCTCCCAACATTCCCCCATCGTGCATTATTACACCATAAAGGCACGCGACTCGTTTTTTAATTCTTAATTCAAAGAAAGAGAAACGTTTTAAATCGTTATCATTCCGATCTTAGTCTGTAATTACTGGTTGGTTAACTTGATGATCTCCAGGTTATAGAACTCAGGTTTGTTTTGATGATTGTTCGCATTTAAAGTTGGGAAAACTTTTCCCTTTTCAAACATAACATCACGATATTCGGAATGAGAGATTTTCTTTTTCGATCATACAATTTAAATCCTCTGGTTCCATCGGGATATCCAATAAACAAACATTTTTGGGATTTCTCATCTAATTTCTTTCGCTGCTGTTCTGGACCATGAACAAATGCAATAAAGCCCGGAACTCTTTGGGCTTACCTAAACAATCCAAAAAATTTGGAGTCACGTGGCCATCTCCTCCCCCTTACGAGAAGGCCCTGGGTACGAGGTTGAAATCTCTATAGATAAATATATTTATTGCCTTTTATTGTTATCGTGTACCAGAAAAAATACGGCGACTTGTTTCATGAAGCGACTAAATATAAGAAAGCTGCTCGTTCTGAGGGTTGTATTCAAATATTCATCTTCTCCAAGCAGCACAAGATGTCTTCATATGGGTGAATATTTCACTCATGGACGCTTGAGTGAGATCGAGCTACAGACACCGGTGCCCTTGGCTGGAAGGAAATATTTAGCAAGTTCAACATCACCCGGCTTTCCGAAATATCTTTCAGGACCAAAAGATGACTTTCCAATGTTGGTTAAAGCGAAGAAAGGTCAGGAGACTAGTATGAAACACTGGGCATTGAGATCAAGAGAGATTATTGATCAGGCATATCAAAGGTATGTAAGAACTAAATAGCAATTTTGCATTGAATTCACTACCTGTCTTTACGAATCAAAGTAAAATAAACGTTAAGCTTTGTTTGATGGACTTATTATGCTACTGAATATTGTTGAACCTTGTTGAACCATCAATGTTGTTGCAACATGTTGACATGATTTCCAACAAGATGCAACAGTATTGATTGTTCAAACTACACAACCAAAGTTCATGCTAGAGACGAAATATAATTCGCTGGAATGAACTTGGGCAAAATTTTGTAATAATATATTATTCGTCTGTTAATTCGTCTGTGTATAAGCGGTATATTTAGATGAATTGATCGCGTGTATCCAGACAGATAATTATTCGTCTTGAAATATAAAATCAGAAGCAAGACAAATTTTCCGGAAATCTCCAGATATTTAATCGATACCAGCCGACAATATCAAGAATTACAAAACAGAACAAACTCCGAATATTAACATTTTGAAAACCAAATATAGGTACAACAACTCAAGGATTGAGTTTGTGATAATAGTAACAATATATACACAAGATCTCATATATACAATCAGTAATCCGTGACAAAATAAAACGGAAGTCTCGGACAACGACGGGTTAGCAGTGAGAAGTGTGACTAAAACCCAAACAATCTAGTAATCAACTGATGTAAAAATTCCAGTCAACCCAGAATTAAAGTAACCGGCTTTTGAACAACGGCTATCTTGAAAACCAAGAACGGGGAATCAAGAAACGTGGAATCAGGAACGGGGAACCGGGAATGAGAATCTCCACAATCTTTAAAAGCCGAGATGAAAATATCCGGAATCTCTAAAACCCGGAATGAGAATCTCCAGATCTTCAAAACCCGGAACGAGAATCTCCGGAAACTTTAAAAGCCGGAACGAGAATCTCCGGAAACTTTAAAAGCCGGAATGAGAATATCCGGAAACTTTAGAAGCCGGAATGAGAATCTCCGGAATCTTTAAAAGCAGGAATCAGAATCTCCGGAATCTTTAAAACCCGGAACGAGAATCTCTGGTCTTACTAATAATCGACAACAACATTTGAATATAATTAAGCATTTGAAATAAACGAAAATAGTATTAAAATGCTGAACTTGTTTGTTATGGTCTGGTTTGTGTTTGCGTATGTACAGAGCCTCCTTGAGTTTGAGAGAGAAGGGAGTGTTAGCAGTGACTGGGAAAGTGAAGCAAGAGCGGGTGTATTCAGATTTGCAGTTTGGGTTTTGTAGGTGTTTGCAGACGTGTGAGTTTTTGCCAGTGGGAGTGTGTTTTTGTCAGTGAAACCCGTCATCACGCCACAAGAATCAAAGAACACACTTCCACTGACAAAAACTCACACGTCTATATACAAACACCTACAAACCCCTAATCTAATCTATGTATAGATACTATTCGATCTACATATATATACAATACATGGCGAGAAATTTTGGACACGCACGCGCGGTAGATACACAGACTTCGGGAGATTCGAAACAATATGGCCACGCGAAATCACACGGCTTTATTAGGGTTATATTAAAAATGTGGCCTTACCTCTAAACTTTTTAAATAAGTGAAAATGTTCTATCTGATTCTGTTTTTAGACGTAAAACTTGATATTTTGATATCATGGATGATATTTAGATGTTAATACTTCTTGCGGTTTTGCAGGAAATAGCCAACGGCTATTAAAGTATAGAAAAACACCATTTATAGCGTCGAAAGTTGTTTTGACCGTTGAACTTGTAAGATTTTCGCGCGATCGGGCCACGATAACCAAAATGTTCTATCGGTTTTCTAAACTCCGAGCGATGATTTTGAACACCCATCAGTGCAAAAATGTGAAGAATATATATCTCTTGCGGTTTTTAGCTTCAAAATCAGCAAATTTCAACGTTATATTTTCATCAAAACTGACCTTTTGCCCCAAAAAACCCTTCAAAAAATAACTGAAATTGTTTTTCATCGTCCATATTTGCTAGGCAACCAAGCCTTGACTTGTTGCCATGGTTTTAAGGCATATTCGAACTTTTTTTGTCGCATTTTAGGGTATTTAGAATGTGATATATCGTGTGTATTTCACTTGTGATTCGTTAGAATAAATTAGAACAATTTATTCGTTAGAATGAATTAGAACCCCCCTGTGCGTGTCCAAAATTTCTCGCCATGAATAGGAATTATAAGTAAAGTAATAATGTAAATGAGTTAAAAAATATTAATAGTTGCTACTTACCTCTTTGCCATGTCCTCGTGCAGGGCTACACATTCAATATTTAACTGCTTAAAAAAATCACTGAATGTATTACGCACAATACAGGTTAGCTTTTCTTTTAGATCCGGCTTTCGATAGGAGTTCCTAGTCTCATTTGAATTTAATTTTAACATGCGATCCACTTTGTCGTGCCAAACTGACACATGCATGTCACTGTCACAAACTAATATAACAGAACTAATTAGCAATTATTGAATGAGGTTGAACATGATATGAAGAATTATCAAGCCGAAGTTTGTCATTATCAACCGAAGCCGAAGGCTGAGGTTGATAATGACAAACTGAGTCTTGAAAATTCTTTATATCATGTGATAACCGAATTCAATAAATGTTTTATTATTTATTTAAAAGAACGAACACGGAACATGTATTCCTCAAAGTTGCCGAACCTTTCACTTGAGGAAGCCATTGTGTTGATGTCTTCGCCATTCGTGTGACGTCAAACGTGGGATACGACTATTTATCACACTAAAAAAAGTCGTATCACACGTTATGACGTCACACGTTGGATATGATGATTTCACACATGGCTATTAACCAATCACAGACTGTGAATTCTTTTAAATAAATAATAATGTATCTTATTTAATCAATGTATAATTGCTGTTGCCTTAGCGCTTCACGAACCACTGGAGCTGTTTGACGATGAGATAAAGTCGAAAATTTACAGTCCAAATCTATGTCTAGTGGGAATCATATATACACTGGCGGTCAAAAAGAACTGCTCAAAACAAGTTTAAATGCTCTCAAATTATCGTGAGCGTAAATGCATGTCCCTCTAACAACTTATACGAGTAAATCTAGACTAGATTACATGCTAAACTATATGAAATATGAATATTTTGTTGCCCTCCTTTGACAGACTTACATGCACCTGCTTGGCATACTTTCTGGTAATCTTATAGTTAAAGGAAATTCATCCTATGGACAGTCTTTACAGCAAACCATAAATCATGGACGCTTTATGAATTAATTCATCTCTTGCACTATCCCTAGGCCTTGACATTGTCCCACAGATTTTCAATAGGGTTAAGGTCTTTTGACCGTGCAGCTAATCCATTTCTGTCACTCCCTCCTTATGAAACCATTGCTTGATTATCTTGGAGGTGTGGTAGGTTGCATTACATTATTGAAATACTGCTTGTATTGAAATTATCCATAATGCCTATGGAGTCCTCTGCTATATTTGTTTCTTTCTCAAGAATTCGTGTCTAAGCTGTTCTTTTGACCGCTAGTGTATAGTTAAAATATTGATTGTTGCGATTCCTGTTACATACAGTAATAGCAACAGTTGAGCAGTTCTTTTTGACCGCCAGTGTATTATTGAGTCTCAAGATCTTTTGACTATAGTGTCTGTAAAATGAAATATGTTTTTTCACTTTTCAAAGATACGAGAAAGATGGTACAGCAGTCGCTTTATTGTTCCGTGGTCTTCCAAACTGGAGTGGAAAGGATTTCTCAGAATGGGTTAACAATTTGGGTTTTGAACCATTTTCCTACGTTGGGGGAACAGGTGTGAGAAATGAAATTGAACTCAACGTTGACGAGGGAGCCCAGGAGAAAAACACTTTCAATATTGAAACTCATAATGAAATGGCTTACTCCAAGAACTTCCCCAAGGTATTTTAGAGCAAACGAAATAAATATATGAATAAGAAACTTTAATTTAAAATTTTTTTGCGCTTTTATCTCACTGATCGATACGTTTGTTTATTTTGTTCTGTTTGGTACAATCACCACTATATTACTGAATACTGACTATTCATCTCATACAAACTGAAAACAACAAATTCAATTGAGATTAGTACAATTATTTTTACCCTACTTGCGCTTGATCACAACATACCATGGCATTATAACAGATTTTTCAATTTTAGATATTCACAATAAGTTGTTTCAAGAAACCTCACTGGGGTGGAGAAACTGCAATCTGCGACAATAGAGATTTTTTCCTGAAGTTGGATCCCAACTTTGTTAAAAAATGCAAAGATAAAAAAATCCGTTACTGGAATTGTCTTCACAGCGAAGATAGCGACAAAAATCTTTACCAAAGTTGGCAGATGCGTTTTAGAACCAAGGAAAAAGACGAAGTTCACGAGTTTTTAAAATCTAGGAAATATAATTTTTTCTGGGAAGAAAACACGTTGTTTTTCTGGATTAATATATCACCGACTGTGAAGCACGCGAAAAGTGGCGAAGAATTGTGGTTCAATCAGATTTCAATAGGACACTGCACTTATTTTGTTGACTCTCTACAATACGAGGGCCTGCCGAAAATGCCGAACAAAGAGTACCCGACTCACACCACGTACGGTGATGGAGAGGAATTTACATCGCAAGAAATTGACAATTACAGACGTTGTAAGTGGGAAAATGCTGTTGCATTTGACTGGCAAAACGGCGATATTCTTTTTCTTGATCAGATGATTGTTCAGCATTCCAGATTAAGTTTTGAGGGGGAAAGGAAAGTTGGTATAAGCATGCTGGACTACTAGTAGTGATTACCTGCTTGGATATTACAATAATATATTATAATAATCTGCTTAGATATTTGATCAGAATTTAAGTTTATCAGTATTGATTTTCAAATAGCTCAAACCAATTGGAAAAATTAACACCGGATATAACTCATATTAAGAGAGATATTATTATATGTGGTAGGAAACCTTAAGCAAAACTTTCTCGGTTGCAGCAACAGATATATCTAGACACACCTGTACATAACCAATATTTTTGATCGACAATATCTTGCGAAGTAAGAAAGATAAACAAATTTTGTAAAAGGCTCTATAAGAAGTGTAAATTTTCTTTTCAACAAAACAGAAACAATTTTTATTCCCATATCCCTTTATCATACATATACATAGAAAGTTACAAACAAAGTTAAGTTATATAGGAAATGCATTTACGAACAACAGTTTGACCTTAAAGAACGACACTGTTTTCCAAGCTCTAGGCCGGTCTACATCGAAGGTATTGATCATTTTGTTCGAATAATAAACATATATAGTTTAGATTTCAATACGGAGTCTGAAGAGTTGTATGCTTGACAACAAACCGTCATGCAAACGTCGAGGAATTCGCGAGTTCATTGCACGAGAAAAAAACAAGTAATAATGCTATCAATTATTAAACAAAAGGTCGTTAAGACGTATAGAGTGGCGCCTTACCAAGCAATAGCTGAAAATTTGAGTATATATATAGGCTATGTACCCTAGCTTTAATTATATTTTACGCATCTTTGCGCTTATCTTTGCTTGATATAGAAATTCTAACAATAGGCTATTTCAATAATTCTGAATTCTTATAAGAGGCAATATACTTGTTTTCGAAATAAAAAATTCGCGTATTTATCGATTGGCTATCGGCATGTCCATGCTTGTACAGTTTTTTCAACTGGCAGCCTGGATGACAAAAATCATTCCTAAATTCGACGCGCACAAAAGCTATCATCTCTTGTCAATAAGGGGCCGTTTGCATGAACCAGGTTACCCGAGATTCAACGAAGCGTGAGAGGACTTTGAGGTAATGAAATAAGTTTTTAGGACACCAAACAAGCACATGCTATTGTTGTGGTGATTATACGACTGCCAGGATCATGTTATCTGCTCACTTCAATACCTCAAAATCATCTCACGCTTCGTCGAATCTCGGGTAATCGGGCTCCGCTAAAACAGCCCCTAAAGCCGGTTTTCCACTAGCAATATTTTTGCGCCAAAGAGCAGGGCCAAAGACTTTATAGCCTGGTTTCCATATGACGCCGACCTGTCGCCGATGTTGCAGAATCTTTCGTTTATTCTGCCTTTCTGGTTCATCAAACGTTCACACTCGAAGGGACTGTATATTCTGATTTATTATCGATAGATTACATTTCATTTTGCTATATACAATGGGTCATTATTTGGTATATCCCTATATCATATTACAATTACTAGTTAGATCACATTACCCAAATCAGATATTTTACATAAAGTTTTACTACATATTAACTCGCGCTCCGTGTACTGGTGATCTGCGCTGGGAACTTACAACACCCCACCCACCTTGATTCATACACGTCTATGAATCAAGCATCGCCTTTGTTTTCGCTTTTGAAATTATGGCTGCCGCTCGTCTTGTTCGTTCATGCTGGTCTCCCTCTGGCTTAGCTGTAGGGATGTCCCTTTCCTCCCTTTCCCACCCGTCGAGATTGAACTTCAATGGGAAAAGCTTCTCAATTGGTCTGTTTAAGAAGCGTGGTTTTCCTTTACCTGCAAGCCTAACCTTTGCTCCTCTAACTTCCTTATCCTTCCCTACAATTAACTCTTCTACTACTGCTAACTTCCAGGTACATCTTTTCTCGCCTTCTCCGAACACCGTCACTACATCTCCTTTCTGGACCTTCCTTAACTTTCCTCCGTTTGTGCACTTGTGAAACTCTCTAAGTCCCGTTAAATATTCGCCCTTCCATCTTTTCCAAAAGTGCTGCAACTTTAACGTTACATATTTAAATCTCTCCCCACAGCTACTCGCTCCTATGACTACCTCATTCTGTGGGATTAAATGGATTGCTCTACCATATATCAAATGTGAAGGAGTTAACACTTCTCCTTCCAGCTCTTCAAATACTTCTGTTAATGGTCTCGCATTCAATGTGCCTTCAACTTCAACTAACACTGTGCTCAGCTCATCAAGGTTCAACTTTGCATTCCCTAACACCTTTCTAAGACACCTTTTCACACTGCGCACCATCCGTTCAAAGAAGCCTCCCCACCAAGGTGCTCTCTCTAAGTTGAATCTCCATGTTATTCGTTTGGCTCCTAATTCCGATCTGACTTTCGGCTCATTACAAATCTTCCTCAATGCTTTCTCTGCTGCCTTGAACGTTTTAGCGTTATCGGAAACTATAAGACTGGGTGCCCCTCTCCTAGCTGCAAATCTTCTCAAACAGCATAAAAACGTATCCGCTGATAAGTTGCACACTAATTCTAAGTGTATTGCACGGGTCACGCAGCATGAAAACAAGGCAATATACACTTTGTTCGAACAATTACCGGACTGTTTGACAAAAAGCGGACCTGCAAAGTCGACTCCGACTTGCGAAAACGGCGCGGCCTGTCTGACTCTAAATTCTGGCAAGTCTGCTTGTGGTGCTCTGCTATACGCTTTTCCTTCCAATCTTTTGCGTTACACACTGGCTCACAATTCGTTTTACCAGCTGCCTTCCCTTAACTACCCAGTATTTAGTTCGTAGCCTGCACAGCGTAGCACGTACACCCGAATGGTGCACTTCCTGATGGCATTTTCGGACAATCAACTCTGTCAGTCTATGTTCTTTTGGCAGGATAATTGGAAAACAGTTGTCAATTTCTAAATCTGAATTTTTTAATCTACCTTGGCTCCTAAGGATACCCTCCTCTTCCTTCAACCTTAAACTCACACTGAGTTGGGTGAACTTCTTTTCAGTTTTTAGTTCTGCCTGTGCTTCTTTAATCCAAATTTTTTCGGCTTCAATTATTTCGGCAACTGAAAGAGCCCCAGACTGCCTATCGACTCTCTTTACTCCTGCGCTAGCATTACGTAAGAATCTCATCACGCATGCTGTCACTCCAAAAAGCTTCTCTGAACTACTAAATTTGTTAATATCAATCACATCTTTCACACTACATTGTCTGTCTGCCTGTACAATCATCGTTGCTACCTGGCGTTCTTCCTCTACCACTGTCTGACTCTTCCCCGCACTCTCAAACTTAGGCCATTCTTCTTTGGGCTTTGTAAGCCATTTTGGTCCAGACCACCACAACTGGTTACCCTCCAGTTGTGTACCTAATTCACCCCTTGAACCTACATCGGCTGGATTCTCTTTACCCGGACAATGTCCCCAGTCTCCTTTCGTTGTCAGTTTTAAAATCTCATTCACACGATGAGCTACGAATTGCTTCCATTCACCTCTATTCTTTATCCAGTACAGGGCTGTCATGCTATCAAGCCAGTAATAAGTAGAATCTATCCTAACCTGGTTTTCAAATGCTTCCTTAACTGATTTCACTACTTGTGCAAGGAGTCGTGCTGACATCAACTCTAGTCTGGGTATGCTTGTTTGTTTCAAGGGTGCTACCCTAGCCTTGGAGGTCAATAACCGAACATATACCCCAAATCTCGTTTGACACACAAAATAAACAACAGCGCAATATGATTTTTTACTTGCATCCCCAAACCCATGTAAACTACACTCTAAAACCTCCTCTACTGGACTGGCATACATACAACGGGGTGTACTTATCTCCTTAACTTCTAAAAGGTCTTTAACCCAGGCTTCCCATTTCCTACGCGTTTCCCCGGCAAATTCCTCATCCCAATCAATTTTTTCCTTACAGACTTCTTGAAACAAAATCTTTGCATACACAATTATTGGACTAATTATTCCAAGAGGATCAAACAGACTAGCTAGTACACTTAACAAACTTCGCTTTGTTGGTGGCAATGCCTTTGCCTTTTCACCTGACCTAAATACTTCAAATTTAAATTCATCCTCGTAATTATCCCATACCTGCCCCAAAACCTTATGGCATTTAGAGTCGGCCCCCTTTGTTCCTAATGAAAACTTTGCATAAGTCTCACTCTCTCCCCCGCCATCTGGGTTTGTCTTATCTATCCCTCTCTCTTTCCGATCAATCTGGTCACTCAATGCTTTGCTATTTGTTAGCCATTTCCTTAGATTAAACCCTCCTTCAGCCATCCAAGTCTTTGTATTCTCATACAACTTAAATGCCTTTCCTTCACTTCTCTCTCCACTGACCAGGTCATCCACATAAAAGCTTTCAAGAACCTTACGTACAAACTCTGGGTCTATTTCTTTGTACTTTGAGACATGATGCCTCAAGGTGGCATTGAGTAAAAATGGCGATGAGTTTAATCCGAATACTACACGGCAAAATCTGTAAACCATTACCTCCCTATCGCTGCTTGCAATCTCATTCACCCATAAAAACCTCAGAGAGTCTCGGTCTTCCTTGTCTACCTCTACATTTAAAAATGCCTTTTCGATGTCTGCTACTAATGCTACTCTATTTTCTCTGAAACGTAACAATATACTGTAAAGCAATGGATTGAGCGATGGTCCAACATGCAAACAGTCGTTAAGCGATGTTTTGGATTTTATTCCTCTCGAGGACGCGTCATACACTATGCGTACCTTAGTTGTCACTGCATCTTTGCGAATTACTGCTTGGTGAGGTAGATAATGAACTTTGCCTGCCTTCTCAAGACTTGGTACCTGCTCTATGATTCCCTGCTCTGCCTGATCTCTTATTATCCTATCGTACTCTTTCAACAATTCTGGCTCCTTTTCCAGTCGTTTCAACTGGCTTTTCATTCTAGCAAGACTATTCATGTAATTGTCTGGAAGATTGTCATGATCCTCCTTCCAGGGCAGTTTTACTGAGTATCGATTACCTGTGAATGATATTCCATCAAGAAATGTTTCATGAACTGTGTCCTCTTCAATTATACCCAATCCTTCAAAACTCCAAAGTTTTTCCACATTACTTTCTAAGCTATCTCTGTCCCATTTCGTTGTTTGCCCCACAAAGTTCACCTGAGTCACTCCAGCACCTTCTATCTCTCTTCCCCTAAGAGGTCCTGACAACACCCATCCCAACTCAGTTTGTATAGCTACGGGCTCCCCTGTCTTACCTTTCTTTGTCTCACCTGTTTGGAAATTCCAAAGATAGTCCCCCTATCAAAACGTCTACCTCTAATTCTTCCTGAAAATTCACCACATCTGAGAACCATACCCCCTCTAGATGCGAATAATTCTTTCTAGCTAATTCTACGTGACTATTCTGCACAGTGCAAATTTCTGGTACCACATATGCTTCTATTGAGATAATCTTATCCCCATTAACAGGCTGAAGTTTAAGCTCGACCACTTCCCTTTGTTCAGCCTTCGTGCACTTTTGACCGAACGTATTAATGCCTAGAAATTCCCTTCTTAAACCCCGTGGATTAACAAGACTCGCTGCATGCGATGTAACGAAAGAGCGATGACTTCCCCCATCAAAGAGTACCCGGACCTTAGCCACCCTCTCACCCCTTAATACCCCGCGCGCAGTTTGCAAGGCAACCAGACCCACCTGTCCCGGCAAGCAAGTTATTACATGGGCTAGCTACATTATTGTTAACCTTAGTTGATGGGATTTCTTCATTCTTACAGGTCTCTTCGTCTTTCAGAGACGCATCACATAGGGCGACATGATGCATTCGGTCGCATTTTCGACACTTAATTTTAGAACTACAATTACTGGCTCTATGGCCCTTAATTAAACATTGAAAACATCTACCATACTTTAAAGCTAGGGTCTTACGTGTTTTTGGATCCTTGACTCCATCACATTCTTCGTGCGCGTGGTTCTTTAAACAGAATGCACAACTCTTTTTCTCTTGACCAGCCAGCAACGCCGCCGCTGTCGCGTTATCTAGACCCCCAGTTGGTTTCCTGCTTTGATTTCTTTCATACTCCCGTTCCGTTTTAGTCGCCACCGCTTCGTGCGCCTCTCGCAGTTCTAACTCCTTCTCAAACGCATCCAACATTTCTTGCATCGTCCACTCAATGAAATCAGTTCCTCGGGTGATCATAAGCCGAAATTGTTCAGGCATCTTCTCCAATATGGCCGGTACAACAATAGTGGAATACGATTCTTCTCCCACGCCTAAGGATTTCAACGCGCGGTTGTGGGCTTCGCAGCTGTCATATAACTTCCGCAGCCTTTGAGTGTCCCTTTCTCTAAAAACCGCAGGCAGTTGAATAAGGTCATTCATATGTGTGCGTTGAATTGCACTTCTTTTCTCGAATCGTTTCTTAAGCAGATCCACCGCGCACTGATAATTCCTTGCTGTTAATGACAGACCAGCGATGGTCGATTTTGCCGACCCTTCAAGGTATCCGCGTAGATATGCAAATTTGTCTACGTCCGACAATTGATCATTGTTATCGATCGAACTCGAAAAACTGTCCCAGAACTCTGGCCATTCGCAGAATTTTCCCCCCAAAGTTTTTCAACCGTAACTTTGGTAACTTTGCTCTTATGATTTTGCCCGTGCTTTCAACCGATGTTTGGCTTTCGTTCAGCATCTCATTGTCATTGATCGCCACGGGTTTTGTCGTTGTCAATTCTAATTTACCGAACGCGTTGTCCATTTCAAGTAAAAGGCGTTCAAGTTCTGCGATTACTTCGTCTGCTTCTTCTATCTCCTTTGCCATCAATTCATCCGCCGCTTCTTCTTTCGACTCGCTCAGGGCATCGATGATTTTCGTGTCAAGTTCTCTTAAGATTTTGACCTTTTCCTTCAAGGAGCTTTGACTCTGCTTCAGCCACACGACGTCTTTCTCTGGACTCTCATCGCTTAACTTAGCGATCGCTTCGATTATCTTTGCCACAAGCTTCTTCGTAGACGACCTTTGCCCACCTCGTACGCGTCTTTTCTTAGCTAGGTCATCCATGTGTTCGATCTAGGTCGTCTGACCTTTGTGACAATTTTCTTTGTGCGGCGACTGCCGTGCGAGTCTAACTAACGTTTCCACAATCCGCTTTAACTATCCAGCATACAATCCGGCTCGAAGGACCACTGTGTTGCAGAATCTTTCGTTTATTCTGCCTTTCTGGTTCATCAAACGTTCACACTCGAAGGGACTGTATATTCTGATTTATTATCGATAGATTACATTTCATTTTGCTATATACAATGGGTCATTATTTGGTATATCCCTATATCATATTACAATTACTAGTTAGATCACATTACCCAAATCAGATATTTTACATAAAGTTTTACTACATATTAACTCGCGCTCCGTGTACTGGTGATCTGCGCTGGGAACTTACAACAGCCGACTCATCGTCTGTATAATCATCAAAGGAGAAAATGATTTCAGAAAGATGAAATATTTTATTCGTCAATAATCACTATAACAATAATGCTTTGCCGACGTCGGCGTCACATGGAAACTAGGCTTATATGTTAACATGCATGTTTGCGTATTCAAGTCACATAACAAAGGCAAACCTCTGGCAACAAACATTTAATATTTCTTTCGTCGCTTTATTTAATGATATTCAAGAGAAGCTATTCGTTCGTTCTCGTCAACGGTTAAAATAACATTAAATAAGAACTTCACTCATTGATTCTCATATGTCGCAGACAGTCGACGACGTATAACGTGTTGTTCGTCATCATTGACAAAGAAAATTTGTTCAAAATAACAAAGCACTTAATTCATTTGTGATCACCGACAATAGCCATCGGCGACCGTCGGTGACATAATTATGAGAAGAAGGCTTAATGTATTTACTTTTCGTTTCGAGGAATTTCGTTTTGAACTAATCGCCATATTTGTTTACATTTTTTAGGCAAAGCCAATCAGAATGCCTAAATTTTTAATACTTCATGTAGCATGATATATATTGTACTTTTATTCAAAATTTATGCATTCTGAATGGGTTATTGAAAATGTAAACAAACTTGCTGATTGAATGTCTAAAATGAAATTCCTCCTTGTTGATCACTGTGCGTCACACCGAAATGCGACGTGATAACCTAGGCCACAAAGATGCTCGAGCTGAATCAGCTCTCTCTGATTTCTCACTTGTTATGCTACCTCCTCCACAGGCGTTTCATAATACTGTGAGCGGGCGGGAAAATTGGGGAGCGATCGGCGCGGGCAGCATTAGAAATGCGGGTAGTGCTTAATCATGGAACGCTCACCCTCTGACTTTCCCGTATTAATGAGTGAAGCCAAGATGGCGGATCATGAAGCCTGTCTTGTAGGTATGATCCAGGCCTCTGGCGCGGAAATTTCAAAGGTAAATTCATAATTGATAATTGTCGCCATTTTACCTACCAAATTTCAGCGTGGAGACCGGCTTGATCATACCTACAAAAAAAGGCGTCAGTGTCCGCTATCTTGGCTTCAAACTTCTGACAAAATGAGCGTTCCAGTCTTATTTTAGTTCACTGTTAATCACTGACTTAGCTGGTTTCTTGTGAATTGCAACGTCACCGGCGAAACCAAATGCTACAGATTTAGTAGTTGGTTTATATATGTGATTTTATGGCGACTTGGTTTATGAAACGACTAAATATAAGCAAACTGCTGGTTCTGAGGGTTGTATTCAAATGTTTATCTTCTCCAAGGAGTGCAAGATGTCTCCACATGGGCGAATATTTCACTCGTGGACGCTTGATTGAGATTGAGTTACAGACACCAGTACCCTTGGCTGGAAGGAAATATTTAGCAAGTTCAACATCTCCCGGCTTTCCGAAATATCTTTCAGGACCAAAAGATGACTTTCCAATGTTGATTAAAGCGAAGAAAGGTCAGGAGACTAGTATGAAACACTGGGCATTGAGATCAAGAGAGATTATTGATCAGGCATATCAAAGGTATGTAAACAATGAAGTAGTAAATTCTCATAATATTCAATTTGCGTCTATCATATACTGTAAAGGTTTTGCTGTAAATACATGCAAAATTGCGAAACGAAAATTTCAAAGTTATTCTGAATTAAATTTGTTGCCGGGACTAACTTATTACAGGTTACCTTGACATTCCTATATATTCCCAGACATTCAAATGCATTTATATCATTATTAAATATACATATATATTGTGTCGCTACGTAGTCGGTCAGTACTGTTGTGTTCGATGTAAGACTGAAGTATCCGTACGTTTGTTTAGAAATTGTAAAGAAAATGGTGCATGTGACAATGGTTTGTCTTGCATGGCAAACCGAAAGGCGCTAATACCCGGCTAGTAGTCAGAATTAAGACATTACGCACTGGTCTCAAGGCAGTTCTGTAAATCAATTTAAATATATAAAATATATGTTTTTCGTTTCTCAAAGGTACGAGAAGGATGGTACAGCGGTCGCTCTATTGTTCCGTGGTCTTCCAAACTCAGGTGAAAAGGATTTCTCAGAATGGGTTAACAATTTGGGTTTCAAACCATTTTCCTATGTTGGAGGAGTAGGTGCAAGAAATGAAATTGAACTGAACGTTGACCAGGGAGCTTTGGATGAAAATGTTTATAGTATTGAAACTCATAATGAGATGGCTTACTCCAGCAGATTTCCAAAGGTATGCGTATTTACTGCTGTGCGTTATAGCGCTTTATCGGTTGAAACTCGGGACAGGACCAAAACGCGATAGTTATGCGGAGGGGACATATTAATACATTCTGTTTTGCATGCCCGATGATATTCTAGCTTGTTTCGCTTCCGATTGTTTATAGTCACTTATAGGTGCAAAGTACATGTAATGGTAACCTAAAGGTCAAGCAGTCGAGATATATTTATTGTGTATTTGAAGAGTGGCATAATATAAATTTTCTGAACTACTTATAAATCGCACAGTATAGTCGCAGATTTAGTGTTCTGACTTTTGATGCATGTTCACCGGGGAGCAAGAAAAAAATTATTGAATCAGTTGTATAGCATGTTTCATATGTATGCATATTTGTTGAAAAGGAATTTGCACAGTCAACGTATGGCTGAAGTGAAACGTATGTCACCCCAATGTGAGCTCATAACTGAGCGACGCGTGAAATTTTTGCTGAACGAATGCGGTTGAAGTGAACTCACTCTATCATAAATTTCAAGCCTGCAATCGTGCTGTTCAAGCCTTCATTTCGAGCTTTAAAAACGTTCAAGCTAATATCCGCATTTTTACCCTGCTTAAATGCATGGGGCCACGGTCCACTGCCACTGAATAGTTGCTACAGTAGACGATGTCAGAACAACATATCGTATTGCATGGATAGTGATAATGCAAAGACTCAGGTGTGTATATTAAATGTAAATGTGATGTTGCTACTCGATCTGAGTCACCAGCCGGGCAAAAGCTGAAAAATTAGCTTGACCACGGTGGGAATCGAACCGACGACCTTTGGTTTGCTAGCCCAATGCTCTTCTAACTGAGTTACAAGATCAAGATGGTTCGAGTAGTTGATATTTCGAAACTCAGTCTAGACTGTCTAGTTCCGTGGTCAAGCTAATTTTTCAGCTTGCCCGGCTGGTGACTCAGAGTAGCATGATCACATTTACATTTAATATCGTATTACATTGTGGAAGAGCCGCAGAACGGACCACCTTAACACTATGAAGATAGCTGCGGATTCGGCCTCTTTTTCACGAAACTTGCAATACATTTCTACTTTTGAAAAATGTAAATTTTGGAAACTACGAAACTTTTGTTTCTATTACACTTCATGAACGTTTTTACACTAATTTAATTTCTTTTACTTACATTTTAAGACTCTTCACTAATCTACATCTCATAAAAGTAGAATTGCATTGCGAGAAACACGACTTTAAAATATTCTGCTAAAACTCTTGTTTTTTTAAATTTAGATCTTCACAATAAGTTGTCTCAAGAAACCTCACTGGGGTGGAGAGACTGCAATTTGCGACAATAGAGATTTCTCCGCGAAATTGGATCCCAACTTTGTTGAAAAATGCAGAGATAGAAAAATCCGTTACTGGAATTGTCTTCACAGCGAAGATAGCGAAAAAAATAATTACCAAAGTTGGCAGATGCGTTTTAGAACCAAGGACAAAGACGAAGTTGACGAGTTTTTAAAATATCAGAAATACAATTTTTTCTGGGAAGAAAACACGTTGTTTTACTGGGACAATGTATCGCCGACTCTGAAACACGTGAAAAGTGGCGAAGAATTGTGGTTTACCCAGATTGCAACGAGCCATTGCACTTATTTTACGAACTCTCCACAATACGAGGGCCAGCCGAAAATGCCGAACAAGGAGTACCCGACTCACACCACGTACGGTGATGGAGAGGAATTTACATCGTACGAAATTGACAATTACAGACGTTGTAAGTGGGAAAATGCTGTTGCATTTGACTGGCAAAACGGTGATATTCTTTTTGTTGATCAGATGATTGTCCAACATTCCAGATTAAGTTTTGAGGGGGAAAGAAAAGTTGGTGTTAGCTTATTGGACTACTAATACAACCACGTCTTTGGGTTTAAGGGGGTCCATGCACCACTACTCATATACAAGATAACATTAAACTTTATTTTTTCTATATTACTATAGGCAAGTTACCCTGAGTAAAAAAGAATTGTATGAGTGTCCCCGGAGCTAGTAAGCTTATATTTAGCAATACAAGACACACTTAAAGTTTCATTGGCGAATTGTCCATTATTACTCAACTCGATACAGACAAATATGTATTTTTTACGTGAAATGTACATAAGTTCTGGCTCGCACACGCATATATAATAGTATACCTCAATTATTTAGTCGAGATATATTCTTTATCAGTGTAGTATCTTTATTTTTATTTCATTCTGGACACTGTTTGAAATTTTAGTTATTATATTTTCATTGCTTTCGTGTTTGGCTTTCAGCCTGACTTCGTAAAATTGACTTTTCAACATTGCTTTCAGATTTCAGTTTAAGTTTTGGCTTCCACGTTGGTTTTGTTTTTGGCAAGAGTTCCTGGTCAGCGTATATATCTTCCTCAATGAAATTTTGTTGAAGTTGATTCACGCGATCAGTGTTTTCTTCCTTATATTTCATTTCCCTTTCAAATTTCTCGATTTGACGTTCCGCATCGTGAAGAATTTGAAGTAGTTCTTTTGGTACATCATATGTCCTTAAAGCTCGAGAAAATTTATGAAGCTTCTCTGAAAGACTTGGCTCGCTTGTTATCGCAAGCATGCTATCATTTTTCATGACACAGCAACCGTGGCAACGTTCACGCATGTCCTTCACCTCTATCTCCCAGCGCGCGTAATCTTCCAAGGTTGACGTTTGAAACATCATGAAGATTACAGCGCACGTTGTAACGAACGATTGCACCATTAGAGCGATCTTGATGTTGCGAATACGGATGATTTTGTTTAAAACAGACCTAGATAGAAATATAGAAGCACGTTTACACTACCCTCAATTTATTGGCACAGCACGGCTAAAATTGGTACCTGTGCTCAGTTTTACCATGCTACCATGTAATGCACTTTTACAAAAGCCAAGCACGGATGAAATTCGCACGTGTACCCATTCTAGCCGTGTTGTGCCAATAAATTGAGTGTTGTGTGAACCGGGTTAGATTTAAACAGGTTTCATCTCACTTCCTCAGGGCTCTAACTTGGCTAAAAATTAGGTAGGCACCAATTCTAAAATCAATTTCAAATAAGAATATGACAGGGTGTCTCAAAAAAGCGGACGCTATTGAATTCACCTATTGTTAAAATTTGAATGAGTGTCCCTGAAAATTTTCAGCTGCCTAGCACAAACCTGAACGCAAAGATGCGTAAAACGACTCATTAATGCCCTGAATAACGAATTAAGGCCTTTGGGAATTTAAAGTAGCTTTCAAACTATAACTATTACATTGTTATGGGTGATTTCAATAGTTTGGGGGGTTTTTGGTTGCCTGTTTGAATAACTATAAGCACCCTGTTGAGGTGATTTTTATTACCAATTTTACAGTTGCAACTATGGATAGAAATATTTAAATTTACAACTCAAACACCATCAACTTCCATAAGTCTCTTCTCTAGAAAATTTTAAATGTATGTGTATATTTAGCATTTTTTAGTTAATTAATATAATAATGTATAATCAAAGAGTTTAAATGGTCCTAATTTCGGAATTAAGACCCTTTAAACCAAAAATGCCAAAAATAATAATTAATATATATTTAGCCTTTTCCCAATCGAGCAGGGTACTGGGTCTAGTCACGAACTGCAAAGCATCTATGGACTGTTTGGAGGGACAAATTATTACAAATTATTATTTCCTGTCCCTCCAAACAGTCCAGTCTTCGCGGTTGGCGACTAGACCCAGCACCCTGTTCGATTGTGGACTGGCTTGCATGGTCTTCCCTAACGTATATTTTAGTATATTTGGCCGGTATGTAACATCCTTGCCGTCTTCCTCTCTTGCCAGGATTAACAGGTTCTCTCGGTGAAACTTTGAGAACTTATACAAGACCGCGTTATGTATACCGCGCTAATCGGCAGCTACAACCTCTGAAAGCGTTTCCCCAATCGTCATATATTCAAAATCTCACTGCTTCCCCTGAAACATCACAGCTCATCAAAAATCACACCGCTTCCGTTCTCAGTCTACCCGATTGGTCAAAACAATAACTATGAGTCAAATATTAACGTTTTCAATTTTTAAATATCAATTTTCAACACTAGCAAAGAGTTAGCGCTGGACTTTAAAATCTTACTCCAGGTATATGTATAGGCTGGTCTTTGATGAATAAACCAAATTCTCATGCAATAGTATTATTTGAATAAAAACAATCGGCTCGAACAATCAACAAACTAAAATAAACACTGTTAATTTAGTTAAATACGTATAGGAATTCGGTTATCAGTTTACCACATACTAGTGCACGTACCTCCTAGAATACATTACAACAGACAGCACACTCCTGAATTAAACCCCGTTTGCACGGCCACTAAGACCAGATTACCATAACTCAGAACCACGATTAAAGTTTTGCGAGTCCAATTTTACTGGTAATGTTCGTTACAAATATACAATTACATATAAATTTGCTATAATCATAAGAGAGAAAAAAGAGCTAAAATATAATATCTGCTCAGTGCTGTGACAATTAAATAAAGTAAATTCAGTGACGCAAGACAACAGAACAGGGGCGTATTGTATCGCTTAAAAGGCACAACAAAAGCATTCTTATTTAATTGCTTAAAATTACCGGCTAAATATCCCACGAATGCTATTATATATTATTCAAATTTCAAAGCAAAGGAATAATGATGTCACGAGATCATTCTCATGAACAGTATTCTTCATAAAATTATTTTACACCATCAAGTGAGAATTCTGGTTCTGGTTTGACAATGTCAAAAAGTACCAGTGTGAATTGTGTCAGTTTTTGCAGGCAGAACATATATAGGTTTAAAAAATGTTTGAAAATTTTTTTAACGGTAGGGATGCTGAGAATTGCCTGTTTCATACTGCTATAAGAGTATGTTATTTTCTTTCATGTAGTTCATAAAGTTCACTGATAAACCTTTTTCTTTGCAAGGTAAAACTCGTGTTGTGGCAGTTGTGCGTATTTTCGTATTCACGTTGGTGGGAACGTTTGAAAACGCTTACTTAAAGAATCTTGGATTGTTTGTGAGATGCAAGAAGTAATGAATGCAGGATCTTCAATGGTTAGCACCAGGCAGGCGTTTAGGATATTTCGGGCTAATTGCCCGATGAAGATCACGAGAAGAGATGTACCTAAATAGAAGTGATAATCGAACACCAAGGGGGGGGGGGGGGCTTGTGGAACTATGTACGTTCTGCCCTGTGGATTTCTTTTGCAGGAGATTGCATTTTAAAAAAAAAATCCGCCGGGGAGATCTGAATAGATGATAAAGATGAATAAGCACTCTCAATTATATATCGCGCTAGCAGACCAAAGATGCTTCGCCTATTTATCCACCGTTTCTGTTTTCTATTTCTATACACGGATTCTACATGTACGTGTTCACACGAAGGAACCAGACGAGTGTCACGCATTCCTAAATTCCACCGGTACCAGTCTCAGTTTATGTGAGCCTTGTTTACATTGTACTAGATGAAGTATTGCATTATTTCAAAATGGACGGCAACTCTGCTTTGGTTGTTCTAGCAAGAAATTTCCTTTGTTTCCTTGTTTTTGTTGGTTCATTTGTCTCCTGCAAAACAGTAAGTTGTGCAAATTGATGTTACCCTAGTTTTTAAGATTTTCAATAGAAATTATGGCCACATTTCTTAGGTAAAACGGTGTATTTGGAAACGATTTCATATTACTAAAACTTTGATCTAAAATATCCGACCGTATGTACTTCGCAAATTCATTGCGAATGGCGCACCAAGCAGACTCCAGATCATATGATGCTACGGACGCCACTGTGCCAGTGGAGTCGTATGCTGCTGCAAGTATATGTACGATGCCTAACTCGCATTTTATTGATGTTTGGACTATAAAGAAATTCTCAGAGTCCTCAAAACCGTCATGAAGAATAGAAGATTGTCACTGAAGATTGTTCTTGTCTTTGCGAATGCGCTTTAGAGAGCTATACAATATGTCTCCCCACATTTTAATATGAGCTGGGGATGTTTCGACTTTGGGCTGTTCTGACAGACTGGTAGTATTAGGAAAATGTGTTTTGTATAGAATAAGAATTACAATTTTACAATTTTGTCAACTTCCAAAATGCTAGGTTTAATCACTCGTAGAGTGTGTTATGTTACACATTACCCTAACTCAAGTTTATGGAGGTTCTGTGTTTGCTATTTTTAGAAAAATATGAAGAAATATGCCTTATTTTTTTCATTCACAGTCCTTGTTGCAATATTGTTTGTTTTGTAGTTAATTGCACTTATGGTAACCTGGACTTGAAACTTTACTGTCATTAAGTTACTAGTGGGCCAATGTCAACCCCCTCCCCAAAATTAAGTCAAGATTACACATAGCAATTAAGAAATATATTTCTATGCAGCTGAATCCACCCTAGTAGCAATCTTTATTAAGCAGAGTGATTTCATCTCAGAGTAGTTTTGTCTGGAGAGAAATTGATATAACATTAATACATCATGAGGGTAAACTTGCATGATTGAATGAAACCAGCCTGGACCAGACACACCAATTGCAAGCTTTCGAAAAGCTGTTATTGAAGAGCTGTTATCACATTACATTTTGTCCACCAAACTTTGAATTGTTCATGAAATTGTACAATCTTCAACATTGCAAACAATATTGGAAAGGTTGAAATAGCATGAAAAATCATGTATACACCAAGGTACTCCATATACAGTAGCATAATTTACATCATTTAAAGTAATACTATTATGAAATTAACTTTGCCATCATTAGTAATGAAAATGGTCAGTAAATGACAAAATGCATTCTCTGGGTATACTTCTTTATGCCTGTTAATTAGCAAAAACAAAATCATTGGACTTCTTACCTGCACCGGAGGTTGATCAAAGTATATATAACTCAATTAATTAAAATTACTGTGTTCGATTAGTGAATGCCAACATTGTTTCAAAACATATTAGATATGGCATTTCTAATGAATAAAATCTATAGATGAAATACCTATGATATAACAAGTGTGAACGAAGTTAAAAATCTAGGTTACTGCTATTGCATGTGTTCTTAAGATGTAAAATGTTTGGTGGTTAAATGTTAAAGAATAAAAAATATATACCATACCTATGGAAAGTTGGCAAATTAGTGTCACTGGTGAAGATGTGTTAATTACATAATTTTTGCAAATCAGTTCTCAGGGCTTTTCATACATAAAACAAATTTATTTGCATGCCAAAATTTTTCAAACCGCGTATATAGGCATATCTTGCAATCAAATAATTTTTCCAATTTAATTCTAATTGGGACTGTTTGCACCAGTGTTTGATAAATAATCCCCAGTTTTAAATTTAGTTCAGTGAAGAATGATCCACATATGAGAGAGATTTGATGTTTATGTAGAATGTTGATTTATTTTATTTTCCTTGTTTAGAGTGATGTTGGCAGAGAAGGTTTAACATTGGTTGTGGAACATGCTGTAGGAACTGGTAAAAAATGACTAGCTTTCTATTAGTTGCATTCATCATAACTTTAAACAGTTTCATCTTATACATGTCAACACATGTAGTGTGATATAATATAATGTATATGACAGATAGTTATGGGCCATTAGCAGAATCCAATTTAGTTAATTTATAAAGAAATAGTAAAAATTGTTGTGGCACAGGTATACCAGTTTATAAATGATCATCAACCTGGGATGCTCTGACCGCTTGCTTCTGCATAGGCAAAGAATTGTCCAATTAGTTATATATTTTAATATGTTCAAAAACCTCAAGAGGTGATTAAGCTTGTTATGACTCACAGTACCAGAGGTATTTCATTTTCATTTCAAGTTACTGCAAATGATCTTTCAAAAAAAAAAAAAATAGCTCAGTGGGTCCTGTTAGTACTACATGCTGTCTACTGCAAACTAAATCTATGTAACTGCGTGTGCATTAATGCAAATTATCATATTGAGTACTAAGAACGTTGGCTGGAGCAAACCTTCGAAGAAAAATCACTTACGTAAATCGTTTGCTCGATCAGCCTTTCGATACAGTCGATGTTTCGATTCTAGAAAGACAACGAGACGAACTAGATAAATTGCGAGAAAGGTTAAACGAAGCACACGATAATTACTATTCAAATCTAGAATCGTTGCAAGAAATCACCGAAGCGTACCGATGGCTAGATATACGTGATCGCGAACATTTTCTATCTCGAACACGAGTTAACGAAAGAATAAAGGCCGTAGAAGAGAGAAGTACACAGAGAAGTTCACAGTCAAGCACGTTATCGCGTTTGTCGGGAAAATCAACATCATCAGTTCGATCAAGAAGAGCAAAAGCCGCCGCGAAAGCAGCTTCATTGCTAGTTGAAATGGACTTTATTGATAAAGAAGCAGAATATAAAAAACAAAAAACATTAAAGGAAATCGCTAAAGCCAAAGCAGAAGAAGAAGCTCTTAAGAAATTTGAAGAAGAATGTGAAAAACGGGACATATCTCGCACTAATGAAATGCAAGCTTTCGATCAATATCGTGGGCAAGGAAAAAGCATAACAACCCAAAAAACCATCCCCCACAAGAACAGCGTAGATTCGAGGTACTGGGAACAAGAGTGCATACTCATAAGCAAGATTTGATTGGTGATGAAGCTACATCGGACGACGAAGATATTCCTGATGTTTCTGACTACTCGTGGCTAGCTATGCCTAATGAAAATATTCTTCAGTCAGCCATGCCTGATGAAGCAATTCCTCGGCATGTTCCAGCGACGTTCGAATTGAATGCAAACGCTCAAGAATTCGTTTCTACATATACTGTTCCTCCAGTCTTAAAGGGCGAAGAACGTCAAGTCATTCCTGAGAAAGAAACAAATGTTTATGAATCACAATCTAATGATGTGAAACCAGATCAACCTGATAGTGTTGGACCTTTATTAGTTGAATTGGCTAAGCAACAAGTATTGAATTCCTTACCTAAACAACAACCACCAATGTTTTCTGGTAATTATTTTGATTATCCTTATTTCATTAATTCCTTCGAATCCCTCATTGAAAGCAAAGTCGAGGATCCGAAGCAAAGACTTTATTATTTGAATCAGTTCACAAGTGGGGAAGCAAGAGAAGTTATCAAAGGCTTAGTCACATTGAACTCTCCAGAAGCCTACACGAAAGCACGAACTGTTCTGAAAGAAAGATTTGGTCATCCATATCGCGTTGCTTATGCCTACAAAGAAAGGTTATTGAATTGGGCTACCATAAAGGACTCAGGAGATGGTGTTGGTCTATTGAAATTTTCAGATTTTCTTGTACAAGCGGAAGAAGCTATGAAGACACTTAAACACATGGAAGTGTTAAATAGCGAAGATGTCATAAAGAAGATTTGCTCAAAATTACCAAATTTCGCAATTGCAAGATGGTGCCGTCGAGCGAATGAAATCTTAACTGAAAAAGACGCAGTCAAATTCCACGATTTCGTAGAATTTGTGAAAGACGAAGCAACTTTTGCTACAAATCCTGTGTTTTCTCCTTATGCCATTAAAGAAGAAAAGAGAGGTGATAGGAAGAACGAAGGTAAAGAGCAAGACATTCGTAAATGGAAAAGGAATGAACAGTCCAGTAATTTTTCAACCATCGTCAATCCCCTATCGCTTACTGACAAAGAAAGAAGTCCACCTGATGTGCACAAGTGTACTTTGTGTGCAAAGAATCATGTTTTGGAGAATTGTCAGAAGTTTCAAGAAATGAAGTTAAGTGAAAGAATGGATTTCATTCGGAAGAAAGAATTGTGTTTCGGATGCCTTCGTGTTGGTCATGTGTCTAGAAGATGTCTCACTAGAAAGAAGTGTGATGTTTGCCAACTAAAACATCCTACATTGTTACATGATGCAACGAAGAGTGGCAACAAGAAAGAGTGCTCAACGCAAACTTCCTCAGAATTGCCCAATAAGGACCCCAAATCCACTGGTTCTACAATTAACAACTGTGTAAGCGTACGAAATGCTGTGAAATCCAATCAAGATAACAACGAAAGCAGAATCAGTTCAATGATTGTACCAGTTTGGTTGCATCACAAGAAAGATCCCCATCATCAAATAATGGTATACGCTTTATTAGATCCTGCTAGTAATGGGACATTCATTAAAAGTGATACTTCAAAGAAACTCGGACTTAATGGTATAGATGTTCATCTAAACTTAAACACAATGCATGGAACGGAAATGATAGCAACAAAGAAGATAGCTGGGCTTATCATAGAAGACCTAGGAAAAACCACCCAAATCGAGTTACCGAAATCCGTTTACTGTAGAGATGATATTCCATCAAAAGAGACGAGATACGAATCGACCTGAAATGGCTGAAAGATGGCAGCATTTAGAAAGGCTAACAACACAATTACCACGTTATCAAGAAAACGTGGACATTGGTCTACTGATTGGATCAAATTGTCCAAAGGCGATCAAGCCACAGGAAGTCATACCAGGAAACGAGAACGATCCTTATGCAATTAAAACTCTTCTTGGTTGGGGGTTTATCGGTCCTGTTTCGAAGTTGAATGAAAACGACTTAGACTTTGAAAGTTATCAAATGTCATGTAATCGCATTGTGACCAGGGAGATTGCCTCAGAGAAACAACTAAACATTGTTTTCGCTCCAGAAAATCGTGTAAAAGAAATTATCGACCCATCAACGATCAACAAGATGTTCGAACTCGATTTCAACGAGAATATTAACATTTCGCCAACGTATTCCTCAATTGATGACCAGAATTTCCTGCGAAAGGTTTCTGATGGAATCCACCTTAGAGAAGATGGACATTATGAGATCCCACTGCCGTTCAAGAATGATGATATCAAATTACCAAACAACCGAAATTTAGCTGTGTTTCGCCTACAACAATTGAAGTCAAGATTCAAGAATGATACTACGTACAAAGAAGATTACGTCACATTCATGAAAGAAATGATAAAGAAAGGATATGCAGAGCAAGTTCCATCGAATGAAGAAACAACAGAACCAGGAAAATGTTGGTACATCCCACACCACGGGGTTTACCATCCCAAGAAACCTAAGAAGATACGAGTTGTATTTGACTGTTCCTCTCAATACAAAGGAGAATCGCTCAACCAGTATCTACTCCAAGGTCCAGATTTAACGAATAAACTGATTGGAGTATTAACAAGATTTCGCCAAGAAAGTGTTGCTTTCACAACTGATATAGAAGCTATGTTTTATCAAGTAAAGGTCTCGAAAGAGTATCGCGATTTCCTCCGTTTTCTTTGGTGGCCTGGAGACAACCCAGACACAAATCAAGAACCTCAAACGTATCGGATGACAGTGCATCTGTTTGGGGCAGCCTCGTCTCCAGGATGCTCGAACTATGCCCTTAAACGAACTGCTGACGACAATGAACAAGAAATTGGAAAGGATGCAGCGGAATTCTTGAGAAGAAACTTCTACGTCGATGACGGGCTGAAGTCAGTCGCCTCCGTGTCCGAAGCAGTTAACCTGGTGAAGCAAGCCAAAGAGATGTGCAGTCGAGGTGGGTTCAATCTGTGCAAATTCATCAGTAACAAAAGAGAAATTCTTCAGCAAATTCCCGAGTCAGACCGTGCGGATGCAGTGAAGAATCTTGACTTAGCTGTATTACCAATTGAAAGAACACTGGGCGTGCAATGGTGCATAGAAACTGACAACTTTGAATTCAGAATTATTTTACAAGATCGTCCGTTAACAAGAAGAGGAATCTTGGCGACTGTCTGTTCAGTTTACGACCCACTGGGATTCGTGGCACCGATAATTCTTCTTGGAAAAAGAATACTTCAAGATCTCTGTCGTGATCAAATTGATTGGGACGACGATATTCCAGAAGATTTAAAGATAAAATGGATAAAGTGGAGAAACGAGCTGTCCTGCCTTAAAGAATTATCAATTCCTAGATGTTTTAAGCCGATTGATTTTGGAGAAGTTAAGTCTGCCGAACTCCACAACTTTTCTGATGCAAGCAACGTTGGTTATGGTCAATGTTCGTATATTCGCCTTCAGAACGCCGAAGGGAAAATTCATTGTTCGCTAGTTATGGGAAAGGCAAGAGTCTGCCCACTAAAGAGCATATCCATACCTCGTTTGGAATTAACAGCTGCATTGGTTTCTGTAAAGGTCAACGAAACGATGAAGAATGAGCTTGAATATGATATACAAAGCGAAACGTTTTGGACGGATAGTCAAATAGCTCTTGGCTACATTGGTAATGACTCCAAAAGATTCCACGTATTTGTCGCTAATCGCATTTCACAAATCCGTAGTAAGACTACTAAAGGACAGTGGAAATATGTAGAGTCAAGTTCTAACCCAGCAGATGACGGATCCAGAGGAATGACAGCCTCGCAATTATTGAAGAACCCAAGATGGATTACAGGACCCAAGTTTCTGTGGCAACCTGAGGATCAGTGGCTTGAACATACAACGGTTGAAGACATTTCATTAGAAGATCCTGAAGTTAAACAATCTTGTTTCTCCCTAAATGTCAATAGAACGTGGTGCCTTGCACAGGCAATTGAAGTTTTCTCGAGTTGGCAACGTGCAAGATCAGCCGTCGCAGTTTGTCTTACCTACAGGGAAAAGCTGTTGAAGAAAGCCAAGTCAGGCCAATCAACGAGCAAAGAAACTATATCTGATAATTGTCAACCAAAGCTTACAGTTGAAACCCTACGCAAGGCGGACATAGAAATCTACAAGTCAGTTCAAATGATGCATTTTCAAGAAGATATCAAGACGTTGACGATCAGGAAAGAAAGGGATGAAAGGTTTGAGATGCCATCTAAACATTCCGTGAAAAAGACAAGTCAGTTGTATCGTCTTAATCCATTTTGTGATTCTCATGGTGTTTTGCGAGTTGGAGGTCGGATCAAGCATGCTGATATTCCCAACAACGTCAAATTTCCAATCATTCTACCTCGAAAAACTCACGTGACGGAATTGGTAATTCGCTATTATCATGAAAGAGTTGCTCATCAAGGACGTGGTCTAACGTTGAATGAGATACGAAGCAATGGTATCTGGATCATTGGAGGATCATCTGCAGTGGCCTACATGATAAGTAAATGTGTGACATGTCGAAAATTAAGAGGAGCTGCTCAAGAGCAATTGATGGCTGACCTACCAACAGATAGATTTGAACAAGCTGCACCATTCACATATGCCGCTGTTGACTATTGTGGACCTTGGTATATTAAAGATCGTCGTAAAGAGCTGAAAAGATACGTCGCATTGTTCACATGTATGGCTTCTCGAGCAGTACACCTTGAAGTCTCGAATACGATGGACACAGACTCATTTATTCAAGCATTAAGACGTTTCATATGTAGACGAGGTCCCGTTCGTCAACTAAGAAGTGACCGAGGCTCAAATTTTATTGGTGCCCAACGAGAACTACAAGAAGCGTTAAAGGTGATGGATGATAAGAAAATCGGTGCTGAACTGTTGAAGTCAAATTGTGATTGGGTCGAATTTAGAATGAATGTTCCAAAGGCAAGTCATTTTGGTGGGGTTTGGGAGCGCCAAATTAGAACTGTCAGGAATGTCCTAAATGCCCTAATGCGAAGGAACAGCACTTGCTTAGATGATGAATCTTTTCGCACACTGATATGTGAAGTTGAATGTGTTGTGAACTCCAGACCTTTAACTGTCAACACTTTGAACGATCCTGATTCCCTTTCTCCCCTTACGCCGAACCACCTACTGACTATGAAGACGCAAGTTGTTTTACCACCGCCAGGAGTTTTCCAGAACAAAGAATTATATTCAAAGAAGAGATGGAGAAGAATTCAGCATTTTATGAACGAATTTTGGGCAAGATGGAGAAAGGAGTTTCTTCATTCATTACAAAAAAGAACAAAGTGGAACAAGCCTCGCAGAAATCTTAAGATTGGAGACATAGTCCTACTGACAGATGAAAGTGAGATTCGTAATAATTGGAAGCTCGGAAAGATTATCACTACTTATCCTGATGAAACTGGTTTGGTCAGAAGTGTTGAACTTGTTGTTGGTGATACAAGCTTGGATGATAAAGGAAAAAGGCTTAGAGTCCCTTCAATGTTAAAGAGACCAATTCATAAACTTGTGCTTTTGGTAGCCAATGACTAACTTAGAAGAAATCAAAGGATTTCTGTGGGGGGAGTGTAACTGCGTGTGCATTAATGCAAATTATCGTGTTGAGTGCCTAATATATTCATAACGCCTACTGTAAAGCATATAAAAGAGACAACCAATAATCTTAAGACAGACTCTGTAACATACTCGTAAGGGAACTTAAGTAAAGTGAAGTAAGTTAAGCAAAATAATTAAAGTGCCAAGAATCTTACGAGAACTTAATAAAGCGAAGTCAAACAAGTGTATCGTCAAGATTTATTTTTAAACATTCATGGCGCATTACGGTGAACAAGCATCGGCCGCCACAATCTATATATTTCTTTTCTTTATTGCAGGTCCCAAGTTGAACTTTCAGGAAAGGTATATATTCTTAACATTTTTGCTGAGTAATTTGCATGTGAATTGAGTGGGATATGACTCTAATCAACGTTTCAACATCAGATCACCTGTTACATACAGTAGCGCAATGTGAAACAAACAAAAGCTAAAACTGTTTATATGTTTTTCGCTTTTTTTTCGATCACTTACTTCAGACATGCTTGAAAAACTCTTGACCTGACTGCATAAATTTATAAAATACAAAAGATGTAGTGGTAGATAGTAAAAGATAGTAAAACATATTGTGGGGTTGTAGAGGTCGTTCTCACACAGTCCTAGTACCGACTATCCGGAACGATTTTAAAAAAGTTCAAAGCGTAAATAGCCTGTCAATAACAGCGAGGACTTCTAGAAGTGGAACGGACTGTAGTTACTGTAACTACGACAGTCGTAAAGACCAGCTGGGTCTTGTCACTCGACACGATATAATTAGGGATGGATTGTGCATCCTTTATTACTGAAAAATATCCATATCATTTGAACCATCACTTTCAAGATGAAGTCGAACACAAATAAACCGTAATCAAACATTGCCGTTTTCACACTAGAGACGCATAATGCATCTTCTCTGGTTATTCGTCTTCAGTATAAAGACGGACAAACAGACGCATAATACGTCCAGACGATTAATGTTCAGTTTTTCGTCTCAGAGACGCATAACCAACGATAGTTCGTCTAGACGGATAATGCCTCTGCCCGTGTAAAGACGGCACATAGACGAATAATTCTGGAAAATGAGACAGTGATAAAATAAACCAGAAATTTTAATATAATCTATTCGCGCGTGTTTCCATCGACGTATTCGTCTCATTAGTTGTCCCGTCTTTACACTACATAAAAAAATATCAGACGCTATCAGACGCATTATGCGTCTCTTGCGTGAAAACGGCCATCGTGTGGTTTAATTATTTCCTTATAATTCTTGTCACTACATTCTGTAATGTATTCTCTAAATATTCGCATCAATTTTTTCTTTTAGAGGAGAAATTATAATCAAAAGCCTGAAGGGGATCTCCGGATCTTACAATGACTATAACATCTTATCATCAGAGGAGTTTAAAAATTCAATCAAGGTTCGAACATTTATATTAATTTAACCTTGTCATCAATCTGCACATTAGTTTACACAATCATCTTATCACGCTGGGAATATCGGGGAATATCTTAAGATAAGAAAACCCAAATGGTTTGTCCGCTATACCTGGTGATTCATTTACGAAAGATGGTCAAACACTGTTTTATGTTGAAGAAAAATATATAGTGAAAAACCTTTGGCCATTTTTAGCGAAAAATTTGAAATCATGTTCACACTTTATTTACATAAAATCTCTCTGTGGAACATACCCTTAAAAACTGAAGAATCGGGAAATAAATTGTATCTATCAACTTTTATCAAAGCTTTGCATGAGTTTAAGATTGTGTAATGTGCTAAAGATTGCTTTAGTGCCTTTAAATATACAGCATGTCATTTTAAAGTTAGACTTTTTAGACGAAAAAGGCTTAAGAATTTATTATTGTGTTTTACTAATCGACGCCAGTATCACATCACATTATACTCTTCGTTTTTTACACCCAGTGATAATACAAACTTTTCTAATGTTTTCCAGGATGCTTCATATCAAGGCAATTTTTATCACATCCGAATTGCAGTGGAACCATTAGAAACTGAAGAATCTGGAAATAAATTGTATATATCAACTTTTATCAAAGCTGTAAGTTTAATAATGTTTTAAAGATTGCATTAAGAGTCTTAATTTCGTGTGGAATGATGTACACACTTCAAATTCAAGCCATGAACAGTTGATGGAAAAATGAGTCAACTATAGTATCGGTCCTCCGGCAGGAATCGAACCTATACGCTTTTGCGATGCCGGTGCAATGCTCTTGCCACTGTCTTGCCACTTGTGTGTATACGTCCATCGACTGTTCCTGGCTTAAATTTGAAGTGTGTATAATTCCACTCGAAATTAAGACCCTTTAAACCTTTAGAATTTACCTACATCGAGTGAAGTGCCAAAAATCAAAACCGATTTACCCTCACCTATTGAAGGGGGTGTATTTTTGTTTTCACAAATGTTAGAGTTTATTTTATCGCTATGACTTATTACAAGTTTCTCGCCATGCTACATCTACACGTCATCACGACACGCGCCCCCTATTTTTAATCATATATAATTAAAATTATTAACAACTAACTAATCATACTATTAATGTCACCCCTTCATTTTAATTCAAGGATACATTCAGTTCAATCACTTAATTTCCTCTTACTCTTACTCTTACTCTTACACATGCTGAATGTATCGACTGCAGCTTATCTTCCAGGTCTAAACTCTTCAACATTTCAATTCTACTTCAAAGTTTTCTTCGAGTTTTTAACATCACTGCGTAAGTCTATATAAAGAAATTGAACTTTTTTTCACGCACAAATTGTCGATCAATCTTTTGACCCATGCCAAAATTTACACTGCTTTAGACAGATCGAATTTTTGCAACAAGTGATGGATGAAATCGAATTCTTTTGGAATTATGGTAACTTTCTTATCTCTCATCGTTCGACTTTCTGACTTAGATTTCTGCTGGGTTTTGGACAGTGGGGACGCATTTCCACTCGATTTGTGCCTGTCGTTGATCTTTTTCACCCGATTCGATAGGAAATTACCTGCAGCTACCCTGTCCGTTTGCAGGCAAACCGCAACGGTTGAATCGCTCCACGCAAAAAACACTTACCTGACTAATAAACCTTTCTACCATTGTCAATGAGGTTACAGACGATATGACAGCTCACCAATTTTAACCTTTGAGTGAATGAATCTCGTTTTGCTAGTGTTGATTTTGACATTCAGAAACCGTTGGGACATAAACTGCAGCATGCACTATACAGCCCCGTTTACACTACACTCAATTTATTGGCACGGCACGGCTAAAATAGGTACCCGTGCTCAATTTTAATAGTGTTCAGGCTACCAAAACAAAGGATGAAATGGGCACGGGTACTCATTTTAGCTGTGCCGTGCCGATAAATCGAGTGTAGTGTAAACGGGGCTTAAATCTCAGAATGCTCGCATCGGCAAATCGATGAATTTGGACCTCCTTAGTTACAATTCTGTCTCGATGGAAACTTCTTGAAAGGTCAAATAGGTTGGTAATCCATCTATAACCACTGCTACCTCTGATTTCTTAAATCCTTGGGCAAGTCAGCATCCCATCCATGCTTGCGATCGCAGATATCACGGGTGATCACTTTCGCTATTAGTGGATACACTGGCTAAACCCAAAGGATCGTACATTCCCACCATTGTTTGAAGAATTGTGCGTTTGTTCATCTCAACTTTATGTTTGGTAACGATATGGACAATGTGCCATTTTTCCTGTCCCATTCTAACCCCAACAGTTTTGTCTCTGTAGGTCTACTCCGGAAATTTTTTGGCATAAGTTGGCTCCCCATCTCTCTCGTTGTCGTCCTCTATCTCTACCACATTATAATGTCATTTATGCGACACGAAACATCCCTCACTAAGAACCTGTTTAACTTGTTTCTTGAGTACCCCAGTCTCTTCTACCGTCGCTCCAATATTTATGTCGTCCGCGTCAGTTCCTTTGTCTAACTCGTCAACATATCTTGGGTACTTCTGAAGATGAACGTTTAAGGTTCCACCAAGTAGAAGTATTTACGTCGGAGGCATATATGTAGGCGTTTATATATTATAAACCATGCAGTCTTTAAAGTTTGTCTTCCAAACCACTTTACCGTCTCTTATATTCTCGTTTGACTATTTTTAGTGTTCATTGCTGAAGTCGAATTTCTCGGATATAATTAAATTAAATGTTGACCATACAGGTTTGTGAATATTGCGATCAATTTTCATATTTATTCTGTGAGAATCGTAGAAACTTTTATTTTTTACGTTTACAAAACTTATGAGTCTACAATCGAAAACCGATATGATAATTATTCCAACTGTTATATTTTAAATGTTTCAGGTCAAATTTTTGCCGTCAGCTTGTCAACAACGACTGCTGACTGTAGTGGAATTAACGATGAAGAGGTACAGTAAACATATACATTCCATATGTATGCATATAAGGAATTTCCTTAGATTGTAAAAACCTGGGTATACATATAGGAGTATACATATAAGTCTTTTTACGGTTGCCCAGTCTCTCTATATATATCTGGTTTGTTACCGCTATCAGTGATAATTAAAGATCACAGTTTATATAAAAAGGTACTAACACAAAAGGAATTGGCGCACTATATAACAATTAGACAACGAGTCCGAGTTGTCTATGAGCGAATAGTCAACGAAGGCGAAGCCTGAGTTGACTATCCGCTCATAGGCAACGAAGGCGAGTTGTCTAATTGTTTTAGTATACACCCTGTACCTAGATATATTAATTTCGAGGAAATATCGATACACCGCAAAATTGCACCGAAAAATAATTTAATTAATTCAATTTTATACGGTCGTGCGAGCGAATTTTTCCCAAACGTGCACTATCACGAATAGACGATGGTTGAGTAGCCAATCAGAATGTAGGATTTGTAATAGACAATGGTCGGGTGTATACTATATACATATAGCTGTCTTGACGCAGCGCCTCAAGCCTAAAATTAGCTTGTATAGTGAAACGTGAATACACAGCACATGTCGTGTAAATCCGATTTTTACTCTTCTAATAACGTATTTAGAGGAATACGTATCTAGGGGAATACTTTTCGTAATTCAGTATACAGTACGCCGTATGCATTAAGATGGTTTGCTATTATTTATTAATACCATTATTTTTTATGTTAGATTGATTTACCTGACAGAGATCAGTTTAATACAACGGTGCTATTGTCACATATTACACCAGGACCAGTGTACGTATTTATTATTTTTCCCCCTCCTAAAATTTCAATTTAATCCAGTATGACAAAAAATTTGAGGTCAGAGCATATGAGATGTTCTGGTTTACTGCGTCATATATTTTCACATCGTCGTCACTCATTGATGGCCTGTAGGGAGTGTATTTGTGTAGGGGATGTACTATAACCATTAAGAAACGCTTAATCGTGGATGGCGAACATACACACTAATATACCAGTCTAAATAATTATTACAACTAAATCGGTCAATCTGAACGAGTTGGTCTAAATTTATCTTTGTTTTCAAATTTAGTCCAGAAACTCAAACTTATATCAAGAAGTTGGAGGATGAGAGACGTGAGAAAGAAAGAGGGAAAGGAAAAGACAACAGGTCTTTCTTTGCGAAATATGTGAGTAGCAGCTACTTTTCTATATAATTTTATACATTTGGTAACATAAGTATTTCTAGGAAATCAGCGATATCTAACTCATAGAAGTGATTATTAGTAGAATGATAGCTATTTTCTTACTTTCTTATATCAAGGAGTTTGTTTTTTAGCCGTCTCCACCTTACCATCCCACGGGTTTAAGATCTCTAATACGTATCTTCCACTAAAATACTGATCAAACTATATTTTTAAAAGAGATCAGATTGATTCTTAAAAGATTTGCGCTGTAATATTTAACTAATATCCTTATAGAAATATATATCGGAAACAGCAAACTAGCTCTTGTCTTCATCGCTTCTTCATACTGTTTTAACATTCATCCACGACAATTTCTGTATAAATGCTGTTCTTTTGGAAATTGTCTTAAGAATTTATTATTATGTTTAGTAATCGACGCCAGAATCACGTCACATTATACTGTACTCTTCCTTTTTTACACCCAGTAATAATTTAAACAAACCTTAGTATTAATTTTAATTTACCATCTTATTGATTCAAAAATTGATGTTATTACAGTGGATGTATATAGTTCCTCTGGTGATCTTTCTTCTGCTGTCGGGTCAAGAACAACCAGGTGCTGGAGGTGCGGGTGGAGGATCAGGCGGGGGATCTGCTGCTAACTAACTCACATTACTGCGGTGGAAGAAATCCAAGAAATAAAAACAAGGACATTATATGCTTCGGTAGCAGAGGATTTTGGAGGGAAAATTAAAGACCTTTTCCATGGTGACATCAAACGTGGAAAGCCTGGTGTTACTAGAAGTTTGATTGGCTGCAGAAAACTAACGAGCCAAACAAACTTCGTTTAACATCAAGCTTTTCGTTGAGTATGCGCTGTAATTCTTTCACTGTTCGCAATGATGGACAAGAAAACACCGTTTTAAGACGTGGTTCTAACTCTTAATCACGATGTCGTGTAATATTGTGATTATAATGTGAACTGGGCCTTCCGTTTACATGTTAAATAAGACATTCTGAGCTGTGATATATCACTGGATGTCACGTAGAATAACAGTGAGCAAGGCACTACATTCATTTCTTTAGAAATTCATTTTTTGTTGTCAATGAACACCAAAATGTTACCATAGCAGGTGTGCTGATCATTCACCTTGTGGAATCGGAAATCACGCGGTCGGAGAAGCAAATAGTACAAGGAATTTCCATCGAAAATTTCTGAACATTCCGATGGAAATTTCCATTTGCTTTTCCGACCGAAATCTCCGATTCCCGAATGTGAATGGTAAGTTGCTCCCTCTACTCTTCTAGTTTATTAAACTATAGGACATTTTAAACAATCGTGAAGACCTCTCCTGATAAATCATGTTTGAAAAGCTTGTAAGAAAAACTTCAATAAAATTTTTTAGTGCAACGTGAACGCACCTCATGCAGGCGGCGTTGCAAAAATGATGGTCACAAATCCTAGGAAACTTGGCAGAAGTAGAGTTCAAAGCAATGCCTGAACCATGCCCTGGCTCCCAGTTTCAATACAGTTTTATTTATCAGGGGCCGGTTGTATGAAAGCCGAATAGCGCTATCCACCGGATAGTGGTTTTTTCAATTGCTTCAAAATCGCCCGTTGTTTGCTATAACTTTGATTAAATCTTAGTATTCCTAAATCGAGTATCCTCTTTAATAATTGCTGGCTCGGAAAACGAAATTTTATCGCTTTTCAAGCATTTTTAGAAGGGTTGAAAAAATCACTATCCGGTGGATAGCGCTATCCAGCTTTCATACAACCGGCCCCAGGCCTTAAAATTTCAACAAGGATTGATTTCAAAGTCATGAGGTGCCTCAGTCGACAAAACCGAGTTATCATGCATGTCATGCGCTAGGATTCATTTGCCCAGTGCATTACAATTGACTGAAAAGGAAAGGCATTTCTGCATAGAAATAATAAAATTACTTGATATTTTCAAGTGTCATTCAATCGACATGAAGAAATATAATATTTTTGCCGCCTGCATTGGTAGGTATAATGTCTTTATGGTAGCTATAGTGTCTGTATGGTAGCTATATAGTGTCTGTATGTTAGCAATATTGTCTGTATGGTAGCTATAGTGTCTGTATTGTGGCTATATAGCGTCTGTATGGCAGCAATATTGTCTGTATGGTAGCTATAGTGTCTGTATTGTGGCTATATAGTGTCTGTATGGTAGCAATTTGTCTGTATGGTAGCTATATAGTGTCTGTATGGTAGCAATAGTGTCTGTATGGTAGCTATAGTGTCTGTATGGTAGCAATAGTGTCTGTATGGTAGCAATAGTGTCTGTATGGTAGCTATAGATGTCAGTATGGATCCCACAGAATGTAGTCACGGAAGATCGTCAAGTGGAGGAGGGAAATACAGGGTTTCCCAAAAAAAGTACCTATTTTTAATTCAACATAACTTGTAAGCGAACTGAAGAATTGCAATCAAATAATCCATATTAGGTGGAGTAATGTCTAACTTAAAGTTTGATATATTACATATGAAGTTTGAACGAGTAGTGTCTGAGATATTCGCGTTTAAAGTCGCAGCAACGTTTTGAAACTTGTCAAAAATCAGGAAAAAATGGCCTATTAAACTTGTTTCAACAATACCGGTTCGTAACATGGTGTCTTGTAACTTATTTTTTATTTTTTTTTTAAATCGTTTTTTACTTGTTCTTATTCATCTGCAAATTCATGCCCACCAGCAGCAACGCACTTTCTTGCCCGTGTCAGCATGCCATCAAAAGACCTTTGAATCATGTGGGCGTCCAAATTGCGACATGACCGAAGAATCGCCTCGCGAAGTTCTCCCAAGTTTTCTCCCAGAGGTTGTTGGTCATGAGGTTGTTAGTCTGCTGCTTTAAATAGCCCCAGAGGAAGAAATCACACACCGTCAGGTCAGGGGAGCGTGGAGGCCATGGCCAATCGCCGCGTTTACTCATGAGTCAGGAAATTGCCCCTGTAGATACCGGATTGTTGCGTTTAACAAGCAATTTTTTGCTGATTTTTGACACATTTCAAAACGTTACCGTGTCTTTAAACGCGAATATCTCGGAAATTACTCGCTCAAACTTCATGCAATATATCAAACTTCAAGTTAGACATTACTCAACTACACATGGATTATTTGATTGTAATTCTTTAGTTCGTTTATAAGTTATGTTGAATTAACAACAGCCAAAAATTGATCAGGTTGTTCGGTGTTGTTTATCGAACAATGCCTGAACAACACTGTTATCAATGTTGAACAACGTTGTTCAACCGACAATCGTTATCAACATTGTTCAAACAACTTGTTCACGCTTGATCAACGAACAATGGTTCAACAACATGATGGAACAAACTGCAACAGGGTTGATGAAACATGCTTGACAAATGCTGTCAGAACAATGTTGTTCAGCGCTGTTTATTCATCAAGCGTCAACAATAATGTTCGAACAAGCGGGAACAACATTGACGAAACAACAAGTTGTTCTCAACTGTTCGAACAACCTTTATAAGCATTGTTGTCAATGTTGAATATTTATTGACTTCCGCCTTGACCTTGTGTAATGTGTCAGGCATTTGGCGGGCGTTAGCGACCCGCGACGAGACTGTACTGATTCGATCATATTTGACAGTTTGTTTTGAATCACTTCAACGCGCCTTTGTATGGCAGATTTAGTTTTATTTTAAACTAAGAGTACTTGGAAACTATTTACGTTCGCATTCTAAAACATCCAACAGAATGTATTCATATCAGTCGCTTGGTCATTGACTTTAGATCATGTGAATCATGTCATCGTTGGAAACTCTTGAAAAGGTCCTCGTGGTTGGAAATTAGAATCCTCGTCAAACAAGTATACCACACTATGCCAGTCTGAAATTCAAAGCCTTTACAAGGAGATATTGATGACGGCGGTAGCGATCAAGACTTATTACCACTTTATAATATTCTATCACATCCGACTTTATAATATTCTCAAAGACTCATAGTGGATTGTAAATTATCCTTTTCTGACGACCAAATGGCGCACTGTCACTGATGGCCGCAAGTGATTGTTAAAATATGGTAATGAAAAATGTTCTTCGTCTAAGCAGCAAACGAAAAATTTATTGACAACTATTGATTGCTACTATTATTATTACTAATATTTCTAAATAACTGATATTTTTCAAATTCAACATAGACTTTAACTACAACTCTGAAACTCTTAAACATCATTTTTTAAATTTTTTAAATTGTTTTTATCCTCTTCATTCTTCATGTAGGATTTCCTCCCACTCGGATGCAGAAGGCCCTCTTGCACCATATCTTCTTTCCTTCCATGTTTGGAAATTAATCCAAAACTTATCATCCTTCACACAATCATCCCTACCGGTTTCAGCCACATATACTTTCTGGAAAAAAGGAAGGATAATGGTGAGTTAACGTTGAGAAAACTGTTCTTTTGCTGTTGTTTTTGAGTACATTTAATCTAATCTACATACATCAAGCCTAGTTTCTAAAGTCAAATTCAAAAAACCTTGCTCCACTGCATGGTATGGTAAATTTTGCCAAAAAGGTCACCATTACATGCTAATTTTACAAACCTATTTCCCCAATTGCATAATCCTATAGCACTGGTAGTTAGATACTAGTAAATAGATAACTAATAGTTTTTTTTATTGGATCAGGCCATCCAAACATGCAAACCATAAAGTAATTGTTTAATCATATATAATCTTTTTATATAGAATGGAATTTATTTGATCTTGCAACAAGCAAGAAGTACAAATTATGTGTGATAATCTTACCACAAGAGCAGTGTGATGATGCACTGTACTCTCTAGAGTAGCATTGAACTTCACACCTAGCAGCCCACAAATCTTTGAAGAGAGCTCCTTGATTGAAGCTTTTTCCATGGCTGACCAGTTCCCAATTCCAAGTATCTGAGGTGGAGAGACATTTAATTTACTAAATTTATTATTTAAACACTTATTTAATCAAGAGGCATTTTGGATTGATAAAATTTTACCCTTCTCCTCTCTTCACTTCTCCAATATGTGAACTTTTTCCCCTCAAATTTGTCAACCTTGCTCATTAGCTCTTCAATTTTTAGCCCGTATGGTGAGTTCTCGAACTCAATCCGTAGTTGTTCCTTAATTCAAAATCATATCATAATATTGCATAAAACAAAATGTAGTGTATTTCTGAAAATATTTAGTGTTGTTATGCATATGTATGTATGTGTGTATGTACACACTTACAGTCTTGCTTTCATTGGTCTTGGGAAACCGTCCAAGTTGAATGTATGCCTTTGCCAATATTTTCGTTACATTTGTCTGTTATAATAGTTTTAGTAAGTAGATTATAAAAAAAGAATAAAGTCTTATGTGCCAAATATAACGCAAAAAATGCATGGTTGTTTATAAATAAATACTGACTGCATGGCTTGATTTGGCCAAGTCAAATTCTTGCTTGTCAAACTTGGAGCCCAGATTTTTATTGCCTTCTCCATTGTTGCCTGCCGTTTCTGCACGTCTTTGACCATTTCTTTCAGCTCTCTCAATTCCTTTAGTATCATCGTCTCCGTGTCCGGCTCTCTCATTAAATTCGGGTCTTGCGTTTCAGAATCATCTGGCAAAAAAATGTCAAAGTTTATTCAGTACTATTATGTCTATGTACAGACAATTTCAGAAAAATACTAAATATTAAAATGTAATATTGTTTACCGTCAAATATATTAGCAGGAAAGTTCCCACGGCCATACGGTCCTCTCCTTGACTTTGTGCGTTTCTCGTGCTGCCGTTGAGGGCAATGTCAACATCGTTCAACAAATTGTTTCGCCTACAGTGTTTCGGAAATTATAAGACCAGATATTCGAAATAATGATGAAACGCGTCAATTTAATATTATATTTACCTGCGTGAAGCTCCCAATGCTCTTAATTCATTGGTTGTCATTTTTCAAATTAAATATGGCGCGAAATTTGGCCTTAAAAAACTCTGCTTTAAAATATGTTTTAGCAAAAGCATCCATGCGTTGTTGTCCTTTACTGGCTCGACCAATCAGGTACAAGTACCTACGTAAATCAACCAATCAAAATCGCTAAATGCGAAGCGGGAAAATTTTTTGCCAGGCAAGCACGTCGCGGGGAATTTAACAAAACAAAGGGATATTTAATTTGGTAAATAAAAATTCTTGATTTAATTTGAACGCAAAAATGAAAAAAAGAACATGTCGATATCATTGTGACATCTGTGCAGTTAATTTTGAGTCGTGGGATAGGTATTCTGTCCATTTAACCTCAAGAGGACATCGTATGAAACAGCTCGCGACAAGGACGACGACACAAAATATCCAGCTGGTTTCTGACACATTTGAACCCACCGACGTATATGCCACAAGTCAACAGGAATTTTTATTCATGCAAGAACCAATGTGCGAAGATATTAGCTTTGAGAATAACTCTGACAGTGGAAGCGACGATACTTTCAGTGACGTCGCCCTGAGCGACTCTGAGCCGGAGCAAAGCGATAGCGAGGAAGAAAGCGACAGAGAAAATATGCTACGACCATCTGAGCAAGGCAACGGCTTATACTTTCCGTTTCCGTCTGAGATATTTTTTCTGCTTTACAGCTACGTCCATAACGTTTCCCGACCGAAGGTAATTTTTCATTTATCATCAAAGAATTGAATTGAATAAAGCGATTTGACGATTTTTGCCCTGATGTAGTGTATGACGAAGTGTTTCTAGTTTTCAAAGCCGGGTTAACTTTACCATAACTCTGATCGCAGGTACTTCTGAATTCGCTCCACCGCGGATGGAGGACTAAAAAAAGCCACCAGCACCGCGAAAGGTTTCCTAAATAGCCGCGTAACAACACCAATAACAAGGCGTGAAACACATGTAAAAATAATGTGTTTTACGCCTTGTTATTGGTGTTGGGCGCACACATAGATAAAAGCCTCTATATAAGCGCCCTGGTCCTGGCGTATTATGCGTCTTTAGTAGTTGAAAACGGCCATTAATTATTTCAGTCTGGAGTAAAACATCAATTCTTGTCGTACAACCAGTCAAACACACACCGAACTACAGCAGCGAGTTTCATCTACAGATAAGTTGCAAGGTTTCCCTCTCCAAGATTATTTGTTTCATGCTAAAACAGTGTGCATGCATTGCACATGAACCTATTTCATAGCTTCTAGGGGCGGCAGAACAGGGGCTAAGAAGTACATTTGTAACAATTTTCAAATAAATTTTTAGAATATCGATACTATATTCGTATTTCTGGTTGGCATGGTTAAATTTTTTTATCATTTTTTTATCATCAGTTACTGCTCTCCATTTTCATAACCAAATAGTTCGCAAAAGAAAACAATAATGCAATAGCTATTTATACCATCAATTGTAATCATTATAATCTAGTCAATTCTGCTATTTAAATTGCTACTTTCAGTCTCGTGCAGACCTAGATTTTCTGTGGATGATATTCAAGAAACTTCACGTAGATGTTCCTTCCCTTAATTCAGTGATTAATTTCAAAATTAAGGGAGTAGAGGAGTTACTACAGCCACAAAAGGTAAATATTACACGATGCGGTTGGGTTTCCATGTCTTCCTGTATTATATACAGATTAAAGCCCGACTAAGATCGTTAAAAAAAGGCCAATGTACAAAGTGCAATTAAGGCCATTTATTAACACAGGTAAACATTTCAATTTCTAGGATTATTACAACGGCTATCCATATTACTGGTTACGGCCTTCGGATATCGTTCAACTTCAACTCGCAATACCAACCAGAGCCAGTGCGCTTATGAGATTTCCAGAAGAGACGGACACGTATATTAACGAGATGCCACAGGTTAGATTTATAGGTACAACCATAGGCGTACGGGCAGATTTTCATACGTACGGGGGCTGGACTAAATTTGTCCGAAGACATGACGTCATAGATTTCGTGACGTCATCATAAAATTATATGATCTGAGAAGACCACAGGTGACAGACTTTCCTTTGAAAGGCTATCATTTACAGTCTGTGGATATGCGTAAGAATCGAAACCAAATCCAATCTACGCTATTTGTAGTAAACCTGTAAAAATTGAACTTGTTGAAATACCTCTAAATAGACCGTTGTAACGTCGTTGCCTGAATGACAAGACACGTTTTGCCCGAAAAGGAGGAGGGGGAGCCCAGCTTCACTTTCCCGTACGCCTATGGGTACAACTTTGTCCAAATGTTTTATACCATGCACACGAAGCAAGATAACGCGTACACTGAACTGCAGAATGAACAGTACATGTATTCCCTTTGATACAGGGACGCAAGTGGTTGGAAAACGAAGACTTTCAAAGCTCATCGATCTCTGTGAACGGAACGACGTATTATCTGAAAGATATCGTGAAATTTTTATCTGACGGGGATATATATATAGGAAAACTAACCAAATTCTTCGCTAAGGTAAGTGTGCAGTGCTTTAAAAACAGATTCCATTAAGATTGTCCGGCTTCCAGTCCTCTCCGAACACGGAACGGATGATGGGTTGTCGATTTTTTAGACCCATATATTAGGTTGGCTTTCCACGTTTACCTAGGAACTTTAGAGAATAAGGGGCTACGATTTTGGAAAGATAATCATACTCGAATCAGCTGAACTATATTTGTAACCGGCTTGCGACTTCTATAGTGTCAGTTTAATTTTAGGTCATTCGCAACCAAACGGAAATTTTGACAAAAATCGAATATATTCAAGATGAAGGGGATGGACGTTATTGCATTTGTCCAGATGTGATAGTGACCATCCATACTTCCAGTATCCAATGTAAAGTTGATCTACATCCTCGTCAAATAAAGCAGAAATATGTAAACGAACAAGCGTCTGAAGTATCAGAACAGGTTTGCGCAACTAATAAACTCCTAAACAGTAGCATATATTTATGTAAATCCATACGCGGTTTCTTGTTCTTTGTATAATAACGTTTTATTATTAAAACCTTTTTATCACAGGAAGCCAAAGACATTCTTGCACCACACGTCGACAGGATACAATCCGGTGGAAAAAATCCGACTTCCACAGTTCCGTTGCTCGTCTTTAGCGACGAAACAAGCGGAAACACAACGAAGAAATGGAATCGGTTGGAGAGTTTCTCGATGAGTTTGGCGGGCCTTCCACGAAACGAATTTCGAAAAATCGAAAACATTCACTTTATTAGCACATCTAACGTAGTTCCGTCTGTTGCACTTGGGAAATCCATTGCCTGTGACCTACAAGGTAGAGTCAAAATTTCAAATTATGGTTTAAAACGACAAAAATAGTGCTACATGCTCAGTCTTTTTGTCTCATTTCGTTGCAGAACTCGAAGAAGGTAAATTAATGTACGACGCGCATTTTAATGAGAACATTTTGGTAAAGTCACCTGTATTATGCGTGTTAGCGGACAATCCACGGGCATCAGAATTCGAACATCACTTGGGAAGCTGTGCAAACAAATTTTGTAGAAAGTGTAAAGTACGTTAATTTCTATATACTTGATAAAAAGCAACTTCCAAATTCGTGACTCGAAATTCGCGGTTTCGGAAATCTAGAGGCAATAAATGGGGGAGAGGCTCTGCCCTTTTGCGTTTTAATACACGATTTTACATGTTATACATGCATGTGTGCGCGAGGTTAAAACATTTAATTACACCATAGGCAACATCTGATAATGGAACAGAAATTCAAGAAATACGAAGTGATGAATACGTTCAAGAGAAGATCCATGAAATACAAGATTGTCCGTATGTTAATAAAAACCCGTTTATTTTAAAATTTTGACTTACCATAGAAATTTGAAACCGTATTTACCCACAGTAAAATTCTTGTTGCCAACACTAGAACTGAAAACCAGAAAAAAATTAAAAGAAGTGAATGCGGAGTAACAGAACAAGGCGGAGCGTTCGACAAGCTGAAGTGCTTTCGTGGAAATAAGTATGTATGCAGATACGGTTCGAAATGTGTGGCGACCCAAATGTGCGATTACTGGCATTTTCACCTTGCAAAACTTGTAGACAGTACATTACTACTGTCTACTACTACTACTGTCTACAATACTACAGTTGAAGGTGTTCTTTAGGTGGTAATAATACCCTTTTGTAAATTTGTGGGATATAAGCAGCAACTTCTATAGCACCTGTTCTATTGGTACTATTAATTACATTTTGCTTTTATTTAGCAAAACTCCTATTGAAATACTGCATACAATTCTACTTGGGCCTGTTAAGTATATGCTATCCAACACAATTCAATCCCTACCTCAGCAATTGAAAAACCAGCTCCATGCAAAGATTCAAGCACTTGACATGAGTGCATTTTCAGCCACAATCAGGGGAAACATCACAAGAAACTATGGCTCATATGTTGGAAGAGATTACAAATTGTGGATGCAAGTTGCTGTCTTTGTTCTGCAAGATATCATTCCATTTGAACAACTCTTGGTCTGGGAATTGTTGAGCGAGGTATAACACCAGATACATAATACATGTGCTGAAAGGAATATAGGAAACATAACATATTAACAATTAACATATGCTTTTGGAATTAATTGTTAGACCTTGGTGACTGTCAATGCACTTTTGAGCAGCAGATAACTCTTCATAATCCTGTGAAAATGGAATCCAAAAATTCTCTATCTCAAGATCTTTATACCTATTCTATGTTCAATATTCATTGTAGATATTCATCTTAGCATATTCAAGTGAATTTGACAAGAGGAACTCAGAAGCAGCAAAGCAGCTAGTCCAAAAATTTACAAATGCAGTGGCAAGAACCTACCCTGAATTTCAAAAGAAGGCTAAAGTACATCTCCTGCTACATCTTGTTGATGACATTGAAAGCCTGGGGCCAGCAAATGGTTTCTGCACTGAAAGGTAAAACCACACATTAACGACAAGATTGAAAAAACACAGTATACCTATATAATTATATAAACATGTTTACAAACTTTTAATACACCAAATAAATCGATATTTTAGATTTGAGGCCTTCAATCATTTCATCAGAGGATTAAATATAAACAGCAACAGGCATGCATCAAGCTTAGATATATGTACAAAATTTGCTAAGATGGAAAGGCTTCGCTTTGTCCTAAGAGGAGGAACATGGGGAAAAGACCACAGGTGACTATATACTTGTAACAAACAAGTTTGCTATAGGCAATATATAGTTGATATCAGATGTGTTTGCAAGAATTGCTTCAGCTTGTCCATGTGCCTTGCATAATATTAATTCCATGTACTCTATATATAACATATTAGCTTACAAGCATCAGAATGCATCAAAAACTTGGCAAAAGAACCAAAGCTGCAACAATTTTTGGACAACATCCCAAAGAAGGAGAGCATGGAAGATAAAGCAATTTATCACCCTGGATGCTTAAGAAAAGTAAACAATTTGTAGTTTATTTCATATTGTAGTTTAGTTCATATATAAATTATAATTTTGTAACAGAAATGAAGTTAAAACTTTAAAACATCAATAATTGACTGCCTCTTTGTTTTAGGGAAACTATGACAAAGGGAAACTGCAGACAAAGCCTCTGAGTGAGTGCCTAGAACAAGTCGCAATTGAAGCAGCTGGTCTCCCTTATGATACAGAAGTCACATCCTTTAAAGCTGTTCTTAGTGAGAGGCAAACTCTTATTAATTCAGGTTCAGCCATTGTATATGTGGATGACCAGCATCAGGTACATATAAGATTAATACAACATGAGTATATGAAACAAATGTTAGAGGCCTCAAATTCATTGTTACAAGGTTAACACATTAGTAACACCTGCAGTTATTATATAGTACCACAATAAGGCTTTACTGATGCATTCAAGATAATTGAACATATATTATAGGAATAACCAAATGTATTTACGTTCTCAAACTCTACAATTGACTTAATTCTTTGTAATTACATTCCGATCACCTTATATATACTTTTAATTTTATTATAACCATTGTTTTCCTGTTCAGTATAAGCATTGATATCTCATGCGTGGATGTCTCACAACAATCATATTTATATAATCTTAATTAAGTAACAATGAACTCACCAAAAATGTGCGCAAAAAATATTAATCAATCACTGCTTATTTCAGCATCATCTTGGTATTTTCAAAAAAGGAATCAAGATCAAAAATCCCTGACAAGAGTTGTGGCAGTTGAGGAAGTGAGATTCGCCAAAGATGAATTGGAAAACCAAATATTCGGAGCATTTCCAGTGTCCCAAGGTTGAACTAACTGGGCAAGTGAAATTGTTTGTCACCTCAGTGTGTTATTGAACAAGTATGCCTCATCCATGATTGCTCTGCAGGAAGATGTTGTTATAAAGAGAGTCAAACAACTGTGACAGTTGAAAGGGAGGCTGTGAGTAAAGCAACATATAAGTTTGTTCACAACACAAATCATTGTTACTACTTGGTGAACAAGTTTTATCTTGGGGAATCCCTTAAATATTTCAATTTTCATGAATCTATGTATGAACATATATGTAATCATAATATAGAATTATTACTACAGGGTGTGGTTTCAAATAATGTATTGCAGTAATTAGTAATTTGACAGTTAAGCCGCTAATGCATCCTCAAATTAATATTTTTTCATCTCTCAATTCAGACTCATATGAGTATAAGACCTTTGTTTTTATGGAGCTGTTTAATACTTTATTAAAGCAGTTAAAAACTGTTTTATATAAACTACTTTGAAGTTTGAATCGCAGGAGCTTATACACGGGAAGAAATATTTATTTGTCAAGCAGTTAGAGACTTAGAGTTAATTTACTTTGCTTATCTAAAAAGTTTAATATAAAGTCGTACCTTTGTATTTATTAAATTAAAATGAATACATTATTCCATTGGTGAAACGGATACTTTTCATTTTCGATCCGTCACAGGCATGGCGGCGCAGTGAACTGTAGCGGCGGCGGCGAACACCCCCCGGCCAAAGATTGAAAAAACAATGTTGTTGGGACAACATATTTTGAGCTGTTAAAACATCATTCAACATGCTTGTCATCATGCTGTTTTACGCAATGTTGAATCATCATTGTTTACGATTGTTGACATCGTAAATCACGCATGATATCAGATTGATTTGGGCTGTTGCAACAACTTGTTCAGGTCTTGTTCATCCATCAACCGTGAACAACATCGTTTTAACACGCACGAACAATATTGTTAACAAGCTTGTTGACAGGGTGCAGCACAACATTGTTCAATCCTGTCGAGAACAACCGCGAACAAGTTGATATCAACGTGCATCAACGCGTGCGTTTTTAGGCGTGTAGCAAGAAATTTCCTTTGTTTCCTTGTTTTTGTTGGTTCATTTGTCTCCTGCAAAACAGTAAGTTGTGCAAATTGATGTTACCCTAGTTTTTAAGATTTTCAATAGAAATTATGGCCACATTTCTTAGGTAAAACGGTGTATTTGGAAACGATTTCATATTACTAAAACTTTGATCTAAAATATCCGACCGTATGTACTTCGCAAATTCATTGCGAATGGCGCACCAAGCAGACTCCAGATCATATGATGCTACGGACGCCACTGTGCCAGTGGAGTCGTATGCTGCTGCAAGTATATGTACGATGCCTAACTCGCATTTTATTGATGTTTGGACTATAAAGAAATTCTCAGAGTCCTCAAAACCGTCATGAAGAATAGAAGATTGTCACTGAAGATTGTTCTTGTCTTTGCGAATGCGCTTTAGAGAGCTATACAATATGTCTCCCCACATTTTAATATGAGCTGGGGATGTTTCGACTTTGGGCTGTTCTGACAGACTGGTAGTATTAGGAAAATGTTTTTGTATAGAATAAGAATTACAATTTTACAATTTTGTCAACTTCCAAAATGCTAGGTTTAATCACTCGTAGAGTGTGTTATGTTACACATTACCCTAACTCAAGTTTATGGAGGTTCTGTGTTTGCTATTTTTAGAAAAATATGAAGAAATATGCCTTATTTTTTTCATTCACAGTCCTTGTTGCAATATTGTTTGTTTTGTAGTTAATTGCACTTATGGTAACCTGGACTTGAAACTTTACTGTCATTAAGTTACTAGTGGGCCAATGTCAACCCCCTCCCCAAAATTAAGTCAAGATTACACATAGCAATTAAGAAATATATTTCTATGCAGCTGAATCCACCCTAGTAGCAATCTTTATTAAGCAGAGTGATTTCATCTCAGAGTAGTTTTGTCTGGAGAGAAATTGATATAACATTAATACATCATGAGGGTAAACTTGCATGATTGAATGAAACCAGCCTGGACCAGACACACCAATTGCAAGCTTTCGAAAAGCTGTTATTGAAGAGCTGTTATCACATTACATTTTGTCCACCAAACTTTGAATTGTTCATGAAATTGTACAATCTTCAACATTGCAAACAATATTGGAAAGGTTGAAATAGCATGAAAAATCATGTATACACCAAGGTACTCCATATACAGTAGCATAATTTACATCATTTAAAGTAATACTATTATGAAATTAACTTTGCCATCATTAGTAATGAAAATGGTCAGTAAATGACAAAATGCATTCTCTGGGTATACTTCTTTATGCCTGTTAATTAGCAAAAACAAAATCATTGGACTTCTTACCTGCACCGGAGGTTGATCAAAGTATATATAACTCAATTAATTAAAATTACTGTGTTCGATTAGTGAATGCCAACATTGTTTCAAAACATATTAGATATGGCATTTCTAATGAATAAAATCTATAGATGAAATACCTATGATATAACAAGTGTGAACGAAGTTAAAAATCTAGGTTACTGCTATTGCATGTGTTCTTAAGATGTAAAATGTTTGGTGGTTAAATGTTAAAGAATAAAAAAATATATACCATACCTATGGAAAGTTGGCAAATTAGTGTCACTGGTGAAGATGTGTTAATTACATAATTTTTGCAAATCAGTTCTCAGGGCTTTTCATACATAAAACAAATTTATTTGCATGCCAAAATTTTTCAAACCGCGTATATAGGCATATCTTGCAATCAAATAATTTTTCCAATTTAATTCTAATTGGGACTGTTTGCACCAGTGTTTGATAAATAATCCCCAGTTTTAAATTTAGTTCAGTGAAGAATGATCCACATATGAGAGAGATTTGATGTTTATGTAGAATGTTGATTTATTTTATTTTCCTTGTTTAGAGTGATGTTGGCAGAGAAGGTTTAACATTGGTTGTGGAACATGCTGTAGGAACTGGTAAAAAATGACTAGCTTTCTATTAGTTGCATTCATCATAACTTTAAACAGTTTCATCTTATACATGTCAACACATGTAGTGTGATATAATATAATGTATATGACAGATAGTTATGGGCCATTAGCAGAATCCAATTTAGTTAATTTATAAAGAAATAGTAAAAATTGTTGTGGCACAGGTATACCAGTTTATAAATGATCATCAACCTGGGATGCTCTGACCGCTTGCTTCTGCATAGGCAAAGAATTGTCCAATTAGTTATATATTTTAATATGTTCAAAAACCTCAAGAGGTGATTAAGCTTGTTATGACTCACAGTACCAGAGGTATTTCATTTTCATTTCAAGTTACTGCAAATGATCTTTCAAAAAAATAAAAAAATAGCTCAGTGGGTCCTGTTAGTACTACATGCTGTCTACTGCAAACTAAATCTATGTAACTGCGTGTGCATTAATGCAAATTATCATATTGAGTACTAAGAACGTTGGCTGGAGCAAACCTTCGAAGAAAAATCACTTACGTAAATCGTTTGCTCGATCAGCCTTTCGATACAGTCGATGTTTCGATTCTAGAAAGACAACGAGACGAACTAGATAAATTGCGAGAAAGGTTAAACGAAGCACACGATAATTACTATTCAAATCTAGAATCGTTGCAAGAAATCACCGAAGCGTACCGATGGCTAGATATACGTGATCGCGAACATTTTCTATCTCGAACACGAGTTAACGAAAGAATAAAGGCCGTAGAAGAGAGAAGTACACAGAGAAGTTCACAGTCAAGCACGTTATCGCGTTTGTCGGGAAAATCAACATCATCAGTTCGATCAAGAAGAGCAAAAGCCGCCGCGAAAGCAGCTTCATTGCTAGTTGAAATGGACTTTATTGATAAAGAAGCAGAATATAAAAAACAAAAAACATTAAAGGAAATCGCTAAAGCCAAAGCAGAAGAAGAAGCTCTTAAGAAATTTGAAGAAGAATGTGAAAAACGGGACATATCTCGCACTAATGAAATGCAAGCTTTCGATCAATATCGTGGGCAAGGAAAAAGCATAACAACCCAAAAAACCCATCCCCCACAAGAACAGCGTAGATTCGAGGTACTGGGAACAAGAGTGCATACTCATAAGCAAGATTTGATTGGTGATGAAGCTACATCGGACGACGAAGATATTCCTGATGTTTCTGACTACTCGTGGCTAGCTATGCCTAATGAAAATATTCTTCAGTCAGCCATGCCTGATGAAGCAATTCCTCGGCATGTTCCAGCGACGTTCGAATTGAATGCAAACGCTCAAGAATTCGTTTCTACATATACTGTTCCTCCAGTCTTAAAGGGCGAAGAACGTCAAGTCATTCCTGAGAAAGAAACAAATGTTTATGAATCACAATCTAATGATGTGAAACCAGATCAACCTGATAGTGTTGGACCTTTATTAGTTGAATTGGCTAAGCAACAAGTATTGAATTCCTTACCTAAACAACAACCACCAATGTTTTCTGGTAATTATTTTGATTATCCTTATTTCATTAATTCCTTCGAATCCCTCATTGAAAGCAAAGTCGAGGATCCGAAGCAAAGACTTTATTATTTGAATCAGTTCACAAGTGGGGAAGCAAGAGAAGTTATCAAAGGCTTAGTCACATTGAACTCTCCAGAAGCCTACACGAAAGCACGAACTGTTCTGAAAGAAAGATTTGGTCATCCATATCGCGTTGCTTATGCCTACAAAGAAAGGTTATTGAATTGGGCTACCATAAAGGACTCAGGAGATGGTGTTGGTCTATTGAAATTTTCAGATTTTCTTGTACAAGCGGAAGAAGCTATGAAGACACTTAAACACATGGAAGTGTTAAATAGCGAAGATGTCATAAAGAAGATTTGCTCAAAATTACCAAATTTCGCAATTGCAAGATGGTGCCGTCGAGCGAATGAAATCTTAACTGAAAAAGACGCAGTCAAATTCCACGATTTCGTAGAATTTGTGAAAGACGAAGCAACTTTTGCTACAAATCCTGTGTTTTCTCCTTATGCCATTAAAGAAGAAAAGAGAGGTGATAGGAAGAACGAAGGTAAAGAGCAAGACATTCGTAAATGGAAAAGGAATGAACAGTCCAGTAATTTTTCAACCATCGTCAATCCCCTATCGCTTACTGACAAAGAAAGAAGTCCACCTGATGTGCACAAGTGTACTTTGTGTGCAAAGAATCATGTTTTGGAGAATTGTCAGAAGTTTCAAGAAATGAAGTTAAGTGAAAGAATGGATTTCATTCGGAAGAAAGAATTGTGTTTCGGATGCCTTCGTGTTGGTCATGTGTCTAGAAGATGTCTCACTAGAAAGAAGTGTGATGTTTGCCAACTAAAACATCCTACATTGTTACATGATGCAACGAAGAGTGGCAACAAGAAAGAGTGCTCAACGCAAACTTCCTCAGAATTGCCCAATAAGGACCCCAAATCCACTGGTTCTACAATTAACAACTGTGTAAGCGTACGAAATGCTGTGAAATCCAATCAAGATAACAACGAAAGCAGAATCAGTTCAATGATTGTACCAGTTTGGTTGCATCACAAGAAAGATCCCCATCATCAATAATGGTATACGCTTTATCCTGTAGTAATGGGACATTCATTAAAAGTGATACTTCAAAGAACTCGGACTTAATGGTATAGATGTTCATCTAAACTTAAACACAATGCATGGAACGGAAATGAGCAACAAAGAAGATAGCTGGGCTTATCATAGAAGACCTAGGAAAAACCACCCAAATCGAGTTACCGAAATCCGTTTACTGTAGAGATGATATTCCATCAAAAAGAGACGAGATACCTCGACCTGAAATGGCTGAAAGATGGCAGCATTTAGAAAGGCTAACAACACAATTACCACGTTATCAAGAAAACGTGGACATTGGTCTACTGATTGGATCAAATTGTCCAAAGGCGATCAAGCCACAGGAAGTCATACCAGGAAACGAGAACGATCCTTATGCAATTAAAACTCTTCTTGGTTGGGGGTTTATCGGTCCTGTTTCGAAGTTGAATGAAAACGACTTAGACTTTGAAAGTTATCAAATGTCATGTAATCGCATTGTGACCAGGGAGATTGCCTCAGAGAAACAACTAAACATTGTTTTCGCTCCAGAAAAAAATTATCGACCCATCAACGATCAACAAGATGTTCGAACTCGATTTCAACGAGAATATTAACATTTCGCCAACGTATTCCTCAATTGATGACCAGAATTTCCTGCGAAAGGTTTCTGATGGAATCCACCTTAGAGAAGATGGACATTATGAGATCCCACTGCCGTTCAAGAATGATGATATCAAATTACCAAACAACCGAAATTTAGCTGTGACAACAATGAAGTCAAGATTCAAGAATGATACTACGTACAAAGAAGATTACGTCACATTCAAAAGAATGCAGAGCAAGTTCCATCGAATGAAGAAACAACAGAACCAGGAAAATGTTGGTACATCCCACACCACGGGGTTTACCATCCCAAGAAACCTAAGAAGATACGAGTTGTATTTGACTGTTCCTCTCAATACAAAGGAGAATCGCTCAACCAGTATCTACTCCAAGGTCCAGATTTAACGAATAAACTGATTGGAGTATTAACAAGATTTCGCCAAGAAAGTGTTGCTTTCACAACTGATATAGAAGCTATGTTTTATCAAGTAAAGGTCTCGAAAGAGTATCGCGATTTCCTCCGTTTTCTTTGGTGGCCTGGAGACAACCCAGACACAAATCAAGAACCTCAAACGTATCGGATGACAGTGCATCTGTTTGGGGCAGCCTCGTCTCCAGGATGCTCGAACTATGCCCTTAAACGAACTGCTGACGACAATGAACAAGAAATTGGAAAGGATGCAGCGGAATTCTTGAGAAGAAACTTCTACGTCGATGACGGGCTGAAGTCAGTCGCCTCCGTGTCCGAAGCAGTTAACCTGGTGAAGCAAGCCAAAGAGATGTGCAGTCGAGGTGGGTTCAATCTGTGCAAATTCATCAGTAACAAAAGAGAAATTCTTCAGCAAATTCCCGAGTCAGACCGTGCGGATGCAGTGAAGAATCTTGACTTAGCTGTATTACCAATTGAAAGAACACTGGGCGTGCAATGGTGCATAGAAACTGACAACTTTGAATTCAGAATTATTTTACAAGATCGTCCGTTAACAAGAAGAGGAATCTTGGCGACTGTCTGTTCAGTTTACGACCCACTGGGATTCGTGGCACCGATAATTCTTCTTGGAAAAAGAATACTTCAAGATCTCTGTCGTGATCAAATTGATTGGGACGACGATATTCCAGAAGATTTAAAGATAAAATGGATAAAGTGGAGAAACGAGCTGTCCTGCCTTAAAGAATTATCAATTCCTAGATGTTTTAAGCCGATTGATTTTGGAGAAGTTAAGTCTGCCGAACTCCACAACTTTTCTGATGCAAGCAACGTTGGTTATGGTCAATGTTCGTATATTCGCCTTCAGAACGCCGAAGGGAAAATTCATTGTTCGCTAGTTATGGGAAAGGCAAGAGTCTGCCCACTAAAGAGCATATCCATACCTCGTTTGGAATTAACAGCTGCATTGGTTTCTGTAAAGGTCAACGAAACGATGAAGAATGAGCTTGAATATGATATACAAAGCGAAACGTTTTGGACGGATAGTCAAATAGCTCTTGGCTACATTGGTAATGACTCCAAAAGATTCCACGTATTTGTCGCTAATCGCATTTCACAAATCCGTAGTAAGACTACTAAAGGACAGTGGAAATATGTAGAGTCAAGTTCTAACCCAGCAGATGACGGATCCAGAGGAATGACAGCCTCGCAATTATTGAAGAACCCAAGATGGATTACAGGACCCAAGTTTCTGTGGCAACCTGAGGATCAGTGGCTTGAACATACAACGGTTGAAGACATTTCATTAGAAGATCCTGAAGTTAAACAATCTTGTTTCTCCCTAAATGTCAATAGAACGTGGTGCCTTGCACAGGCAATTGAAGTTTTCTCGAGTTGGCAACGTGCAAGATCAGCCGTCGCAGTTTGTCTTACCTACAGGGAAAAGCTGTTGAAGAAAGCCAAGTCAGGCCAATCAACGAGCAAAGAAACTATATCTGATAATTGTCAACCAAAGCTTACAGTTGAAACCCTACGCAAGGCGGACATAGAAATCTACAAGTCAGTTCAAATGATGCATTTTCAAGAAGATATCAAGACGTTGACGATCAGGAAAGAAAGGGATGAAAGGTTTGAGATGCCATCTAAACATTCCGTGAAAAAGACAAGTCAGTTGTATCGTCTTAATCCATTTTGTGATTCTCATGGTGTTTTGCGAGTTGGAGGTCGGATCAAGCATGCTGATATTCCCAACAACGTCAAATTTCCAATCATTCTACCTCGAAAAACTCACGTGACGGAATTGGTAATTCGCTATTATCATGAAAGAGTTGCTCATCAAGGACGTGGTCTAACGTTGAATGAGATACGAAGCAATGGTATCTGGATCATTGGAGGATCATCTGCAGTGGCCTACATGATAAGTAAATGTGTGACATGTCGAAAATTAAGAGGAGCTGCTCAAGAGCAATTGATGGCTGACCTACCAACAGATAGATTTGAACAAGCTGCACCATTCACATATGCCGCTGTTGACTATTGTGGACCTTGGTATATTAAAGATCGTCGTAAAGAGCTGAAAAGATACGTCGCATTGTTCACATGTATGGCTTCTCGAGCAGTACACCTTGAAGTCTCGAATACGATGGACACAGACTCATTTATTCAAGCATTAAGACGTTTCATATGTAGACGAGGTCCCGTTCGTCAACTAAGAAGTGACCGAGGCTCAAATTTTATTGGTGCCCAACGAGAACTACAAGAAGCGTTAAAGGTGATGGATGATAAGAAAATCGGTGCTGAACTGTTGAAGTCAAATTGTGATTGGGTCGAATTTAGAATGAATGTTCCAAAGGCAAGTCATTTTGGTGGGGTTTGGGAGCGCCAAATTAGAACTGTCAGGAATGTCCTAAATGCCCTAATGCGAAGGAACAGCACTTGCTTAGATGATGAATCTTTTCGCACACTGATATGTGAAGTTGAATGTGTTGTGAACTCCAGACCTTTAACTGTCAACACTTTGAACGATCCTGATTCCCTTTCTCCCCTTACGCCGAACCACCTACTGACTATGAAGACGCAAGTTGTTTTACCACCGCCAGGAGTTTTCCAGAACAAAGAATTATATTCAAAGAAGAGATGGAGAAGAATTCAGCATTTTATGAACGAATTTTGGGCAAGATGGAGAAAGGAGTTTCTTCATTCATTACAAAAAAGAACAAAGTGGAACAAGCCTCGCAGAAATCTTAAGATTGGAGACATAGTCCTACTGACAGATGAAAGTGAGATTCGTAATAATTGGAAGCTCGGAAAGATTATCACTACTTATCCTGATGAAACTGGTTTGGTCAGAAGTGTTGAACTTGTTGTTGGTGATACAAGCTTGGATGATAAAGGAAAAAGGCTTAGAGTCCCTTCAATGTTAAAGAGACCAATTCATAAACTTGTGCTTTTGGTAGCCAATGACTAACTTAGAAGAAATCAAAGGATTTCTGTGGGGGGAGTGTAACTGCGTGTGCATTAATGCAAATTATCGTGTTGAGTGCCTAATATATTCATAACGCCTACTGTAAAGCATATAAAAGAGACAACCAATAATCTTAAGACAGACTCTGTAACATACTCGTAAGGGAACTTAAGTAAAGTGAAGTAAGTTAAGCAAATAATTAAAGTGCCAAAGAATCTTACGAGAACTTAATAAAGCGAAGTCAAACAAGTGTATCGTCAAGATTTATTTTTAAACATTCATGGCGCATTACGGTGAACAAGCATCGGCCGCCACAATCTATATATTTCTTTTCTTTATTGCAGGTTCCAAGTTGAACTTTCAGGAAAGGTACATATTCTTTAAAACATTATTGTTGCGTAATTTGCATGTGAAGTGAGTGGGATGTGACTCTAATCAACGTCTCAACATCAGATCACCTGTTACATACAGTAGCGCAATGTGAAACAAACAAAAGCTAAAACTGTTTATATGTTTTTCGCTTTTTTTTCGATCACTTACTTCAGACATGCTTGAAAAACTCTTGACCTGACTGGATAAATTTATAAAATACAAAAGATGTAGTGGTAGATAGTAAAAGATAGTAAAACATATTGTGGGGTTGTAGAGGTCGTTCTCACACAGTCCTAGTACCGACTATCCGGAACGATTTTTAAAAAAGTTCAAAGCGTAAATAGCCTGTCAATAACAGCGAGGACTTCTAGAAGTGGAACGGACTGTAGTTACTGTAACTACGACTGTCGTAAAGACCAGCTTGGTCTTTTCACGCGACACCATATAATTAGGGATGGTTGTGCATCCATTAATACTGAAAAATATCCATGTCATGTAAACGATCACTTGAAATCAAGATGAAGTCGGAGACAAATCAACCGTAATCAAACATTGCCGTTTTCACACTAGAGACGCATAATGCATCTTCTCTGGTTATTCGTCTTCAGTATAAAGACGGACAAACAGACGCATAATACGTCCAGACGATTAATGTTCAGTTTTTCGTCTCAGAGACGCATAACCAACGATAGTTCGTCTAGACGGATAATGCCTCTGCCCGTGTAAAGACGGCACATAGACGAATAATTCTGGAAAATGAGACAGTGATAAAATAAACCAGAAATTTTAATATAATCTATTCGCGCGTGTTTCCATCGACGTATTCGTCTCATTAGTTGTCCCGTCTTTACACTACATAAAAAAATATCAGACGCTATCAGACGCATTATGCGTCTCTTGCGTGAAAACGGCCATCGTGTGGTTTAATTATTTCCTTATAATTCTTGTCACTACATTCTGTAATGTATTCTCTAAATATTCGCATCAATTTTTTTTTTAGAGGAGAAATTATAATCAAAAGCCTGAAGGGGATCTCCGGATCTTACAATGACTATAACATCTTATCATCAGAGGAGTTTAAAAATTCAATCAAGGTTCGAACATTTAATATATTAATTTAACCTTGTCATCAATCTGCGCATTAGTTTACACAATCATCTTTTCACGCTGGGAATATCGGGGAATATCTTAAGATAAGAAAACCCAAATGGTTTGTCCGCTATACCTGGTGATTCATTTACGAAAGATGGTCAAACACTGTTTTATGTTGAAGAAAAATATATAGTGAAAAACCTTTGGCCATTTTTAGCGAAAAATTTGAAATCATGTTCACACTTTATTTACATAAAATCTCTCTGTGGAACATACCCTTAAAAACTGAAGAATCGGGAAATAAATTGTATCTATCAACTTTTATCAAAGCTTTGCATGAGTTTAAGATTGTGTAATGTGCTAAAGATTGCTTTAGTGCCTTTAAATATACAGCATGTCATTTTGAAGTTAGACTTTTTAGACGAAAAAAGCTTAAGAATTTATTATTGTGTTTTACTAATCGACGCCAGTATCACATCACATTATACTCTTCGTTTTTTACACCCAGTGATAATACAAACTTTTCTAATGTTTTCCAGGATGCTTCATATCAAGGCAATTTTTATCACATCCGAATTGCAGTGGAACCATTAGAAACTGAAGAATCTGGAAATAAATTGTATATATCAACTTTTATCAAAGCTGTAAGTTTAATAATGTTTTAAAGATTGCATTAAGAGTCTTAATTTCGTGTGGAATGATGTACACACTTCAAATTCAAGCCATGAACAGTTGATGGAAAAATGAGTCAACTATAGTATCGGTCCTCCGGCAGGAATCGAACCTATACGCTTTTGCGATGCCGGTGCAATGCTCTTGCCACTGTCTTGCCACTTGTGTGTATACGTCCATCGACTGTTCCTGGCTTAAATTTGAAGTGTGTATAATTCCACTCGAAATTAAGACCCTTTAAACCTTTAGAATTTACCTACATCGAGTGAAGTGCCAAAAATCAAAACCGATTTACCCTCACCTATTGAAGGGGGTGTATTTTTGTTTTCACAAATGTTAGAGTTTATTTTATCGCTATGACTTATTACAAGTTTCTCGCCATGCTACATCTACACGTCATCACGACACGCGCCCCCTATTTTTAATCATATATAATTAAAATTATTAACAACTAACTAATCATACTATTAATGTCACCCCTTCATTTTAATTCAAGGATACATTCAGTTCAATCACTTAATTTCCTCTTACTCTTACTCTTACTCTTACACATGCTGAATGTATCGACTGCAGCTTATCTTCCAGGTCTAAACTCTTCAACATTTCAATTCTACTTCAAAGTTTTCTTCGAGTTTTTAACATCACTGCGTAAGTCTATATAAAGAAATTGAACTTTTTTTCACGCACAAATTGTCGATCAATCTTTTGACCCATGCCAAAATTTACACTGCTTTAGACAGATCGAATTTTTGCAACAAGTGATGGATGAAATCGAATTCTTTTGGAATTATGGTAACTTTCTTATCTCTCATCGTTCGACTTTCTGACTTAGATTTCTGCTGGGTTTTGGACAGTGGGGACGCATTTCCACTCGATTTGTGCCTGTCGTTGATCTTTTTCACCCGATTCGATAGGAAATTACCTGCAGCTACCCTGTCCGTTTGCAGGCAAACCGCAACGGTTGAATCGCTCCACGCAAAAAACACTTACCTGACTAATAAACCTTTCTACCATTGTCAATGAGGTTACAGACGATATGACAGCTCACCAATTTTAACCTTTGAGTGAATGAATCTCGTTTTGCTAGTGTTGATTTTGACATTCAGAAACCGTTGGGACATAAACTGCAGCATGCACTATACAGCCCCGTTTACACTACACTCAATTTATTGGCACGGCACGGCTAAAATAGGTACCCGTGCTCAATTTTAATAGTGTTCAGGCTACCAAAACAAAGGATGAAATGGGCACGGGTACTCATTTTAGCTGTGCCGTGCCGATAAATCGAGTGTAGTGTAAACGGGGCTTAAATCTCAGAATGCTCGCATCGGCAAATCGATGAATTTGGACCTCCTTAGTTACAATTCTGTCTCGATGGAAACTTCTTGGAAAGGTCAAATAGGTTGGTAATCCATCTATAACCACTGCTACCTCTGATTTCTTAAATCCTTGGGCAAGTCAGCATCCCATCCATGCTTGCGATCGCAGATATCACGGGTGATCACTTTCGCTATTAGTGGATACACTGGCTAAACCCAAAGGATCGTACATTCCCACCATTGTTTGAAGAATTGTGCGTTTGTTCATCTCAACTTTATGTTTGGTAACGATATGGACAATGTGCCATTTTTCCTGTCCCATTCTAACCCCAACAGTTTTGTCTCTGTAGGTCTACTCCGGAAATTTTTTGGCATAAGTTGGCTCCCCATCTCTCTCGTTGTCGTCCTCTATCTCTACCACATTATAATGTCATTTATGCGACACGAAACATCCCTCACTAAGAACCTGTTTAACTTGTTTCTTGAGTACCCCAGTCTCTTCTACCGTCGCTCCAATATTTATGTCGTCCGCGTCAGTTCCTTTGTCTAACTCGTCAACATATCTGGGTACTCTGAAGATGAACGTTTAAGGTTCCACCAAGTAGAAGTATTTACGTCGGAGGCATATATGTAGGCGTTTATATATTATAAACCATGCAGTCTTTAAAGTTTGTCTTCCAAACCACTTTACCGTCTCTTATATTCTCGTTTGACTATTTTTAGTGTTCATTGCTGAAGTCGAATTTCTCGGATATAATTAAATTAAATGTTGACCATACAGGTTTGTGAATATTGCGATCAATTTTCATATTTATTCTGTGAGAATCGTAGAAACTTTTATTTTTTACGTTTACAAAACTTATGAGTCTACAATCGAAAACCGATATGATAATTATTCCAACTGTTATATTTTAAATGTTTCAGGTCAAATTTTTGCCGTCAGCTTGTCAACAACGACTGCTGACTGTAGTGGAATTAACGATGAAGAGGTACAGTAAACATATACATTCCATATGTATGCATATAAGGAAATTCCTTAGATTGTAAAAACCTGGGTATACATATAGGAGTATACATCTATAAATCTTTTTACGGTTTCCCAGTCTCTCTATATATATCGGGTTTGTTATCGCTATATCAGTGATAATTAAAGATCACAGTTAAAAAAAGCTACTAACACAAAAGGAATTGGAACACTATATAACAATTAGACAACGAGTCCGAGTTGTCTATGAGCGAATAGTCAACGAAGGCGAAGCCTGAGTTGACTATCCGCTCATAGGCAACGAAGGCGAGTTGTCTAATTGTTTTAGTATACACCCTGTACCTAGATATATTAATTTCGAGGAAATAATCGATACACCGCAAAATTGCACCGAAAAATAATTTAATTAATTCAATTTTATACGGTCGTGCGAGCGAATTTTTCCCAAACGTGCACTATCACGAATAGACGATGGTTGAGTAGCCAATCAGAATGTAGGATTTGTAATAGACAATGGTCGGGTGTATACTAAATACATATAGCTCTCTTGACGCAGCGCCTCAAGCCTGAAATTAGCTTGTGTAGTGAAACGTGAATACACAGCACATGTCGTGTAAATCCGATTTTTGCTCTTCTAACGTATTTAGAGGAATACGTATCTAGGGGAACACTTTTCGTAATACGCCGTATGCATTAAGATAGTTTGTTATTATTTATTAATACCATTATTTTTTATGTTAGATTGACTTACCTGACAGAGATCAGTTTAATACAACGGTGCTATTGTCACATATTACACCAGGACCTGTGTACGTATTTATTATTTTTCCCCCTCCTAAAATTTCAATTTAATCCAGTATGACAATTTGAGGTCAGTGCATATGAGATGTTCTGGTTTACTGCGTCATATATTTTCAGATCGTCGTCACTCATTGATGGCCTGTAGGGAGTGTATTTGTGTAGGGGATGTACTATAACCATTAAGAAACGCTTAATCGTGGATGGCGAACATACACACTAATATACCAGTCTAAATAATTATTACAACTAAATCGGTCAATCTGAACGAGTTGGTCTAAATTTATCTTTGTTTTCAAATTTAGTCCAGAAACTCAAACTTATATCAAGAAGTTGGAGGATGAGAGACGTGAGAAAGAAAGAGGGAAAGGAAAAGACAACAGGTCTTTCTTTGCGAAATATGTGAGTAGCAGCTACTTTTCTATATAATTTTATACATTTGGTAACATAAGTATTTCTAGGAAATCAGCGATATCTAACTCATAGAAGTGATTATTAGTAGAATGATAGCTATTTTCTTACTTTCTTATATCAAGGAGTTTGTTTTTTAGCCGTCTCCACCTTACCATCCCACGGGTTTAAGATCTCTAATACGTATCTTCCACTAAAATACTGATCAAACTATATTTTTAAAAGAGATCAGATTGATTCTTAAAAGATTTGCGCTGTAATATTTAACTAATATCCTTATAGAAATATATATCGGAAACAGCAAACTAGCTCTTGTCTTCATCGCTTCTTCATACTGTTTTAACATTCATCCACGACAATTTCTGTTCTTTTGGAAATTGTCTTAAGAATTTATTATTATAAATCGACGCCAGAATCACGTCACATTATACTGTACTCTTCCTTTTTTACACCCAGTAATAATTTAAACAAACCTTAGTATTAATTTTAATTTACCATCTTATTGATTCAAAAATTGATGTTATTACAGTGGATGTATATAGTTCCTCTGGTGATCTTTCTTCTGCTGTCGGGTCAAGAACAACCAGGTGCTGGAGGTGCGGGTGGAGGATCAGGCGGGGGATCTGCTGCTAACTAACTCACATTACTGCGGTGGAAGAAATCCAAGAAATAAAAACAAGGACATTATATGCTTCGGTAGCAGAGGATTTTGGAGGGAAAATTAAAGACCTTTTCCATGGTGACATCAAACGTGGAAAGCCTGGTGTTACTAGAAGTTTGATTGGCTGCAGAAAACTAACGAGCCAAACAAACTTCGTTTAACATCAAGCTTTTCGTTGAGTATGCGCTGTAATTCTTTCACTGTTCGCAATGATGGACAAGAAAACACCGTTTTAAGACGTGGTTCTAACTCTTAATCACGATGTCGTGTAATATTGTGATTATAATGTGAACTGGGCCTTCCGTTTACATGTTAAATAAGACATTCTGAGCTGTGATATATCACTGGATGTCACGTAGAATAACAGTGAGCAAGGCACTACATTCATTTCTTTAGAAATTCATTTTTTTGTTGTCAATGAACACCAAAATGTTACCATAGCAGGTGTGCTGATCATTCACCTTGTGGAATCGGAAATCACGCGGTCGGAGAAGCAAATAGTACAAGGAATTTCCATCGAAAATTTCTGAACATTCCGATGGAAATTTCCATTTGCTTTTCCGACCGAAATCTCCGATTCCCGAATGTGAATGGTAAGTTGCTCCCTCTACTCTTCTAGTTTATTAAACTATAGGACATTTTAAACAATCGTGAAGACCTCTCCTGATAAATCATGTTTGAAAAGCTTGTAAGAAAAACTTCAATAAAATTTTTTAGTGCAACGTGAACGCACCTCATGCAGGCGGCGTTGCAAAAATGATGGTCACAAATCCTAGGAAACTTGGCAGAAGTAGAGTTCAAAGCAATGCCTGAACCATGCCCTGGCTCCCAGTTTCAATACAGTTTTATTTATCAGGGGCCGGTTGTATGAAAGCCGAATAGCGCTATCCACCGGATAGTGGTTTTTTCAATTGCTTCAAAATCGCCCGTTGTTTGCTATAACTTTGATTAAATCTTAGTATTCCTAAATCGAGTATCCTCTTTAATAATTGCTGGCTCGGAAAACGAAATTTTATCGCTTTTCAAGCATTTTTAGAAGGGTTGAAAAAATCACTATCCGGTGGATAGCGCTATCCAGCTTTCATACAACCGGCCCCAGGCCTTAAAATTTCAACAAGGATTGATTTCAAAGTCATGAGGTGCCTCAGTCGACAAAACCGAGTTATCATGCATGTCATGCGCTAGGATTCATTTGCCCAGTGCATTACAATTGACTGAAAAGGAAAGGCATTTCTGCATAGAAATAATAAAATTACTTGATATTTTCAAGTGTCATTCAATCGACATGAAGAAATATAATTTTTGCCGCCTGCATTGGTAGGTATAATGTCTTTATGGTAGCTATAGTGTCTGTATGGTAGCTATATAGTGTCTGTATGTTAGCAATATTGTCTGTATGGTAGCTATAGTGTCTGTATTGTGGCTATATAGCGTCTGTATGGCAGCAATATTGTCTGTATGGTAGCTATAGTGTCTGTATTGTGGCTATATAGTGTCTGTATGGTAGCAATTTGTCTGTATGGTAGCTATATAGTGTCTGTATGGTAGCAATAGTGTCTGTATGGTAGCTATAGTGTCTGTATGGTAGCAATAGTGTCTGTATGGTAGCAATAGTGTCTGTATGGTAGCTATAGATGTCAGTATGGATCCCACAGAATGTAGTCACGGAAGATCGTCAAGTGGAGGAGGGAAATACAGGGTTTCCCAAAAAAAGTACCTATTTTTAATTCAACATAACTTGTAAGCGAACTGAAGAATTGCAATCAAATAATCCATATTAGGTGGAGTAATGTCTAACTTAAAGTTTGATATATTACATATGAAGTTTGAACGAGTAGTGTCTGAGATATTCGCGTTTAAAGTCGCAGCAACGTTTTGAAACTTGTCAAAAATCAGGAAAAAATGGCCTATTAAACTTGTTTCAACAATACCGGTTCGTAACATGGTGTCTTGTAACTTATTTTTTATTTTTTTTTTTAAATCGTTTTTTACTTGTTCTTATTCATCTGCAAATTCATGCCCACCAGCAGCAACGCACTTTCTTGCCCGTGTCAGCATGCCATCAAAAGACCTTTGAATCATGTGGGCGTCCAAATTGCGACATGACCGAAGAATCGCCTCGCGAAGTTCTCCCAAGTTTTCTCCCAGAGGTTGTTGGTCATGAGGTTGTTAGTCTGCTGCTTTAAATAGCCCCAGAGGAAGAAATCACACACCGTCAGGTCAGGGGAGCGTGGAGGCCATGGCCAATCGCCGCGTTTACTCATGAGTCAGGAAATTGCCCCTGTAGATACCGGATTGTTGCGTTTAACAAGCAATTTTTTGCTGATTTTTGACACATTTCAAAACGTTACCGTGTCTTTAAACGCGAATATCTCGGAAATTACTCGCTCAAACTTCATGCAATATATCAAACTTCAAGTTAGACATTACTCAACTACACATGGATTATTTGATTGTAATTCTTTAGTTCGTTTATAAGTTATGTTGAATTAAAAATAGGTAATTTTTTTTGGGACACCCGGTATTTGAATATTCACTTTAACAGATCCATTACGAATGGCTAAGACATGTAAAAACAATAATTTTTAGTGCTGAGCCATTCGTAATGGAACTTACAATACTCCTAAAGCCGGTTTTCCACTAGCGATATTTTTCGCGCGAAGCGACATTTTACTTTTGTTTCAGAGCTTTCAACTGCAACCATCTGGAACAAATTGCTCAAATACAAAGGAATATAGTCGCTTCGCGCGAAAAATATCGCTAGTGGAAAACCGGCATAAGTTGCTTTTTAACGCAACTTGTGTGGCTATTTGAATAACAAGACGCATTTTCAAATCAATAATAAGACGCATTTTCAAATCCTCTGGCGTTAAAGTGCTATTCGCATTCTCGACTTATGCAATTACAGTGACTGCTTTTTTAAACACCCTGAATGTATATCTAATTCAAAAAGCTATCAATTTGGCTATGTCAATTGGAAATTGGACTGATTTTTAATCTTATTTAGACCTAAAACCAATTCATTGAATCTACTAGGATGCTCTATGCAGTCAATTTGTCCAGCGAGGACTAAATTCGACTCAGTTGAGGCACCCAGGCAAATTCTTCTTGCAACATGCAATGCAATTGTACTTTTAAGATCAAAATAGAAGAGGATTCAAATAGGTAAAGTGTAAAAAGCGTCCAGGGACTGTAATGAACGCAGAAGTTTCGTATAGTCTGCAAAATTTACATCTCTCAAAAGTAGAATCGTGTATTGTATGCAAGTTAAATCAAAAGTTTCACCGTGTAACAGGGCGTATGGGAAATAGCGGCCTCATATGCATAATCTTGTTTACTGCTTGACAAAAACGAATCGTGAATTAATTCTTTTGAAACTTTTCTTAAGCATGCAAATTACTCAAGTTCTCGTCCTGTTAAAAACAATAGCATACATTCCTTGTTCTCTTCGACCAATCAGAGCCAGAGAATTTGATGACGCGAGCAGGGAAATTTGTAGAGTTGAGTTGGGCGTAGTTTGATCAAGATTCAAGAAAGCCATTCTTGAACGTATCTTTGTCAGGGCAAGATGTTTTATTTCGCCTAATATTTGAAGAAAAATCTACGAGCACACAAGAAGCGAACGTTTCATGATCAACTAACAAGTCGTCTTATCTTGTTAGCGCTGTTTATGGCTATGTTTTTACAGGTATTTATTTTTTAAATGCACTTCGCTACGGATCAACGCGCGTTGTCCAAATTGAAGGACAAATCGCTACTATATTGATCGATTTTATTCGCCTTTTAGGGCCAAATCATTACGTATTGGGCTAGTTTCCCCATTATAAAAGCTTTCTGTAACTTATTATTGTATTTCGTATTGTTTTAGAACAAGAATCATGAGAAAAAACGCAAAATTTTGAAGAAGTGTGAACACGTGTCCAGGTTAGTTCAGGCCAAATTGAGTTCAGAAAAAAAATCCTCAGTTAGCATGCAGGCATGTTAGCACATACGTTTGAGAATGTTTTTTATTAATAGCTTGTAAATGGAACTATAAGTCATGAGTGCGGGAGTCTCAGCTTTAGACAAGAAGTTTTGTCTATAATTCGCCTATTAGACGGTTTTACAGACGTTTACTAGTAATAAAACACGCAGAGCATAATTATAGAGTGAGGCGTGTAATTCAGTTAGTATTTAAAGGATTTCGCCCAAGGTGTTTCGACAAAGCGAATGTACGCTAGAGGCTGGTACAAAAGTAATACAGATCTTTGCATTGACATTGATCTGGTCATTAGAATAAATTATGGTCTTCATCACCCATAATCAATTCTCTGTTTTCAATTTTTAGAAAGAATTGAATCGTTCGCTTATCGTCGTCAAAAGAAAGGAACTAAGAAAGGTGACTAGAGGAAATCCCTAACTGCGCGCAAATGTGAAAAATGTTTCAACTTTAAAATTGCATGTGCCACTTTCAAGGGCAAGGAAATTGATGATAGCAAGTGAGACTTAAATGGGGTGAGGGCATGAGGGTTATTTCATTTTTGTGCATTGTTGTCCTTTTGTGCAAATTTTAAATGCTTCCGAGGTTTGAGTTGTGCTCTTGGAGTAGGAATCTCCGTGAACACTCCAGTGACTTCGCAGTTCAGTCGCCTGTACCGGAGCATGCTTTGAATGTCCGACTGTGATGTTGATTTTCCCCGGGTGTCAGTTGTGTGCATGTGGGGGGAGGCGCCGCCCTTCGTGTGTTCATCTTTCGGGAGGCCTGTGGGCCCGACTGGCATTCGGGGAGAGTCGGCAACGCAGCCGAGCGTCCGGAGCGTGTTTTAGTGCAAGCAACTGAACTGCAAAGTTACTGGAGTATTCATGAAGGCTCGTACTTCAACAGCACATCTGGAACCGCGAAGGTATTTGGAATTTGAGCAGAAGGTCCACTATGTACAGCGATGGAATGATTTTTATAAACTTGCCAGATTGAAGTTTCTCCTGCTTGAGTCTTTTGAGATGTCCTTTTGATTGGCATTTGCACTCGTTCCCAGACCCTTGCTATATGCTTGCGGTCATGCTTTAGACTCGTTGAAGATCAAGTTATATGCTTCTGATCAGATTTCAGTTATCAGCCTATGTATTTGTTTCCAGGCCTTGCTATATGCTCACGGTCATATTATGTATTTGTTTCCAGACCTTGCTATATGCTCACGGTCATATTATGTATTTGTTTCCAGACCTTGCTATATGCTCACGGTCATATTATGTATTTGTTTCCAGACCTTGCTATATGCTCACGGTCATATTATGTATTTGTTTCCAGACCTTGCTATATGCTCACGGTCATATTATGTATTTGTTTCCAGACCTTGCTATATGCCTCACGGTTTTCATTTAAAAACACGAGTCGTTTCTTCAGGGAGCATTTTCGCTATTTTGTTTGGCATTTTATACCAATATTATTCATGAAGCATGCAATGTGATGCCTCGACTATTTCATAATATTCTGTCAAACTTCCTTGAGTTTCAATTTTCGATCTTAAAGTATAAGTTGGATTAACTGGCCGCTTCTAACAAAGGAAATACGGGTGAAAGGGGCCCCTCATTTGTATTTCTGTGTTGAAGCATTAGCTTTAGGAAAAACTATCCGCTCCCGTGAGCGCCTAAACTTAAGCGCATGACAAACAATCTTTGCAAGGAGTTTACAGTATATAATGCTTTAGTCTGCATCGGTTTAAAATGAAAAAAAAATAACTAAATAAATAATTTTTTGAGCAACAAAGC